ATATAATAAAATATAATTTTTATAATTTATAAATTAAAATCTTTAATTAAAATATAATAAAATAAAATAAATTATTATATAAAAAATATAAAAGTTTTTTATCCCGGTTATTATAAGATTTTTCTTTTATTATTTTAAATAAAATAAATTTAATAAAAAAGTTTTATTTTAATTATAATTATAATGTATACGAATAATTAACGGATTTACGCCGGTTAAATATATACGAATATTTATTCCGTAATAATATTATATATTTTTTATAAAATAAATACACGGAATAAAAAATAATAATAATAATAATAATAATTTAAAATAATTTAATATTAATAAAAAAATTTATTTAAAATTATATAAAAAATATAATTTACCGGGAAAATTACCCCGTAAATAATTATAATAATAAATTAATTTTTTATAATAATTTATAAAATAAATAATTTCGTATATAAATTAATTTTTTTAAAACATTACAAACTACATTACGTAATATTAATAACGTATTTATTTTTTATATTATTAAAATTAAATTTATTTTCGAAAATAAAATAAAAATTAAAATAAAAAAAAATAAAAAAAAATAAAAAAAATTACGTTTTATATAAAATAAAAAAACTATTAAAAAATAAATCGTTAAAATAATAAATTTATATTAAAGTATTTAATATAATAATTAAAATATAATTTAAAAAACGATTAATAATATTTAAAACCGTTATTAATATAAAACGTTTAAAAATTAATAATTAAATTTAATAAAATATATTTATTATTATTTAATAATTTAAAAATAAAAAATAATAAATTAAAAGTAAATAATAAATTAAAAAAATTAAAACGGCTTAAACATGTAAAAAAATAATTAAAAAGTTATTCGGATAATATAATAATTTTTTCCTTATAAAGTTAAATATATATATTTATTAAAACTTTTAAAAAAATATATATATAATTAATTTTTTTTTTCTTAATTACATTTATAATTTTTCTTATTTTTAATAATTATATTTTTATTTAATTTATTATTAATAATTATATATTTATTTATTATTTTATATTATTATATTAATAATAATATATTTATTTATTATTTTATATTATTATATTAATAATAATAAATTTATTTATTATTTTATATTATTATTATATTATTATTATAATAATGTTCGTAAATTTTAATTATAAAAGAAATTTATTTATTAATTTTAAGGAAAAAAAAACCTTATAAATAATTTAATAATATATAAAAAATGATTTTATTTTATAAAATATTAAAATAAAAAATTAAATAATATTATTAATTAAAAGAAATAAAATTTACGGGAAAAATAAATTTAATAACGATAATTTTAAATTTATTAAAAATGTTAAAATAATATAAAATTATTAACTTTAAATTTTTATAAAAAACTTTTTATATTTATTATTTAATAAAATAAAAGTTATAAAATTATTAAATTACATTCATTTTTATATTTAATTATTTAAAATAAAATTTTATTTTAATTAAAAAATTATTATTATTAAAATACGTTAAAAATTAATAAATATTAATTATAATTTAATTAATTTTTAAACGAATTTTTTAAATTTAAACATGTTAAAAGTTATTAAAATTTATAAAAATATTAAAAAAAATTAAATTTAATATTTTATTTATAATAATAAATTAAAAATTAAAAAATATTAAATTAATTTAAATAATAATAAATAAAATAAAACGTATATTATTATTAATTTAAATAAAAAATTTTAACGAAATAAATAATTTAAATAAAATATTAAATAATAAATTATAAAAAAAAATAATAATTATAATAGTTTAATTAATTACATGTGGTAAAATTTAATTTAAAACGTTTTAAATTAATTATTAAATTATTTAAATTTAAAAAAAAAAGGATTTATAAAAAAATATATAATATTATTAAAATTAAAATAATTTTAAATAAAACGTATGGGCCATTTTTATTAATTATTAAAAGTGTAATTTTATAAAAGTTAAATTATATTTATAAGTTAAGTTATATTAAAAAAATGCGGACCGTTATATTATTTTTTCCGCGAAAAAAAAAAACTTATTTTTATATTTTTTATTTTATTTTTTATATTTTCGTAATCCTTGTTTTAATGTTTTTATAAGTTTATTATTAAATTTATATAATTAATTAAACTTATTTTCCATTACGGCTTTTAATTTTTATTTAAAAATATTATTAATTAATTTAATTTTTCGTTATTTATTTATAAATGCATTAAATTAATTATAATTATTATCGGTTATTATTTTTAATTTATTAATAATTTTTATAAATTCATCGGTTTATAACTTATAAATAATTAACTTTATTACCCGTAATTTTAATTCGTAAAATATTTCCCGAAATTTTTTTTTTTAAATTTATTAAAATTAACTTAATTAATAATAATACGTTTTATTTTATTACTTTTTTAAAAAATATAAAAAAAAACGTGTTTTTTATTTTTATATATTCGTTACATAATTTTCGAATTTTATATAATATATTTTCATTAAATAATTCACGGTTAATTAATACGTTTATTTAAATTTAATAATTTTTTTATAAAGTTTTTAAATTTTTTTATTTATTTACGTAATTTAATTATTAAATAAATTAATTATATTATTAATTATATTAAATTTTCTTTATAACGAAATATTTTATTTATTTTTATATATATTATTTTTATTTTAAATTAAATCCGGGTTAAATTTTAATTTTTTTCGGGTTTTATTAAAAAACGTGGTTATTTTTTTTATAATCCGTATTATATTTAATATTTTTATTATAACGCGATATATTTTATATTTTAAAATAAAAATATTTATATTATAAATATAAAATTTAATTAATTTTATTTTAATTAATAAAATATTATTATAAAATCTTTTTAAATAAATAAAAATAAAACTTAAATAATATAATAATTTAATTAATTATATATAATAAAATTTAATTTAAAACATTTTAAATGAATTATTAAATTATTTAAACTTAAAAAACTTTTTTTATAAAAAAATACGTAACACCGTAAAAATTAAAATAATTTTAAATAAAACGTATAAATTATTTTTATTAACCATTAAAAATATAATCTTATAAAAATTAAATTATATTTATAAATTAAATTATATTAAAAAAATGCGGACCATTATAATAATAATAAAAAATATTTTAATAAAAATAAAATAAATAAATAAAAAATTAAATTTTATTATTTAATAATTATAATATAACGTATTTTTAACGTTAATAACGTTAATAAAATTTATAATTTTATTTATATTAATATTAAAAAAAAGTTATAATAATAACCGGTGGAAATACCGAAAAAAAAACTTTTAATAAACGTAAATATTTTTTTTTTTAAAAAATAAATAAAAAAATAATAAAATAAAAACAAATATAAATAATAAAATAAAAATAAACATTTTAATAAAATAATAAAAATATTTTTCTTATAATTAAATAATAATAATTAAAATTTAAAAATAATAATTATTAATAAAATTTTAAATTTTATATATTATTATTAAAAAAATTAAAAGTTTTAATATTATAATTAATAAATATAATATTAAATAAAATTTAAATATTATTATATTTAATAAATATAATATTAAATAATATAAAAAATTAATATTATTAAATTTAAAATTATTAATATTTAAAATATTTTTTTCGAAATAATATTAAAATTATTTTATTAAAAATTTTTATAAAACTTAAAAGTTTATAAGTTAAAAAATTTCTTTATAATAAAAAGTTTATTTTTTTTTAAAATATATAATAAAATTATTATATAATAATTAATAAAAGTAATAATTATATAAAAAATATATATATTATATATAAAAAATTAAATAAAATATTAAAATTAACGTTTAAAAATAAATTTTTTTTAAATTTTTAAGCTTTAATTTTAAATAATTATAAACTTATTATTTATTATTTAATTTTATTTATTTTATTTTTATAATTTTATTTAATTTTCCGTTTTTTTTTTAAAAAAAATATTATATATAAATTATATTTTAATAAAAACTTAATTAAAATATTAATTAAATTTAAAAATTTTATTAACGTAATTATAAAACGTAATTTTTTTTAAAAAAAAATTTAAAAAATTTAATAATATATATTAATTTAATTATATATTTTTAATTATATATTTTAATTATATTAATATTTAATAAATAAAAAATTTTTCGAAAATTTTTAATTAATTTAAATTTAATAAATTAATTATTATTTATAATATTATAATTAAATTTTATTATTTATATTTTAAAAATTTATATTAAAATTAATATTATATAATAAAATATAATTAATTAATTTTTATTATTTTTAAAACGAAAAAAATAAAAAAATATAATTAAATTATAATATAATTATTTAATTTTAAAAATATTAATAAATTTTTAAATTAACGTTTTTATTAATATTTTAATTTTTATATATTATTAAATTTTTATTATTTAATTAAAATTTTTTTTATATTTATATTATTAAAATTATTTTTAATTAAATTTTAAAATTTTTTAAATATTATATATATATATATTAATATAAATTTTTTAAATTATATATAATATAATTATAAAAAATTAAAATTTAAATTATATTTTTTAAATAATATTAAATAAAATTATTAAAATATTAATATTATATTAATTTAAATATAAATTTAAATTTAAAATTAATTTATTTATTATAATTTAAATAATAAAATTATTAAAAAATATTTTACACGGTATAAAATCTTTTAATTTACACGGTTTTAATTTATTAAAACAACGTTTAAATTTTTAACCCGGAACTTCGTAAATATGGCTTGTAACCGCTTTTACCTTATCCGTTCACTGCTTAGTAACGCATCACGTTCTAAATAATACAATAAATGATTCATGACAATGTAGTTGTTAATCATCCACAACATCAAACCACGTCGCCACCCTACGGGCTTTGCTGATTATGTACCCACCAATGGGGATATCCGACGTCGGTATTCTTGAGCTTCTCGATTCTGACCCCCGGCCGACGTTCGCTGTGGTGACCACGCAAACGTCGCTTCCGATATACGCGAACCCCGCCCTCCGTCAAAATGCTGTCCTCCACGATCGAATCGTCAAGTTGTTTCAGTCCCGCCACGGCCCTTTCTGGGACTGGGTTACCGCCGCTCTACTTCCAGATACTGGCACCGGTCGTACGTTTCCCTTCGAGAACATCTGCTGGACCAGGTCGATAGTCCGCGATAGATGGGCTGTGATCGGCAGCAACGATCAATTGCAGCCGAACGACGATGCGCGTAGTAACGACAAGAGCCTCCCACAGAATGCCACCGGTTCTGCTGTTTCGAAAGCCGTCGACGATAGTTGGATACCTCCTGATTTCTTGCCGGAACAGGAATCCTTCGTCCATGTAATTAACACGCTTGACTGGGCTAGAACGCCTCTTGGTCCGCTCCCGCGTTGGCCTGGTATCCTGCAACAGACCTTCAATCAAGTCCTTGCCGACTCGAGACCTATAGTAGTCTACTGGGGCGAGAGTTTAACTACACTATACAACGAAGCTTTTAGCAGACTATGTGGATCGAAACATCCCGCTTCGTTGGGCAAGTCGGTGGAAGATGCTTGGCCTGACTTCTGCGAGAAGATTAAGTTAGCGATGTCTACGTCCGCCTCGAAACACCGTGCCGGTTCCGCTGACGAGGACGAATGGCGGTTCTTTGTACAGAAGCCTGACGGCAGTTCTGAAGAAAAGTATCTCAAGTGGTCTATTATCCCAGTCGCCGAGAAGAACAAATGTCTTGGGTTTATCCAGCCGATTCAAGATAATACTTCCATGCGACTGTGGGAGAGACGTACCAAGATGCTAATTGATCTGGGCGACAAGCTAGTTACGGCGCGCAATGTGAGATCCTACTGGGCCAAGCTTATACAAGAGCTCGAGGCGTGCCATCCCACCTATGATATTCCTCTTGCTATTCTCTACTCCGTTGAAGAAGACTTCCAGCTGTCTGCCGGAAAGTTTTGTCGATTAGAAGGCTGCCTAGGTGTTCCGAATGGCCACCCCATAGCCCCGTCAAAGCTGTTGTTGGATGAGAGAAGCCAGGGCTTATCCGCGTCCTTCAGAGAAACTCTCGAGTCTCAGAACCCAATATTGCTCCAGATCAGAGATAGATCGCTGCCCGAATATTTACTGGAAGGCCTGGAATGGCGTGGCTTCGAAGACCCTTGCCGAGAAGCCGTCATCTGTCCTATTCGACCAACCAAAGAGGAGAATGTATTAGGTCTACTTTTGCTTGGACTGAATCCCCGTCGGCCCTACGATAATGACTACCGGCAGTACATCTCCTTGCTTGGGCAAAAGCTGACTACAACCCTAGCATCGGCTGTGCTTCTAGAGGAGGAAGCACGAAGGCGTCGCAATATTGCCGAGCAAGCCGCATACGACCAGGCTAGATTGAAAGAAAAGCTGACGATGCAGACGAAGGAAGCTACAGAATCCGTCCAAAAGTTCCAACAGATTGCCGAGTTTCTTCCGGTTGGGATGTGTTTTGGTAATTACCGCGGTAACATTGTGTTTGCCAACGATGCCTGGCATCGGATCACAGGTGCTCCCCAAGTGAATCCACTCACGCCGGAAGGCTTCCTGTCTTGTGTCATCGAAGAAGACAAGCCAAACGTGCAACGGGCATACGAAGAGCTCCATAGAACGCTTACCGTTACCATTGAGTTTCGAGTTCCCCGGCCGGCAGATGATAACTATCCTCTTCAGTTCCCCATCGGAAGTTCTCCTAGTTTCGAGAAAGCTGGGTTGGACCTGGATGATGACGGAGGTGTCCGGCATGTCCTAGGCTCTTTAAAAGCTGAAAGGGGTCCCGACGGAAACATCAATCAGGTTCTGGCATGCTTGACGGACGTGACTCTGCACAAAAAGGCCGCCGAGGAAGCGATTCGAAAAGCACAGCAAGCGGAGAATCTCAAACGGTAAGTCTAGTCGCTCATCCATGCCCTAATTTCTACCTCAACCACTTCCGTATATACATATGTTTATATCAGAGTCGGGGCTCAATGCTCCGGTAAATATGTTTTGCTGATGCAAGGTGCTGTAGGATGGCTGAGCTCGCAACCGTAGGCATGTATGATATGGCACTTGATGGTCGTTTGCTTGGAGCCAACAACGTCTTCTACGAGATGTGTGGTATAGACAGAGTCGATCTTTCTCAGGTATCGGTCAAGCCATTCGAGCTTTGCGTTGTCGATGAGGACTTCCCGTTTCTTCAGAACACGCTGGCGACTCTCGTCAGAGAAGGCAAGTCCCAGACCGCGGAGCTTCGGCTGAAAACTCAATGGACCGAGACGGACACCGATGGAGATCAGATTGTTGCTCCTCGCTGGGTTCTTGCAACGTTCATGCCAGTAAGCAATTCTGAAGGTGCCATCCAGACCTTTACGGGCTGCCTGAGTGATGTCTCGCTACAGAAATGGCAGTTCGAGAAGGAGCGGCAGCGGAAAGATGAGGCTATTGAATCCAAGCGTCAACAGGAGAATTTCATTGACATGACCTCACACGAGATGCGGAACCCTCTAAGCGCAATCGTCCAATGCGCTGATGCCGTTATCGGCTGTCTTACCAAAGCTCAGGAATTAGTTGATACGCAATTTTCTAAGTGCGGTAACAACGGCATCCCCAATCCTCCCTCAATCACCAACGCTCTAGGAGGCGTCTGTCAGGAGAGTACCCAACTATTGAAAGATAGCATAGACAATGCAGAGACGATAATTGCATGTGCTCAGCATCAGAAACGTATTGTTGATGATATCTTAACAATGTCAAAGTTGGATTCGAACCTTCTATCTATTACGCCGATCACGGTGAACCCTATTAACATCGCGCGCGAGGCGTTCAAAATGTTTGAAGTGGAGGCTCGTCGAGTTGATATTGACTTGACCATGGTTGTTGATCGGTCTTATAGCGAATTGAATATCGAGTTCCTCGATTTAGACCCTTCGCGATTGAAACAAGTCCTCATCAACCTCTTAACCAACGCTTTGAAATTCACAAAGAATGGCCCGACGAGAAATGTATCGATTACAATGAGCGCCTCCAAGACTCGTCCGGAAGATCGCATATCTTCCGTCCAGTTCATTCCGCGAGCCACAGACCTGGTATGGCAAGCGGACGGGCCGTCTTCGCCAGTGCCTGAGGAGAATAGGATCTACCTCATGTTCGAAGTCAAAGACACGGGGCAAGGCCTAACGGAAGAAGAGAAGTCGTCCTTGTTCCAGCGCTTCGTCCAAGCCAATTCAAAGACCCACGTGAAATATGGGGGCTCGGGGCTTGGGCTGTTCATTAGCCGTAGACTGACAGAGATGCAAAACGGGGCCATCGGCGTGGCATCCAGCCCTGGCCAGGGCTCGACGTTTGCCTTTTACATTGAGGCGCAGGTGCCAAGCGAGGACGCATTCCAGGACGCTCGAGCGGCCGCAGAGGCCGTCGGTCACATCCTCAGAACCCCAAGTAGCACCGCAGTTAGGCCCAACAAGGGACCTTTCACTATGGCGAAGCCAACTAAGAAGCTGCTCGGGCCGCAGATTGAAGGTGTACTCCTAGTCGAAGATAATCTTATAAATCAGCAGATTACACGCCGTGACTTACTAACCAGCGGTTGCGCCGTCGAAGTGGCCAACCATGGAGTTGAGGCGCTGGAGAAGCTGCGGCAGACGAATCGCGGCGATGGACAGTTCCCCCTTAGCCTAATCCTCATGGATATTGAGATGCCTGTACAGGATGGCCTCACTTGCACACGTAAAATTAGAGAATTGGAACGGACAGGTCATTTCAAGGGCCCACGGATCCCGATTATCGCTGTCAGCGCTAACGCACGCGTGGAGCAGATTCTTGAGGCAAAGGCCGCGGGATGTGACGACGTATTGGTTAAACCGTTCAGGATTCTCGAATTGATTGAGAAAATGATGGTTGTCACCAGACATCTCGAGAAAGCCGGATGAGAGGGAGCTTTATCGATCTCGACCGCTTGCCGAGACCAGCTAGATTACCCTCGTCGCCGTCGGAGGACTGTTTAGCATGTATATTGCTGGCGGTGAACACGGCCGCGACTTAGTGCCTGGAAAGTCTACAAGGTTTGCATTTCTAGCCTCCTTTATTCTAGGCGGATACTCTTTTGTTTGCATTGGTCATTATATGGGTAGCGATAGCATGATACCACAGGAGCAAGAGCGACTTTGAAAGACAGGCATGGATTTGGCGTTCTGTGTAATATCCTGGAATTGTTGTTAACAAGCAAACCAAATTCGCAGCCGCTGACTACTATGTATCATAGAAAGCAGCTGCTTATAATACCCCGTCGCTCAGCTCACACTGAGAAACTATATTCTTTGGTAGGATTTAGATCATAGCCATTCAATGATTTGCTGCCATTGGCAGAACCGGAAGCAATCGAAGGTGTCGAGCAACGGAGCATCATCACGAAGTATCTACTAAATTTTGACTTCTGCGTCAACGTGCTTATAAAACGGCCGCGACGAAATTTAGAGTGCTATGCGAAGAATGGCAATTCTATCTCATATTGTAGAGACGAGCCTAGTGTCCCAAGTCTAGATCGACTTGCTATCGCCGTTTACCTGAACCTCTTGCTGGCGTCAGTGAAAGTCATACCTCTCTTGATCTCGACGGCCATCTTGTCGTCAGCCTCGACCTGCTTCTGCATCAACGGCAGAGCTTGCTCCACCAGCTCGACGGGCAACACGACGACACCATTTAAGTCGGCAATTAGGTAGTCGCCTGGCCGGACCTCCATCTCTTGCTCGTCCGTCTGGAGCTGTACGGGTACATTGACGGCGGCCACTTTGAGTAGTTCTGCTGGCGGCGCTGTGCCGACGTCTCGAGCAAAAATCTAGTTCCGTTCTTCCATCAGAGATTATGTACGGCAGCATAGTGAACACTGGGAGTAAGGAGTAGGTGGTATGGTACCGGATATTGTAACTCGCGCTGTTCCTGCAGATCGCGAAAACGACCGTCGATGACAGATCCGACGGCGCCGCTGACTAGCGCACGGGTCGACATCAGGCCACCATACACAGCGTTCGGAGTTTTACGAGGGCATGAGACAAAGATTACAGCGCCCTTGGGCACCGTATCGATCTTTAGCCACAGTTAGAATGTCCCCTCTCGTACGACGACAGGGAGCTGACGAAGTGAATCCACATGTTAACATACGTAGTGGTTCGGATGCTTGGGTGCTGGATCGTCTAAGGGTACATATTTGACAGTGTATGCGGGTCCGACGATTTTAGTAGGACCGTCCTGGCGCTGAGGAGACCACATGGTTAAGCCAGATAGAAAACCCCCATTGCGGTACTTCAACTTGCACAGAGCGTCCGAGACGTCGCACCTGAGATGACAGAGATGAGCTGCATTATGCAAATAGGGTCTCTAGTTCTCACGTTGTATATTGCTGCAGTTGTCTGATGATCGTGTCTTGGGATTCTGACATAGTGCCGAGGTTACGAGCTAGGCTTGGACCTTTGTAATGTGCGATAAAACTGAATAAACGCCTTCGAAGGAGATATGATGCGCGTACGGGTAGCATGAGCAACGGGCCTGATGAAGTCACGAACGTTGAAGAAGCTCAAATTAACGAGTACTTTGGTACAATCTTATGGGATTATATAAGCTTTCACATGCTTAATCCGTAATAATATGCAGGTATATCGAATAGCCGGATAACTCTGCATAATAATAGTAATAGTTATTATAATAATACCGATTACTAACATATGCGTGTTTATGCATATAGTAGTGAAGCTGATTGATTATTCGGTGGCTAGGTAATTGCCAGTATCAGATATATGATAATAACTACAATTTGGTTAGTCGCATAGTTATGCTCCAAATCTACCCCTATTCGTCCGTGCGATTACACGAGGCTCGATCCTAGCTATGGCAAACATCCCAACGAGGGGATGTGCTGTTATGGGTGGTTGAACTCGTGTTTGTTTAACATGAAACTTTATGATTCGATATCCCCTCAACCTTGCGACGCTTCAGGGATGAAGATCTAACCTACATAAGTTCGTCCTCCACTTCCCCACGAGACCTATTAGGTAGTACGACCGAGGCTAAGCACGACACTATGTAGATCTTTAGGTAGCCTCTCGTTCTTCTCCGGAGACCCGAAGATCTGGTTAGGAGTCAGGCCGAAAAATCCCTGATGGAAAACCCTGGCTGCATATATAGGGGCTACCTATTGCCTGACTATGTTTGCCTATAATAGATAATAGGAAGGTGTTATGGATCTTGCTTTCTCACATATTGCGTAAACTGGTCTAGTATGTGCGTGGCACATAGTCGTACTCTGGAGTAGTGTGTCTTAGATAGGTATATAGTTAATTGCTGTGTTACGTACGTAAAGACAACTTAGGATCTTCTTGCTTTTCTCGGCTAGAATCTAGTATCAACCCCCCACCCAGGAAATTCTCCTTGGAGGGGTGTTTTAAATGTAGGAAAATTCGTTACAATTACACTACGTAGCCTAATCGATGGTGGAATACCTAACCAGAATCAACGAGAATGGGATAATCATCAAACCTTAAAAAAAAAAAAAAAAAAAAAAAAAACCACGAAAATTGAATAACGCAAAGGTGAAGCAAAGTTTCTCAGCTCACCACATGCGGTTGCTGAGCTACCATTGCTCGTTCTACCAGCGACGTAGCTTCCGGTACGCAACCTGTTCCTAGAGCCAAGCTAAGTAACGTTATTCAGTTGTCCAGTGACACTTCATGAACTAGACTGCCACCTTTCTGTATAGGTAGCCTAAGACGGAAGCAGAACAAATAAATTAACAATGCCCCGATTAGTGACTGACTAATCTGAGCTCCGTATCACTCTGCACGTCAATCCCCAAGGCCTCCTTAGCCTGCGAGGCCGTAGATAAGGCAGGTGGGTGCTTTTCGTAAGTGAACACACTAGCAAGAACGCCAACGACAGCTATGGCAATCATGACATTTAAGTCATCAGTGAAAGCCGACGCGTATCTAAACCAGGCAAACATTAGTATCGAATAGTGTCGCGGAGAGGATAGAAGGGACAGCTGAGGAAAATGTTAAATATACTTACACGGATCGAACAAGGAGCTTGATATCATCCGGCAACCAGGGGGCGATCGTCGGGCTATGATGTAATGCAGCCATATCATCGGGATCCATCTTGCTTCCAAGCTCTGTTGTCACCTTTCCGTTGAAGATGATGCTACAAATAGCTATTCCCACAGCACCGCCAAAGACTCGAGCTTGTGCTACGGCGCCCTGAGCTACGGCCAAGTCCTGGCTGTGAGACTGCACAGATGCCATGATTGTCCCCGAGCCGAAGGACAGCCCGAAACCAAGGCCAAGGAGTACCTGAAATCCGTACTGTGCCTTTGTTTCGGTAGTGGCGTCCTTGAGTGTAGACATAAGACCGATTCCTAGAAGCTGGAATGCGTGGGCTACCATAAGCGTCCAAGAGGTGTTGTTGCGCTTGCGGGAGATGGCGCCCGCGAAGAAGGCACCGAAAGAAGTAGCACCTAGCATCGGTAGCAGGTGGATGCCAGAGTTGAGCGCATTCTGTCCGTTGACAATCTGGAATCGTTCGGGCAGGATGATGAGGATCGACAGATATATGTAGCCGGTGCAGAATGTGCAACTGTCGTCGTTAGCCGGGTTGCTACCTATTAAACGTGAAGAAAAAATCCACCCACATTATACAGCTGGCGTACACCCGTCGGAAAAAGAGTCGCAGGGGCAAGATAGGCTCAATTAGCGTAGATCGGGCCAGCCCAAGGTAAATCTCCCAGGTGAAAAAGACGACCCAGCTGAGAGAGGCGATCGACAGAGCTGAAACGATGACAGGGCTATCCCAAGAATATGTATATGCACCGGCCTCTTGAAGAGAGAATACCAACAGGGAGGTTGCTGCTATGACCGAGATATTGCCAAGGAAGTCGATTCTCCGAATAGATTTCCATCCTCTCTCGTAAGGTAGGGATTCGGGTGGCGATGCTAGGTATAGAGCAAGGACCACGGCCACGCCGGCTGGGACACTATTTCCACCTATTAGCACGAATCCTGGAGTATATAGAGTCTGTGTACATGCTTGATCCAGAATATGATAGTCCACTCTGTCGTCGATGAGATGACGGCTCCGAGGATGGGCCCAAGAACGTAGGAGATGGCCAAAGTGGTACCGATCAAGCCACCCATCAGGCTCGGTTTGTCAGAAGGGCCTGCTTCAAAGAGTACGACCTGGCTAAGACTGTAGAGGCCTGAGCCTCCCATGCCCTGAAATGCCCGATAGACAATTCTATTTGGCGAGTTAGCACGTACGGGCACAAGATACATCCATGGTGTCGTGGAAGGGGAAGTATAGCGTACAGTTGGGTCATGGTTGTTGCGCGAGCGCACCCGATGGAAAATCCAACGAAGAGTACCCATGAGCAGCATAAAATCTCACAACGGCCATAAATATCGCTCAGCTTAGCGAATCCGATGGCGAAGCCAAGGTAGGCTAGCAGATACGAGAGGACCACCCATGGAGAATCCAAGAAGTCCTGAAGACTGATGGAAATAGTAACAAGAGCGGTCGAGACAATGGATGCATCGATAGCCGAGAAAAGAAGACCAACCAATTGACTACATAGGTATTGGTATATATGTTAGCTCAGGTCGATTGTGCCGATCCAGGTTGACAAGGGGACTTTGACTTACGTCGCGATCAAGATTGCTTGGCGCCAGCCATGCACGGAACGCTGATACGGCATCGTGAATATGTCGGTATGATAGTAGGAGGTGAGGAGGTTGGGTAAGACAGGAATTGGGGATCGGTGGGTTGGGAGGTCGGTATGTAGAAAAGTTTTCGAGAGGAAGGGAAAGAGCCTGACAAAGTTGTGTAAAAGAAGTGAGAGGCGCAAGGCGCGTCTTGTACGGCACGAATGTGTTCAACGCACGCTCCGATGAAGTTAAGTTGAGTAGGTACCCAAGGTACGTAAGGTAAGTAGGTGCATTTGCCATACCAGTCGGTTGTCGTACTAGTTTCTCTCTCTTTCAGATGTTCGAGAATTCCACCGTTGTCTAGGTAGGTAAATTATGGCGAACAAATGGAAGAAAGGAGAGAAGATGATTGTGAAAGTTGGGTTATGTAATACCTAGGTCAATGTGCTCTTGCCAGTAGCCCGAAGTTATAGCTTTGAGTTGTTTACCGGTGGCGTTGGAGGGAGTTTAATGGCATCTGGCAGCCGCGATCGAATATAAGATACGTATATACGTTTACACGTAGGTATATACATATACGTAGAACCGAAACTTACTACCATCAATTGACACTAGGTACATAGATAATGTAGCATGCAGTGCAGCTCATCACCTGCCAAAGTAAGCATCATAGGGACATTTACAGATCTGTGGATGTTTGCGTCCGGGCCCCTTCCATCATGTACTTATCCATATCGGCAGCACCTTGCTCTACCTTCCTAGGCATTCCAATCTATTTTTCTACTTGAATTGGCTACCTAGGTAGGCGCAGATCACTGGAAGTAGGCAACATGAGTTAAGAGAATCTATCCCTTTTACGTACCTCGGTATATGAGAAGCTACCAGGTTTTTATTGCTTGTCGTACCTAACCATCGTTCATGTATGACCTAGCATTTGGAGGAGACTCGGACTGAGACAACACGCCAAGTCAGCAAGACCAGAGGGAATGAAGGATAGTGGACCCGTAACCGCAGTTGTCCGATATCACTGCAGCTCGTCGCTATGTCCTTGGTCAAATACAGAACTAGCCCCCGTATGGGCTCCTGATGACTCAAACTCAAACACAAACTCATGTTTATTCTCTCGTTCAATATGTCTAAGGAGGAAGGGAAGACGGGAAGACCACGAAAGGGGATCGGATGTGTTGATGGTGTAAGGTAGTACAGGCGGAACGGTAGCAAGGAGATTATACAATTACCTAGGTATCCGGCTGAAGCTTTTAGGACCGTCTCGTACTACCCCACGAACAACAGTATGGCATTGAAAAACCACAGCTGGCCCACCGGATGGTATATGTCTGATTTGCAAACAAGACATGATTGACTCTGTAGATCGTAAAAAGACTAACCATCCATGTCATGTCGTTTTAATACAGTTGCGGGGCCTCACTTGTTGTACCCTCTCCAATTCTTCGTGGCAGTAAGCTTTGTAGGCTAGTTTGACGAGAGCCAGGATTCATACAGGTGAAGCTTTATAGGCGTACCTGAAATCTGTTAATTTTGTTAGCACACCTAGGTAAGTAGGCAGGTATTATATAAAATATCAAAGGGAATATGTGTTATATGGGGGGTGCTAGAACAGGGCGAGAAATAGCCGTGGCAGTTTAATAGCTAGAAGGGAACGCCCCGACAAAGAGAGATCATGTCGAATCCCGTCCGTGTGACTGCCACATTTGTCAATAAGCCTATCGAGCGATAGGCGGCTATGCGCGGCTATGCGCAGCCAGGGCTCCCTCAATTTGTTTGTCTCGCTAACGGTATTCAAGGAGAAATTCACAGGATTGAGTTGGGGCACGGGGCGGATTACGTCGCGGACAAGGTGAGTATATATATGAATGGCTGTAAGCGATTGCTGAAAAGGGGGAGGGGAAACTGATTTCTGACATTTAAACTACCTACCTGGTAGTTAGATGTAATTTTCATTACCTACTAGGTATGTAGGATAGACTCGTGTTATGTTAATAAATAGGAAATAAATATGTACCTACGTAAAGTACTTAATTCTTAGAAACCCTAATAGAAATAAATTTCAAGTAGGCCAATCAATTAAATTCAATCAACTAATTTGATAAAATTACAGGTGTTAGCTGATTAATTTGAATACCTAGTACCTGGGCATGCACGTCATAAAGCTTAAAAGTTACAGTACCTAGTACATGATGTTTACATAAGTTTGTGAGATATGATTATCGATATCGGCCTTATCTTATCGTTACCACTACGTACGTAACTAGGTACCTGGTACTTTGCGGCTCAAAATTGCACGTCTAAATTCCTCAACTACATGTCTACCCTTCCCTCAGCTTGCTTGTAGACCACGAACGATTCTTAATAGAAATGCGTAATCCTTATTACGACAGCAGTTCCATCAAACCAACGATGTGCCCTCGGTGCTATTTTTCTAACAGCAAACGTTCCACGGCTACGTTTGGCTCCATGTGGTAGACGCAGTATGGTTGCAACTAAACGGCCCGATGTTTTTAACAAGAGAACAATTAAACCTCAGGACTCGGGGAGTATATGCTCGATGCTTTACTTTACGCGATATATGAGAAAGAATCATGATTGATATATGCCAGTGTCTCTGGCCATTGTCTCAGTTTATGTGTGCTGTGCTGATGAATATTTACCTACCCAGATACCTAGGTAAGCGGCGGAAAGGAAAGGAAACCAGTCCAATGTTCACCAACTACGTGCATCCGGTATGTAAGTTCAAAGTCCAAGCTTTGCCTGGCTTGCCATACAAAATATTCTCCTAGTTTCAATACCAAATGTTCAAATATTACGCGTTACAAGGAGGATTGGTTTACACAGGTGTCGATATAGGTAGGTAGTCAGTAAAAGGTTCGCCCCGAAAAGTAAAGTGGTATAATTTGTCTCCGGGTCGCCCCAGGCCTACCATTGACAATCTTGTTTACATTACAAGCCGCTGGATCAGGGGGATAACTAATGCGTAACTATTTCGGATAGCACATGTATGATATAACCACGAGGATTACGACATTTTGTACATATGAGCCAAATCATCGAGGTTTCAACTTTGACGGCCATTTCAAGGGGCAGACTTCTCTCATTTTGTCTACGGGAAAATATACAGCTTAAAGGGGTTTAGCTTGGACCTATATTTGCGAGTGACTTAGAGACCCGGTGCCTATAATATTCGATATACCTGGATTAGTGACATGAGTTGATTCGTGAACTGCTTATAAGTTACCCTTAATTGAATCTTTTCGGTCTACCCCACGGCCACATGGCTGATGCGATTTGATTTATAAAAAGCACCGGCCCGACTACCAATTACATTGTCCCTCTAAACTGCCCTGATTATGGTTAGTATTGTTTATCGGGGTATCTGCACGCATATTCTAGTTAAGCTCCTTCTTTTAACGGACTTAGGGAGGTAGATCATTTGGTATGTACGTATAATTAATTATATCAACATATAAGTCTGGTGGGTGTGAATGGATGGGTAACCATCCAGGTGCTTGTAGGTAGGTAGAACACGTCATATCTAGGAGCGATCAGGATCACGGATACCATTGCAGACAATGTACGTGATGTTGGGTGCCTAAATGGAATCGTAAGTGTACCAGGTACTTATGTAGCAAGCAGATATTCCTGTAGTCTGCTAGACTATCTTGAGTAGTCGAGCAAACTGCGTACGTAGAAGGTACGTAAATGTCCCATTGTCAATGCACCTCGGTATGTCAGTCTGTAGTGGTAAACGATATCCTTGTCATGTGTTAACAGCTGATTATGTACCTCTAAGGGATGGTTTTGGTGATTAACCACATAATGCCTCTCCGATTGTCATTGCTAAGCAAGTTGGGTCCATTATATATAGCCCTGCCGTATAGCCTTGTCAGGGGCAGGGTTAGGGGTCGGACGCTGTAAAAGAATACATAGGTACTTGGAATAAATGAATATCACGGTTCTCTCGCCCAATGATACTATTTTTTTCGTCCGATGTAGTCACTTACTGAACTTCTTTTACGGGTGCTTTTAAAACTGTTACGTACCTATGTATGTATCATTTCTTCCCTCTTAGGCCATCGTCCTAATCACTGTTGTAATCACCGCCTAACCTGCTGGGACCGCATGGCATAAAAGAACAATTTTCTTCCACCTAACTTACCTAACCGATATCTTTCCCATCCGCATACTCGGCACTGACACTTCTACCCCTAAGCTGACTGATTACTCTACTTGCACACCTAGGTAAGTTATGATTCCCATTCTACTTCTTACCCCATCAACATAGTATGACATAGAACAACATAAATCTTTCCTCCTTCATCACCCGCAACCAAACCCTCATCCTTTCATCATCTAAACATCCTGAACTTCCTTTTCCAAACATCCTCTCTCGTCTTTTCATAACTTCAATCCGAACTCCCCACCAACACTCCATTCTACGCTCAGGTACGTCATGATTCTTCCATATAGTACCCTACCATATCAATCCTTCCATGCTCATCCCCAACCATATTGGCATCTTCTCCATGGCTGGGCTCAGTTCTTGGGAAAAAGAAGAAAAATCCTATTTCTTGCTGCTTCACTGTTCGCGCGTTCCCTAGCCACCCACCCTTCTACACAGTCACTCGTCACCTAGCAACTGCTCGTTACCTACCCTTCTAAAGAATTACTCATCACCCATATTTCTACACAATCTCTTATCTCATTATCGAACCTTCCAACTCCGTACCTCAGTATATTAACACCTTTACAAACCTTCCCTCTATAGTTTCATCTACTCACTCACACCCTTTACTTCGGGTCTTTTCTTCTTCTTAAAAACCATCACCGTTAGCAACATCTCCTCTTCTTACGCACATACCAGGTGGTGCCCCAACATTAACACTTTTTTTTCTAATTCGTAACGCTGGCTCCACAAACCTCTGACCTAAAACAACAAAACACGAATTCCTATTTCTTGCAATTCATAATCAATTTATGATTGTTAACTTAGTGTTCACCAGGTTTTTGGAGTTTAACTCGTTGTCAAGGTACGTAATATGCTGACATTGTCTTTCTTTATTTTTTTTATATTTTTTTATCCATACCTACACCATAACACCAAACCATAACACCCACCTTTTCTACTTTCTACAACACGACATAAGCACCAAGATATTAGTAGACACACTTCTTACATTATATCCACCTACGGCACAGCACATGAACACAGGTACCAACACGTCAACAAACCACTTGATTTCCTTACCAAGTCCTACCTACCTCTTCCCCCATCATCGCCATTGGCATTCTCCTTTCTTTATCTTACCTTATAAAACCCCCCTCCTTTCTTCTCTGACAACAACCATCAACCATCAATAATAACACAACCTCCTCCCGCGATTCTTCATTAGCAGGGAGAAGACGTCACAGCTCAAACTCATATACTACATTGCTGCTCCTTGAGGTGTTGTGCTTCGAGGTCCTTGGTCCGAGGGCACTAAGTTCGACGGCAGCTTTGGCAACACATAAGTTGTCCTTTGAGATCGTATCGCCTACTACATTTCGTACCTCTACCCTTCTCTCACGTCTCGAGAGGGACAAAAAAACTCATTATCCCTTTTAATCGTCGTTATTCTAGTCATTCCTACTCACCTTATCTTCTTTAGTACAAGCTTGTTGCGCTATCATCCCGATTAATCACGAGTAGACACGGGCTCCGAGTGCTCACGATGAGCAACTCATCTACTACCGACGCAATGGAGCCGATCGCGGTAGTCGGACTAGGCTGCCGCTTCCCAGGTAGTGCTACCTCACCCGTGGCCCTATGGGACATGCTTCGGGAAGGCCAAAGCGCATGGTCGGAGATCCCCAAAGAACGGATGAACATTGCGAGCTATTTCCACCCCAGTGGAAACCGCCAAGGAACCGTAGGTTCCCTCTCCTAAACCCCTAGTTGAACAGAGACTAACATTGGACCAGGTACCGTTTATGTCCGGCCATTTTATCGATGAAGATATTCGTGTGTTTGATACCTCGGTAAGCTCTGACTCCTATGAACCCGAGCAGCATTTTGCTAACAGTAGCAGTTCTTCTCGATCCCTGCGGATGAAGCCCGCGCGATAGATCCTCAACAACGAGTTCTGCTTGAGGTGTCTGTCGAGGCTTTGGACAGCGGTATGTCACCTAATGGCGAACCCGATCCCATATCTAAGCTGACTCGTGGCTCTAGCTGGCGTTGACCGTGATGCTCTTCGCAAGTCTGATACCGGCGTATGGGTGGGATCGTTCGTAAAGGGTATGCGGAATACAAACACCCTAGAAACTTGGAGATCTCTAGCTAACAAATTGAAGATTACGAGCAAATCGTACTCCGTGATCCCGACGACTCTCCGAAATACGGAGCCACGGGTAACGGAATTGCAATCATGTCCAATCGGATTTCCTACTTCCTGGACGTCAATGGACCGAGTATGACAATCGACACAGGCTGCAGTGCTAGCCTTGTCTGCGTGCACAATGCCTGCCAAAGCTTGCGCAACGGGGAGATCGACATGGTAAGTTCATCGTTCAATGCGGCAATAGCTTAGGTGCTAACTTAGCCAGGGTCTTGCTGGAGGCGCCGGCCTGATTCTGACACCCAACACGATGATGCCTATGACGGCGCTCAATTTCTTAAGTCCAGACGGCAAGTGCTTCACATTTGATGCACGCGCCAACGGATACGGCCGTGGAGAAGGTATCGGCATCGTTGTTCTCAAGCGTCTCACGGACGCTATCCGGGATAATGACAACATCCGTAGCGTTATCCGTGGATCGAGTGTTAACCAGGATGGTCGAACTCCAGGTAAGCGTGCTATATCCGGTATAATAAGGACTTTTCTAACTTTGATATGAAGGAATCACATTGCCGTCGTCGGAAGCACAATTGAGAAACATCAAATCCGTCTACAAGAGAGCTGGACTGCCTGTCGACGGCACAGCCTATGTCGAGTGCCACGGAACCGGCACGCAAGCCGGAGATTTCCGCGAAGTGAAAGCTATATCGGACGCGTTCTGCGGAGATCGTACTTCTAACAACCCTATCTATGTCGTAAGTATCACCTCCCACCACGTCTATTATCTCGAGAGTTTTCCTTCTGACATTAGAACTCAGGGATCAATCAAGACCAACATCGGTCACTTGGAAGGATGTGCAGGAATTGCCGGCCTAATCAAGGGCGTCCTAACGATCGAACAAGGAATAATTCCTAAGCATCTCAACTTCGAGCTGCCCGGTAACCCAGCAATCAAGTTCGACGACTGGAAGGTGAAGGTAAGAAGTGACGCTACGCCAGCTCTCGAGCCCTTCGCTAACAATGTTTTTTTCATAGGTCCCAGTCACTAACACATCTTGGCCTGTCGAAGGGCTCCGACGTGCAAGCATAAACTGCTTTGGTTTTGGTGGAACGTGAGTGACTACCCTTATAACATGGCCCTACATTATCCTATCCTATCCTATCCTACGTTATTATATATCTCGAGATTGGTGGATCGCCGAAGTTCTCGGTGTTCCTTCCCCCCCCTTCTCTCGACACCGTATTGAATGAAGGATACTAACTTGAATATCTTAGTAATGCACATGTCATCATGGACGATGCTGCTCATTATTTAGCTGAAAGAGGGCTTGTAGCACACCACAACACCGCAACTTTAGACTTACCTTCCCGCGAAGCTAAAGCCGTCTGTATTGATGATGCCGTCCGGGAGGATATTAGGTCAGAGCGAGACATCGAGATACCTCGCCGTGACTCGCAAAGTCACTTGTTCGTCTTCTCCGCACATGAGCAGAAAGTATTGTCGCAAGTACTCAAAGATTGCGGGTCCTATATGAGCGAGCGGGTTGGTTCGGCTCCCACCAACACCATGGAAAATCTTGCGTACACGCTTGGTTGCCGCCGAACCAAGTTGCCGTGGAGGGCGTCCGTCACTGCGCAATCTCCAAGCGACCTCGTACAGAAACTGGCCGATTTGAGATCCAGTGACTTTGTCAGAGCGTTGGACGAGAAAGCTACTAGATTGGCCTTTATTTTCGGTGGTCAAGGAGCACAGTGGTTCGCGATGGGCAGGGAGCTTCTAGGGTTTGACATTTTTCTGAAGTCGATCGTGGAAGCCGATTCGTACCTGAAAACCCGTTCGGAGCGCCCGTTGAACCTCATCAAGGAGCTTCTCGAGGATGAACTATCCTCCAGCATCAACCGTCCCGAAATATCCCAGCCAGCAACTACGGCAATCCAGATAGCACTTATCAATATCCTGATGAAGTTTTTCGGGATCACTCCAAGCTATGTTTGCGGCCACTCCTCTGGCGAGATAGCCGCTGCATATGCCCTTGGCGCTCTCTCGCGGGAGGATGCTTTGGAGTTGGCTTACCAACGTGGACGCTGCGCTGGAGCCATGCTTTCCTCTCCCGAGGGAGAAGGAACGTCGAACGGTAGCATGCTCGCAGTTGGCTTGTCGGCACACGAGGCGCAGAAGTACGTGGAGCAAGTGGGCAGCAGCCGAGCGGTGGTGGCTTGCATAAACAGCCCAACCTCGGTGACGCTTTCTGGTGACAAAGATGCGATATTGGAGCTTCAAGCGTCTTTCCAGGCCGCGGGTGTCTTCAGTCGATTACTTGTAGTCAGTATCGCCTATCACTCGCACCACATGAAGCGCTGTGAAGCCGAATATCTCCGCTCGATTGAGCATATCGTGCCCCGTGAGCCGAACATCGGCACTATTCCGCATCCCCATGCTCAGGGGGAACTGGTTACACCAGACGACATTAATCTGGACGGAAGGGTCACGGGTCCTTCTTCTGCAGCAGCGCCCTGTGTCATGTATTCATCCGTAACTGGACGCCCAATCAGTTGGGAAGAACTTGGCCCGCAGTATTGGGTCAGGAACATGGTCTCTCCGGTGCTTTTCGCCGATGCTATGCATCAAATGTTGAGCTCCAAAACCGAGAAGCCGACCGCGATCTTGGAAATAAGCCCCCATTCCACGCTCCAGGGCCCGGTTAAGCAGATCCTTGACGCCGAGGAGAAGCTCGGGCAACGCCCATCATACTATTCCACGCTTCGTCGAGGAAAAGACGCGGCAGTTACCGCACTTGAAGCAGTTGGAAAGCTCTGGGGTCATGGACGCGATGTCTCCATGCCTTGGGTAGTCATGCGAAATTTGCAGGCTGGACGACCAAAGCTCCTTGTCGATCTGCCGAAGTATCCCTGGAACCACGACAACATTTATTGGTACGAGTCGCACTTATCGCGAGCCAATCGTTTCCAGGTCCATGGCAGATACGACCTTATCGGACGGCCAACCGCGGACTCGATACCATTCCAGCCTCGGTGGCGCGGGTTCCTCCGCCAGTCAGAGACCCCGTGGATCCGCGATCATCAGGTGCAGAAGACGATGATCTATCCTGCTGCCGGTATGGTGACGATGGTGATTGAAGCTGCTAAGCAGGTGGCGTCAGACGGCTTTGCGGGTATCGAGATTACTAGATTCAGAATTCAAAAGGCTATGATAATTCCTGGGACCTCGCACGGACTAGAATATGCCTTGAACCTGAACAAGCAATCTAATGGCCCAGTAGGATCGAGCACGTTTGAGTTTTTCATCTACTCAAAGCAGCTTGACGGACCGTGGGAGGAACATGGTGACGGGTCTGTCACGATTCATCGCAGCCGCTCTGACGATGGAGCAAGGGCCCAGCACCAGGTCCGTAAGGAGAGGCTCTTGGAAGCTAATAGGCATTACCAGTCATACGTTGATGCGAAAAGTAGTTGCGATGAATCGGTTATACCGCGACAGCTTTACGAGACTCTGGACGTCATCGGAATGAATTATGGTCCCTTGTTCCAGAACATCAGCTCTCTTCGAAAAAGAGGCAACACTTGCGTCAGCATCGTTCGTGTTCCGGACACCAAATCTGTTATGCCAGCCAACTTCGAGTACCCTCACATAGTTCATCCGGCGACTCTGGATTCCATCTTCCAGACCGCTTTCGCCATTGGCAGCGACCCGATGGTTCCCTCTTTCATTGGTAGTCTTTATCTATCGGCCGAATCCGATATGCTTTCGAAGGCTGGACAAGAACTCGCTGTCCGTACCCAAGCGGATCTCCGCAGCTTACGCGACGCATCTGCGTCGTTTGTTGTTGCGGATGACTCTTGGCTGGGCAATGCTAGTCCTCAGAACCCTCCGCTCATCGTGATTAAGGATATGACTTTTACTGCCCTGGCCTCGACCCTTACCGGCGGAGAAAACGGTTTCCTACCAAACCACCACAATCTCTGCACTGAGATTGTATGGGAACCACTAGGTGATCCTTCCGACAACGCCGAGGGAGAAGATACGCCTACGCAGAGTCTGCACTCTATGGAACCGAAGAATCGAGTTCTTATCCTCGTTCCGGGGGGAATAGACGTCGGTCTGAGCATGCTCTGCTCGGCATTCGCAAACGTTTTCGACTACGACCTCCGGACGCTGAGCGGTATCAGAGATGACGAAGAACTTCCAGAGTTCTGCATATCCCTCCTGGAGGCTGATGGCGAGCCGCTAGTTTGGAATTGGTCTGAGCAGGATTTCCTTGCCTTCCGCAGCGTCGTTACTGCCACGAAGGGTATATTCTGGATCACTCGAGGTTCACAGGTGGAGGCGAGCAACCCTCGATCTTGCCTAATCCAGGCTCTTGGTCGTACCATCCAGTCGGAGTATCCTACCAAGAAATTGATCTCACTCGATGTCGATGTCGACACAGACATCTCCTCAGAGTCGTCTATCAAGATGATCATCGACCTTTTCGGACGGTCCTTCTTTGGACCGAACACCGGTAGCGCGACGGAAACGGAGTACGTCGAAAGAAAAGGAAAGATAATGGTTCCGAGATTGGTCTTAGTAGAAGAGCTCAATTTTCTTATCGAGCGTGGCTCCGCACCAGCTGAGCCAATCCTGCAGGGCATACAAGATCCTCACGAGAGGCCGCTCAGGTTGGAGATCGGGAAGTTGGGCGATGCGGGCAGCCTATACTGGCGCGATGACCCCGACGCCAACCTACCTCTTTCTCCTTACGATGTTAAGATCAGGGTCCTGATGAGTACGCTCACCGAATTGGACGATGACGTTTTACAGGGGCGAGCACAGGATGACCACCTGGGAACAGACGTGTACGGCATAGCTGAATATGTCGGCCTAGGTGTCAGGAGCGGCGTCATGGTGGGTGACCACGTTGTGGGCATCGCTCGTGGAGGCTTGAGAGACTTCGTGGTATGTGACGGAAATCTAGTCCATAAGGCCAGTGGGAGCTTACGGCCCCTTTTCCCTACGTGTTCCTCCGTCGCCAACTACGCGCTTGGGATACCGGGCGTTGACGATTTCATCTTGGTACATGCTGGTGCAGGAGCATTTGGCCGTGCAGCGATCCAAGTTGCTCAGAGATGGACTGTCACCGTGTTAGCCACCGCAGAGACTAACGGGCAGCGTGCCATACTCAGCACTCTCTTGAAATTGCCAGACGAGCATATACTCGATGCGAGAGCGGAGAACTTTGTGGATCAAATAATGCATCTGACGAAGAACAAGGGCGTCGATTTGATCTTCGACCCAGCGGCGTCAAGTAGAGATTCCAACATACGATGTATTAAAGAAGGTAAGTACTCGTAACACGGAACGAGTCAAACTGGGACATCCGCTAACACATTCTCAGGTGGTCGTGTGTTCGGTTTCGCAAACAAGCCCAGCCAGAATACGGCGGCAGGCCAGACCGAAGTCGCTGGTAAATCGTTCAGATACACCATCATAGACGTGCGATCTTTGATCAAGAATCAGCCAGAGCTACTCGGCCATAGTTTGGTCGTAGAATATCCACTGCTGGAATACGGCATTAAGGGTCCCCACAGTACTTCCGAATACGACTATTCCGAGCTCCAGGATGCTTTCGCGAGCATGGACCTGTACAAGGTTGGCGATCAGATTCGCTGCCGACGACCTACAGCCCCAAAGAAAATCCGGACCATGCCGCAGCCTCGTCGTCCCACGAGCGACTATTTACGCGAGGACGCCACTTACGTGTTGTCCGGTGGTTTCGGTGGCCTTGGCGTTGAGATCGCTAAGCTCCTCGCAGTTAACGGAGCCAAACACATAGCTTTTCTATCTCGATCGGGCGCGAAAAGCGAGCTGGCAAATTCTTGCCTTACCCTTCTCCGCAGCAGAGGGGTCGATGCCCGGGATTTCAAGGTAGACATCTGTGATGGCCAAGCGCTCGAGAAGGTCTCGAGAGAAATCGGCGAATCGATGCCTCCTGTGAAGGGATTGTTCCAGTGTGCAGCTGTCTTACGAGACTCGGTGTTTGAGAACATGACGTATGATGACTGGCAATTGGCGACTCAACCCAAGACGCTCGGTTCCTGGAACCTCCACCGTGTGCTGGGTGGCCACTTGGACTTCTTCATCTTCTTGTCCAGTTCGGCAGGCGTCATCGGGAACCGTGGGCAGGCAAACTACACGGCGGGCAACGCATTCCAAGATATCCTGGCAAGGCACATCAACACGGAGCGCAGAGGTACGACGCACGCTGTATCGATCGATCTAGGCCCGATCCTAGAGGCGGGAATGCTCGCAGAAGATCCGCAATTGCTGGATATTCTTAAGGCCAGCGGATTCTTCGGAATCAGACTACAGGACTTCAAGCGCATAGTCGAGTGTGCAATCACCGGACAGATAGAAGATGGGTTAGAGACACCGGCTCAGATTGTCACAGGAGTTGGCACGGGCGGACTTATTCGCCAGAACAAGCCGGCCGACCCCTATTGGACTCGGACGTCATTGTTCACGCACCTCAACGCCGTGGATATGCCGGAGGGTTGGGCAACCATTTCTGAGGAGAATCCGGACTCCCAGAACAACATGCAGCGAATGCTAGCGCAGGCCACCGATGCGGAGGCAGAAGAAGTCATCATTACTAAGGGGCTTCAGGAAATGCTGTCGAAGAGCATGAACATGGACCCATCCGATGTCGAGGTCTCGAGACCACCCAGTGCTTACGGCGTGGACTCGCTAGTGGCGGTTGGAGTACGTAACTGGGTATCTAGAGAGTGTTCTGCAGATGTAAGCATCTTTGAGGTGCTTAGTGACACTAGCATCTCTAAGCTTAGTGCGATGATTGTGGAGAGAAGAGGTATACAGTAGTGCCTCGGAGACGGGAGACGATAGGTCTATGTTGGAGGATTGTTCTTTTCTTCTTGTCCTTTTCTTTTTTCTTCTTCTTTTTTTTCTTTTCCGTTGTTATTATGAGACTGGGCTTAGTTGGCTTGATAATATGGTTTGCGATACCACGATACCACGATACCCGGCCTAAATTTGGGCTTTATGTAGATGCCTTAATGAGAGGGTTTGTTTCCGATTAACCAAGAAGAGCATGATTACTTGAAGTGAATAAGTGCATAGGTGTGATTGGCTAGATATATGATGACGACGACGTCGACAGCAATGGTGGTGAAGATGGTGTAACTGGTGTATGTAAGTGGAAAACGCAGCTAGAAGATTGGATGATTGAGGTCTGATTATAACGTCAACGTTGAAGTCTACCTAACTGGTTACACGCCCTTATAGGTAGATACATACGTACGTACCGGTATGTGTGTGTAATGGAGGGCTAGCGGGACCATAGTTGATTGGGTAAAAGGCAGAAAGGACTGCCAAGCCGCGTAATCTCTCATGATACGCACATATATGGCTTATGTACATGCATGAGGATTAATTCCCCTCAAGTGCCACTGCCCCCTGTTCCTTATATCCTTTCTCTGTAGAACCCCCGTCCGCTGTCGTCCCCCCGCTAAATACCTGCCTACCAGGGTATGTAGCTAGGATTTACATGCTAGGCATTATACCAGTAAGAACTTCACCATTCTAAAAACAACAGCTTCCAAGGTTGTATGGCTTTGCTTGGCAGCTGAAGATGGATTTCTTCAACTCTTCCAACCCCCCTACTCCCTTTCATTTCTTTCTCTTCGCTATCGTTCTTTATACTCATCTCCTTCTCTTTTCCCCCAAGCTTCTCGACGTGGAGAGAGTGTGATATATATATAGCCTTAACTTACCTTCGGTCCTTCGGAGGTTGAATTCGTTGGAGGTAGCTTTTATCCACCTGACGCGATTATATACATATACCTCCCCTAGGTAGGTATCTGCCACTTGTTGGTTGGTGAGATGATCTGTTAGATTTCGGTGTACGCGCGCGCGCAATACCACCGTGCCTTTCGCCTTCTCCCTGCGGCTTTGCATCTCTGCATCTGCTCATCTGCAACCGATCGGCGATAGGTTACCAACATACATGTTCGATATATGTACCTAGAGCTCCCGGGAAGAAACTGTAGGACTCAACACCGGAGACTAGGAGGACCTGTTATACCGTCCACCAATCTCTAGATAGTCCTCTCAATTCTTGTCCCTCCCTTATTTTTCTATCGTATTCTCTCGCGTCTGTTTGCGTTAGCCACTCCCCTACTATTTCGATGGGGTCTTTCTCAGCCCTCGTGGCAGCGTTCGCTGCTGCATCTGTCGTCGCCGATGTCGCGATCGCACAAAGGGTCATTCCTGTGGGCTTTAGTAAACCAACCGCAAGACTACCTGCTCTTCACAAGCGCGCCGGAACGTATTCGCAAGAGCTGAATAACAATCTGACCGGCGGTGGCTACTATGCCCAAGTTACGGTGGGAACACCGCCGCAGACCGTCGACTTGATTGTCGACACCGGGAGCAGCGATGTCTGGATATTAGATTCGAACGCCAACCTCTGCCATTCCAAAACAATGCAGTCCTATTACGGATATTGTTTGTCGACTTACGATCCCTCCAACAGTTCGACCTACTCTGTCGTTTCTCAGGACACTTTTAACATCCGTTACGTCGACGGGTCAGGGGCTGAGGGCAACTACATCAAGGATAACTTCGGCATTGGTGGAGCCGAGATCAAGGCCCTGCAGATGGGCCTCGCCGAGAATTCCACCATCAACTCCGGCCTCTTGGGTATAGGGTTTGCCGCCAATGTCGCTGCAAAGACTCCCTATCCGAACATCATGGATCTGTTCCAGAACCAGAACCTGACTGCCATTCAGGCCTACAGCTTATATCTAGTATGCGCCCCCCCAATGAATGATATCGCCGATCGTGTCTGGAGTATCCTGAGGCATAGCAACGTAGACTGACCCTATTATTTCTTCTTTCAGGACGATTTGTACGCTGCGACGGGGACGATCCTGTTCGGCGGTCTTGATACCGAGAAGTTCATCGGCGAGCTCAAAACCGTCGACATCCAACCGGATCGCTACGGCAATTATTCCTCCTTCACTGTCGCCCTCTCCTCCCTGACCACGACCGCTGATAATGGCACCGTGGCCAATTATACTACCCGGTCCGCCGTCCCGGTTATTCTCGACTCTGGCACTACGTTGACCTACGTCCCTTCTAGCATGGCAAATCGCATATTTCGCGCATTTGGTGCGGTGGATGACACCTCCGGAACAGGGCTTGTCTTCGTAAACTGCGATTACTTGGACGACAACAAGAATCTCACCTTTGACTTCCAATTCGGCGGGGGAGATGGCCCCGTCGTCCGTGTTCCCATCGACGAGATGGTCCTAAATAATGTACAAGATTACGTGGAGCTAGGCTTGGACGTTCCCTCCTTGCCCTTCGACAACGTTTGCAGCTTCGGCCTGCAACCAAATTCCGACTACTACCTACTTGGTGATACGTTCCTTCGTTCGGCGTATGTGGTTTACGACCTCACCAACAAGCAGATCGGCTTAGCCCAGGCCAATCTGAATAGCACTAAGAGCAACGTTGTAGAGATCACACAAGAATCAGGCATTCCGGATGCTAGTGGCGTCGCTTCTCAGGTTACCGCAGAGCAGACGGCCACGGGGCTGCCCGGCACTGGCAACGTCAACGGCGGACAGACCACCACAACTGTTAGCTCCTCGAGCACTTCGTCCAGCCAGAGCAGCGGAAATGCCGGCGCAAGAACTGTACCCGCTCCCAACCGGGAGGCCCTAGCCGTAGCTGCCATAACGGGTCTGTGTGGGTTGATGGGTGTTGGCTTGGTTGTATTATAGACGTGGATGCTCTTTGCACAGTATTTTGTCACAGGGGCGGTTTCTTATATCGGAGGTGTGGCATTAAGTCCTTCATTCGTCCTATGGGGTTGCGGTATGATTATACCGGGCTGAATTGTTCGAAACGAAGGAATGGTCAACGGGCTCGACGAAATTTTGCGATAGCTTCGACTTCGCGCGGTCGTTAAATATGGTCTTTGGTCGTAATTATGAGGATACCCTAAAAGATATCATGCTGTACATAAATTCTCTTCTTGGTGTCTCACTATTGAGTGTACCCTTGTGCCTCATTGACAGATCCATTGCCTAGTACATAATTATAAGAGTATTATATCTCATGCGATTGTATTTAAGTTATGCGGCATTGGTCGTGATATTATACACGTTTCGCAGAATTAGGGTAGCTCCCATGGACGCATTAATAGAGGCATCCTATCCCATCTGCTCGTATCTCTCTCTTGCCTTGTCTTTCGCTTTCGAAACGAAATCTGCGTAGTCGTTCTTCGTGGCTCGAGCGGCCTCCTCAGCAGCGTCTCCAATCTTGCCACCCTGTGCTCCGAGGCCAACTCCCGGGGCGTACGCCGTTGTCTCGATAATGTCAGTGCGTCCACCTCCTTCGGCCCCAAGACCTTCCCCTGTACTCCATCCCATTTTAGCCAACAAACCCGCGCCCTTTGAAATCGTGGGCTTCACCGACGGCGCCTCCGCGGCCGGTCCCGAATCTTTAGTTACTTGGGGGTTCTTTCTAGGAAGATGGGGTTTCGGTTTGCTAGGCTGGTTGTGCGCCATTCGGCGCTCCTTGGCCCGATCCCGATAGCTAGACACGGGCTCCTTGCCAAGAGCTTTCAGATCCTTGATTGCCTTGGCTATGAGTGCTTTACTATCAAGATTAGCCTTGTGCATATCGCTGATTTGCTCATGCCTGCGGAGCGAGGGCTCGTTCTTGAACTTGCGTCGGCACAGAAGGCAGCACATTTTATCAAGATCGGCGTATGACACGGTCGCCTGTATCGTTGTGCCCGCTGGGATGCTTAGGCTTGTTGGCCCTATGGCATTCGATCCAGTTGCGGGCGCCTTGTTGTCGACAGGATCCCCACCACTACTCGAATCCTTGGGTCTATAGAGCTCAGCGTGCTTATTTGCCCATTTCTGTAGTTGAGGAGCCATCGCAATGACCTTTTTGCCATTAGGCGCAACGAGATCTTTCTCTGCCTTCCTCTTCTTGGAGTCTTTGCCCATAGGTCGATCGGCGTCATTCTTGAGCTGTTCTGCGGTCTGCGTCTTGTCCTCGTACAAGTTCTCGTTGAAGACGGTGAATTCGTTGGCATAAACTGATGGATTCCAGTAGACAAGTCTCAGAGACTGGTTGTGGGTTGCCGAGAAGGTGAATCTGCGCTCCTCGTCTTGGACCGGGCGTAGGTACGGTATGAAGACGCCAGAATGGATAAATGCTACAGTAATAGGTTTCGAAGCAATGGTGAACTGAGGAGAGGCGGCGTATTTCGCCATGGCGGCTCGTGCATCGTCTATGGTTAAAAATTCGGCGAATCCATAGTTGCAGCTGATGTCCGAATACTTGTCTCTGATCATGAAGACACGTACCAGCGAGCCGGGCTTAGCACCTAACCCACTGGTATTGCCAACCGGAGCCGTACTCTTGAGCTTGTTCGGCGTGACGGAAGATTGTTTAGGTTCATCTTCCCCGGACACGTAAAGCCTCTTCACCTCGCTAGCTAGCATCGTCTCGGTTACCGAGGAAGCTAGGTCACGAATGACGAGGAACTGGGATGGCGTCTGTTGTGGGCATTCGTCGCTTTTGCCGTCTAGCTTCATATCCGCGATATTTTCCGCTGGCGGGCAACGGGGTTAGCCCATAGGCCCGTGTTATTAATCCTTCCAAAATATATGCTTACATGATCTAGGCGCTTTGCACTGCTTGCAGGATGCTCGCCTGGAAAAGTTCTCGAAATGACACTAGTAAGCATGGGTCAGGTAATCTACGATAAATAGTACGATATACCTAGCATATTAAGGACTGAAGGCTCACCATGGTACATTTCCAATCGTCCGGGTTTGCGATATGCCGGCGCTCTCGACTATACTCGATAGGAACGCGAACAAAAGGGCCGTAGCTCGTCGCGATATCGAGGGCAGGGTAATGCCTCTCGAGAAAGTCGATAGCATCGTCTTCGGATCTGAACTCGGCGAATGCATACGATCGGCGGGCTCCTTTTCTGCTATCAGGAACGGGGTAATGCGACAAGATGTTGAAGACGATGGCTTACCGCTTCTGTCGTCTGATTTGATGCGAACCTCAACAAGACCAACAGCCCCCATATCCCGCATGACGGCATCAATCTACTACAATATTAAACCGGCGCACCGTACACAAGTCGTAAATGATAAATACCTCTTGCGTGCTCATTCTATCCGGGATATCATCTAGTTTAAGGGTATGGTAGGGCCGCCCGAACCTAGATCGGCGACTGGGTTCATGGTAATAGCCGTCATCAGCCGAGTCGAAAGGCGATGAGGCGCCTGAATTAGCACGGTGGGGACTTCTGTTGTTATTGACGTCCTTGTAGCGTCCGCGAGGATCGTCACGGTCTATATAGTGTCGGTCCCGGTCTCTGCCACGACCACGGTCGCGGTCATATGCGGGCGAGTAGTCGGTTTCGTGGTCATAAGGCTCGCTACCAGGCTTCGTAGCACGATCTAAGAAGGGTTGGCGATATTCGGTGGACGCGTCTCGTCTTCGCCCGACTGGAGAGCGCCGGATACGGTAGGATTCCTCTCCCCTCGGTCCCTTTGGAGGCGTCCTTCTAGGCGACCTAGAGGATTCTTTTCCTCGCAGGGAAGTTAGCGCAAGCTCAGTTTTCATCTCTACAAATAATCCTCCAGGCTATATCATTTTACCATGCCGCGAACGATAGTGGTTGTCCCTAGAAGCGGGTGATCTACGTCTGTAATCCCGCTCGTCACGAGATCGATGGTCGTAGTCGTCGTACATGTTGGGTGTTATGCGCGCATCAGGTAAAGGAATGATGCAGAACGCGACTAGATTCGGGATTGGGAGTTGTCGGGATTGGAGTTGAAAGCGGGTGATGGCAATGATGAAATGTAGCTGCAGCGCACCTGGCATTGAGCATTCGATATAATGCGATTGGAAAGCGAGCTAAGCATGGTAAAACTTCGGCATTAGTAATATAGTCGGGATACGTAAATACATATGTACATAATAGGTATGTACGGGATGCATGAAATCCATGTACCTATGATATCATGATGTACCGCATCGGTACGTAGCGTGCACTATATATGTACCTATGTATGCACGTACAAAGATCTATGTAAGTACAGAGATCTCGGTACAAAGATCTAGGCACAAAGAACAATTCACTTATACATGGATGTCCCGAGTCTCGAGTCCTGAGTTCATCAATTATAAGCTCAACTCTTTCTCACTTTGTCAGCGTATTCTCCTATACATATATATCCTGCATATATACGAAGACAAGAGGATGGCTCGTGATGCTACTGAGATCAAAGAGGACGGCTGTTATGTCGCGCTCACTGACCAACATCTAAGCGTAAATAATGTGATGGACAGAGTCCGTAGTCCTCAGGCTGGCGCAATAGTCATGTTCGCCGGTGAGTTATCAACTATCCTCGCCGTTCCGCGATCCCATATTCTGATTCTTCACAGGCACCACAAGGGATAATTTCGGCGGCAAGCCAGTCAAGGAGCTTCAATACTCGGCCTATAACCCTCTAGCATTGCGTACGATGCTTTCTATCTGCAAAGAAATCCGTGACAAACATGGTCTCATCTCGATAGCTATGATCCATCGCCTCGGAATCGTGCCTATCGGAGAGGAGAGTATCATTATAGCAGTATCTGCGTCACATAGGCAAGCCGCCTGGCGAGCGGGCGAACAAGCCCTCGAAGATTGTAAGGAACGTGTCGAAGTCTGGAAGAGAGAAGAGTTTGACGGCGAAGAAGGTGTTTGGAGAGCCAACAGAGACGGCGCGGTTGGCCAAAAAGTCTCCCAGGAAGACTAAACCTCTACCTAAACTGCAAGCCTCCTTCTTCTATTATATTTAGAGAGTAGACTATCCATGCAGGCTTCGGCACTCGCAGGAAGACATGGCACTTCTTAAGAAGAGAGCGGGAATGCGTATTGCGTATAAGAATACGACTTATCCGTCACGATCGGCCGGCCGTCGACCGAAACGATGTTAAGTACAACTCAGGCGGCAATACACCATCCCGAGGTATGCTCTACGAACCCTCTATGAGTTCCGAATGAGCATTACTTCAGAACGGAGCCCTAAATATACCACACAGCAACTCCCACGTAACCATCATGGATGCCAGGTTTGCAGTTTCTAAACGGGACAGCCGACTCCCGGCTAAACGGTTGTTATCAAGCCAAGGACTAACGCGCGAGTCTCGGTTCTTGGGTCAAGGACTAGCGTTTACACATTCCTTCCATTCTGCATTCTGTATTCTACCTTCTCACGTTCTTACCTACCTTGTTTCCTTGGTGAGAGCGGGTCGACGATAGTCTAAGCATGTAAGACGACTGCTCACGGAAACAGAAACGTTGCATTGGCGTCTAGAGCCACACGTATTTCTGGAAACGGGAGCCGAATGTCAGTTATGGCTAGGTCGGACCGAATTTGCCAAGCCATGGAATATGGACGGTGGGACTTGTGGCCAATTAACAGCAACAAGCTACCATTTTATTCCCCATTGCCCTGGCACACGGCCGTAGCCCGACAATAGCTGATTACTTGCTGTTTCATATTACTTGCCTCTTCCACACAAGTCTGTTTTCAGCTCAGTGTTACACGGTACGATCGTACTGTGCTCTTATCTCTCCAAGCTGTCCTCTAATTGGTTCTGTTTTAAAGATGTGCTTCCATGTTGTGGGTACGACGCAAGGAGCTCAGACATCTCGTTATCAACTTTGACGTCCCAGAGTGGGATCGGCATACGGCACGAAAGTCGTAGCAGTGGGAAAAGCTGATTCGCTAAACATTCTCCATCTTGTAGCGTGTCTGGGCAGTCTGGCAGTCTGGGTTCAGCATCGCTCGTCGCAAGCGACTAGACTAAACTAGATCTAGATCCTACGTCAAAAACGGCATATACATACACATTTTGAAAATAAGCATCTTCCTTTTTCTGGGGTTCGTCTTGGCGATCTGCTAAGAGTGATAGTTCATGTACAAGAGCAGCGTCACAGCTCCCGTGCCCGGTTCCATCGCGCTGGGTAGGATATGTAGTTGGGAATATCTTCGTCAACGATGTCTGCGGTCGACCACTGTCAGCCCGTATTTCATGCAAGTTGATTACCCTTCTTTGGGTCCTACTAGATAATCCTGGCCTACGAGAGACGTCCGGGGGATACGGCGTAAAAGATAAGAACCCCAGACACAGGATTTGTAGCACACGGTTTCTCAATTCACCTATCGCATGTGTTGATTGGGCAACTGATACTTATCCTCTCATTCCTTTGTTTGCCCGTCTGGTCATCCCCCCCGGCGGAATTCGATATCAGTAGGCTGATGACACTCCTTCTAGTATCCAAAGTTTGGCCTCTTCGTGTTACTTTTGCTACTCTCCCACGATCATCCCAAACTCGATTGTATGTATACGGAAGGCCCGAGGTGGCAAACTCTAGAGCTTGTCTTCTCGACATCTGTTTCTATCGCCGCCCCACTCAGGAATCATTAATATACTATGGCTAAGTAAAGTATATCCCCACGTTGCAGCTCACCATGCTGCGGCTATCCATCTAACCAGTTGTCCAATTTAGGCAGGTTGCCTGTTACCAGGATCTTCGCATGCACGTCCTAGGGAGGGGTCCTCAGGTTGTATTCAGTCTCGAAGACCCATACATAGGTGGTACACTAGACACGAATTCCTTAAGCCGGGCTGCCACGCTGCCGCCCGCTAAATGTCATGGCTCACGGTCTCATCCTGGTTACGACCCCGGGTGACAGAAACGATAATGCATATCAATCCCCTTTGTTCATGTATACGGTGACATGTATAAGACAGCATGCCACCCCGATTAGTCTCGGATCGCAACCTTACAACTTTTCCCCCTCCCCCTCTCTAACTCGTAGCAAGGCAATCAAGCATGAGAATCATATCTTAACATCGCTTCGACCATACCTCGGGCCATGGGTTTCAGTTTCCGTAAGCGTGGCGCCGCTGAGGTGGTCACTCCCGCGAGCAACTCCTCTAGTGAAGTGGTCGAGGCGAGCGGTGCCGAGGCCCTGAATACACTAAAACACTTCGAAGAACAGCACAAGCTCGACCCTAATCTACCGATCCAGGAACTCAATGATGTGGACGCGGCTCTCGCTACAGGCAATGCCGAGAAGGGTGTCGAGATCGAGACGACCCTCCTCGAGGAGAATAGCCCCTACCCGGAGGTAAGCTTTTTTTTTTTTTCTTCTTCTTCAAATATAGCAATGTGGTTCTCGGCTATGTCTAAACGTGTGGAAAGGTGCGCGCCGCGGTGAGAAATTACGATGTCGACTTGCCGGCTAATACGATTCGCGCCTGGGTAATCGGCTTGATTCTATGCACAGTTGGCTCGGCTGTCAATATGCTGTTTTCGTTGAAGAACCCTACCATACAAATAACGACATATGTCATCCAGTTGGTTGCGTATCCGATTGGGCTAGGATGGGATTTGATCTTCCCTGACCGGCAGTTTTCCGTGATGGGGTTGAAATTCAACTTCAAACCCGGCAAGTTCAACTTCAAAGAACATGTCATTATTGTAGTCATGTCGAATGTGAGCACAAGTCGGACGAAATCCGAATCGAAAGGCGAATCTTGACACATGATTATAGGCAGCTTACGGGGGTGGCTTCTTGTATGCTACCGACGTCTTGATTGCTCAGCAGGTCTTTTGTGAGTTTTCTCATTAGATCGCCCGTCTCACAGGTTAACTAATGCGTATGAGAAGACAAGCAGCACTTTGGCTGGGGTTTTCAGCTATTGTTTGCCATCACCACTCTCTGCACAGGATAGTATGTAATACCAAAATTTCCCCTTGCCCCTTTCCCCTTTCCCCTTTTGGCCTGTCTTGGGAGAGGGAACTTCCCGAACAAGCTTACCGAGGGGTTGTGGCCCCCCCTGAGATATGCTTCCAGCATCCCAGACTCTTCCCGAGAGAAGAAATGACTGACCCTCGTTAAAGTGGCCTAGCTGGTTTGGGCAGGCGATTTCTTGTCTGGCCAGCTGCTATGATATGGCCTTCAGACCTTGTGAACGCCTCATTGTTCTACGCCCTGCACGACCATTCCCCTTCCGAACCCTCCCAGGCAAATGGTTGGAGAATCAGTCGATATCGATGGTTCTTATATGTACTCGGTGGCGCGTTTGTCTGGTATTGGTTTCCCGGTTGGATCTTCCAGGGTTTATCTTATTTCACCTTCATCTGTTGGGCCGCTCCTAACAATGTCGTGGTCAACAAGATATTTGGAGGTCTACATGGATACGGCCTGTTACCGACGACTCTAGATTGGACAGTCGTGTCTGGATACGCGCTTTCTCCGCTTATCCCCCCTTTCCATGCCGTCGCCAACACTGTGGCAGGTGTCATTATCTTTTTCATCGTCGTCTCGATGGGCCTGCACTTTTCTGGACACTGGTACGCGGATTACTTTGTCGTCCAGTCTTCTAGTGCTTTTGATAATACTGGCGCCGTTTACGACGTCTCGAAAATATTAAATCAAGACCTGGTATTCGACGAGGAGAAGTACCACAACTACTCCCCCCTATTTCTTTCTACCCAGTTTGCTATAGCATACGGCTTATCATTCGCTGCCGTCGCCGCAGTCGTCGTCCATGTAGCCTTGTACCATGGAAAACAAATCGTCTCGCAATTCAAACTTGCTCGCAAGCAGTCGGAAGACATCCATATGAAGCTTATGCAGAAGTACCGGGACGCGGAAGACTGGTGGTACCTCGCACTCTTCGTCATCATGATTGGCCTCTCGTTTGCTGTATGTACTGCGTGGCCAACTGGGTTTCCCGCCTGGGCCTACGTCGTCTGCATTGTAATTCCGTTGGTCTGGACGATCCCGATCGGGATCGTCCAAGCCATTACGAATATCCAGCTTGGGTTGAACGTTCTGACCGAATTTATCATCGGGTACATGTTACCCGGTCACCCTCTGGCGATGATGATGTTCAAGAACTACGGCTATATCTGCATGTCACAAGCTCTCGTAAGTGCACGCCCAAGCCATTTGCTGGTAAGTTCTGTTAAGAAAGGAGCTAATTCCTGGTTGCAGTATTTCTCGCAGGACTTAAAGCTTGGCCATTATATGAAGGTCCCTCCTCGTACCATGTTTTGGTCGCAGCTTGTTGCGTCCATATGGTCCGCCATTGTCCAGATTGCCGTCATGAACTGGGCCCTAGGATCTATTCCTAACATCTGCGCCGATGACCAAGTTGACAACTACACCTGTCCAAACGGTAGGGTCTTTTACACTGCGTCAGTCATATGGGGTGCCATCGGTCCGCGCCGGAGTAAGTAATTCCAATTAACACATTCGATAGACATTACTGACAGTGCGTTATAGTGTTCAGCGGCGATGCTCTCTACTCCTCTCTCCAATGGTTCTGGCTTGTTGGTGCCGTCACTCCCATTATCACCTGGTTTTTGGCGCGCCGCGCCCCTAAATCAATGTTTGGATTTGTCCGGTCTATCAACATGCCGCTGGTCTTCGGTGGTTCAAGTATGATACCGCCCGCTACATCGTATACGTACCTCTGCTGGGGAGCGGTGGGTATGTTCTTTAACTACTACGTTAAAAGAAGGTGGAATGGCTGGTGGTTACAGTACAACTATATCACGTCTGCGGCTCTCGACTGCGGCCTTGCGATTTCAACCATCATCATCTTCTTCACCCTCTACCTTACATCCGCTCAGCTACCGAAATGGTACGGGAATTACGATGTCTTCGACACACTTGACCAAACCGGAATGGCCATTAAGAGCTTTGTTGCTGAGGGCGAAACCTTTGGGCCGACGTCCTGGCCGTGATCGACGCATTCTAGATGATGTACCAATCCATCACCCGAGGGAGAGGACGGTGCTAATGGAAAGTGTGGCTACCTATGTAACATAACTATAACTGATACCAATCATAAAATTAAATCGGAATTCTGATGATGCCTTTTCGACGTACACTGTTGCCTTAGGTGTCTGAAGGTATAATATTATCTATGTAGCTTGTGGCCACGTAAATAAGAATTCGAACCAAGGGGTATTATAGCACTGCGCTCCGATGTGTCTAAATCGACAGTTTCATGTATTCAGCATTCCATCGACCCCGACTACACTACCATTCATATACCTGGCTTCGTCGCTCATCAGGAAAGCCACGACCTAAAATGAATCAGTAATAGCATAGGTTTTTATATGTGACCACAGGTACATGTGGATGACACCGAAGAGCGTGCCACAAGCATAGTCTCTAGGGAGTCAGGTTGTGGTTCAACGAAGGAGGGCGCCTGCTTAGCTGTACCCGTGGAAGCTCTCGATGGTAGTGGTAGACAATGAAATGATAAAGACTTACACCCGCAATATCGTCTGGCGTGCCCATTCTACCTAGTGCGTTGCCCTGCTCCATCCCCTTTCTCGCTTCAGGCGTGCCCTTGACGATTCCAGCATTGGTAGGGGTATCAATGTAACCGGGCGTGATAACGTTCACGCGTATATTCTTGGGACCTAGTTCGAGGGCCATACATTTGCTAAACCCGATGACGCCAAACTTGGTAGCGCAGTAGATGGCAGTTCCCTTGCAAGGATTCCACCCGGATATGGAGCTGACGTTAACATAGCTGCCGCCCGGCGTCGTCATATGTGGTATGGTGGCTTTTGTTACATTGTACATCCCCTTCAAGTTCACGCCAACGAGCTTGTCGAAATATTCCTCGCTCGTCTCTGTCAGGGGCATGGATGTGGGATTAACTCCGGCACAGTTGAATACGTGATCAATGTGCCCATACTTAGTCACGATCTCTGCTACGCGCTGTGCTACATCAGCTGCGTTCGATACATCAAGAACCAGGCTGGTGTGATGCTTTGAATCGTTGCCGCCGCCGCCACAGAGTTCAAGGGTCTGGGTGATGCCGGCTTCATTGATGTCTGTGATAGCAAGTACGGCTCCAAGTTTATGGAGTTTTATAGCTGTGCCCCCTCTAGGATAGGAAAGATATAGGTGAGTGAATGTGAAAGCAATTGAAAGGCCTTACTAGTAAAAGCGTTGTACATACCCAATCCCGCTTGCTGCACCAGTAAGGAGTATCACTTTACCCGCAAGGCTGGAACTCGAAGACATCTTGAAGTCGTAGTCCATACAGACAATGACATCTAAAGGTATAAATTCCAATCTATACGCCTCCCTACGTCTTCTCGGCTCTATGATGCTGTGGCAATCAACCCCCCACTTGTGAGCTCCCCGCCTGCGGGCTTGATTCTTATCTCCTCGCATGCACAACGCCAAGAGTGGGAGGTGGGAGACAACGCTTCATTTAAACCAAGCATGATACTGTTAATAAAGGGGCATTTGAGGAGTGATATTGCGTGTTCCCTAGGTTCTCCTTCTAATAAGGGCCTATCATGTAAGGTAAAACATAAATATGTACATCCCTCTCTTCAAGTTCCGAATGCATAAGTCCGTGAAGCCTCTCTAATAGAGGTAGGCTGGGTAATTACCATATCCCTAACCCTGGCCGCCTTTGAACTCCCCGATGAATATTCGAACCGGATAGAAAACCAGTCTAGGCTCGACACCCACGACTGCCACGCATGCAGCGCAAAGAGCAAGACAGATGCCAGGGTATATAAACTGCAAGTGCACCATAAACCGTACCATTCTAAACGCCGTGTCGTGAGAAAATACAAGCCCTTCTTCATTCGTAAAACCGTTCATCCCATTCATGTTCTAATAATTCCACTGGAGCTGGCCACCACGACACTATAAAAGGAGTTAGCAGCTACTCGGAGAACGAGAAGGCCAGATTGAGACCGCTTACTTAAAGGCCCATCGATGCTTGACACATGGCGGTCCGTCGACATCACATGGGAACTATTGTTGGCGACCTTTTCGTCGATCCATTCGTGTTCCATTAGCTCGAGTGGCTCAGGCCACCAGGACATCAGCGGCCCGGAAATCTCCAACACATGGCTCTCTTCCGGTGCAGCTATCCGGACACGCTTGTTCTGGCTATCCAGACCCGATTGCTTGGAAGGCTGAACCGTCGCATGGGGTGACGACTCCTCTGCTTGCCTTCCAAGGAAGACGGGGAATTCGAAGCCGTCTTCGAATTTTAGCGGACTTCTTCGGTGAAAGATATCCGATGAGGGCGAAAAGTACACACCTTCGTCGAAGTCGGACTCGCAGTCGCTGAGGACAGGCGTTTCGTTGGTCTCCGTCTCGGGTGTCTGGGCGCCCGAGGGCTGGGACTCCAACGGCGTGGCGTAGCCGTCCCGGTAGACGTGGTTGATGATGACTTTGTCTTTGTGACCGGCGTGGTGTAGGTGGTTCACATAGAGGAGATGAGAGAGGTCGTCCTCGTTGTAGATAGCAACCTCAGGGTTAGGGTTAGGAGGGTTGCTATCTACTGAGACGGAGCTTGGTTCGAACGTGGCGTGGGCTCGGGAGGCCAACTGTTCCATCTGGAAAATATCTCCCTGCATTGTTCTGCGATTGGTAAAAGTTTTGGTCTGATTGTGATGGTAGTATATCCTGATGATAGACTGGTAGATATACAGATAGCTGGGCAGATATTTTGTCCATCTTATATACAGGAAATCAAAGGCCACATGCCCCATGCCAGGTGAGTTGAGTAAAAAGCCATTGCTGTTCCACTATCGTGCTAGAGCCATCCTATCCTCGAACTATTAAACCCGAACTATTCTCGTCTCATCCGACCAAGAGCTGATGGCTTCGAGAGTTTTGTCTCGCCTAGCGGAAGACTCCCTGAGCTTGAATAATTCAAGAAAAAAGAAAAGCGGGTTTCTAGTGGTATGTTATTGAATCACTGTGCTATTGATGGTCGTATGATTGGTGCAGGGTAGTCGAACTGGTAAAACCTATTGAAATGTTACGGGGCGCAATTAAGGCTGAGGTCCCGGTTTATCCCGAATGAAGTCATTTTCTAGTCCCCTTGGCAAAAAAAATCAGGGCTGGGACTCTCAGCACGTTTTGTTTGTGGCCTTATTCAAATTTTTCTTTCCAGCACTACGGGACGGCCCACGGCGGCCTTGAGGTCGGCACCGCTGATGAGCCTGGTTTTTGCGTAGATCCGGGATCCGCGATCTCTTATGCCAAAAAGCGGTGATGTCCTCCCTTGGCATAACACGCTACTGCGATATCAGCCAGTGTCTAGAATTACACACACCGAATCTAGAATTGAAGAGTTTTTTTTTCTTCTCTTCCTTTCGTCCTTGTCGCCTATATTATAATGCATCGTCTTATATACACTATTTAGTTTAAGGGGTAACCTGTAGTGGAGCTCTTTGCTTTACCCACAGTACTACTTTACTTACAACATGAACTGATGAATGAGCTGACGAACGAGAAGGGCATGGTTTACAACGACGGCATTTGTAGGCATACGTAATTCAAAACACTATTTGATTGTGAAATATAATAAAATCTAGGACGCCCCGCAAAGATGATATGTCAATAAATGATATTCTACAGGTCAATTAAGTACGTACACTTGTGTAGCTACGCGTCTAATAATAGGGGTTAGGAAGATAGTGTGCAAACCCTTTATACTTCCAGACAACTGTATTTTACCTCCTTAAAAGCCTTGCTAAACTATACGAACGTCTTAGCTAGATACCCCTATAGTAGTTTGACCCTTTCCCCGGTTCCTATTCCCTTCCTGTAGTTGTCCCGTTAGTTTCACTTAAATAGTGTCCCTCAAGTCTCATCCGCACCTAGGCGACATGATTAATGATTTCCGTCTTCACAATTTCGGGGTCTCTATTCGCATCCGCCCGGACGACATGCATGCCCAATCTCTCGAGGGCATCGAGTATTGGGCCACATTTCGCGGTAGTCCGTTTAAGTCCCGACCATACCTTGTCTGAGCCTGCGTCGTCCGGTCGCCCACAAATCTAGATCGTCCCATTATACGAAGGACCGAGATCTCAGGCAGGCAGAATAGATACTTATGACGTACGATCCGCTGGCGGCATCTGCGCTAGCCATTCGGCGACGCGTTCTCCTTGACATGGGAACCTGTCGATAAGCCAGGTCATCTGCCTATATTGCTCCCGTATCCGTGCGAACTCATTTATTAACGCCATTTCTGAATAAATTGGGGTTTTTTTTTAAAAAAAAAAAAACAAGTCTTGATGGGTCTATAGTTATGAGGGCTATTCTTATGTCCCTTGTGAAAGGTGGTCTGCACATATTTCGCTTGACTAATCGGTGCCTAGGCGTATTATTCGCCAGATCTAATATCAAGTAAACACACAACTAGACAAGAATTGCTTGAAATATAACTTGGCCAGCATTCCCGCAACTCGCTCTGCGTCTATCCCGCCAAACCCTCACCACTTACTTTTTCGAAAATTGGCCCGAATCTGCCATACCGGAGACTCCCAAGTCGCCTCGGTAAGGCCCAGAAACCGGTAAATGAACCTGCGCCCTTCGGGATTGGATGATAATTACCACCAAGCACGCTTGGTTGGTTAGGGCAGGACTGGTCAAGGGTATAGATCGTTCGCTGGACAGTGCGCTTGACGATATCAGATTTCTGTTTCGAGAAATCCATTCTTCGACCAGATGTCGTCAAGAGCTATATATTATTATTTCCGGTAATCTGGATTAGGGCCCTGGGACTTACAGCCATGGAGATGATGTGATGTTCTCGGTTGCCTTCCAATTCCAACTGCGCTAGCTTCTCGTCAGAAGAAAGGCTCATCTCACTTCCATCTGTCCCCCGAATGCCAAGAGTAATTTGTCTTCCATTCTCGTAAATGAAGGTAACGCCGGAAATTTCGTTGGCTATTTCCTTAAAGGTTACTTCGATGGTCGTGACGGGATTTGGCCGACCGTTTTCATGAATCTCCCGCATGAATATCTTTTGCATAACCGCCCACGGGGGACATGAATGGCCATCCGAATATGCAAGCGACAGTGCTGCGAGACCGTTTGTCCTCGGCGAGTGGAAGATTCGTACATGATCCCACTATCATACCAGAGATTAGAACCCGCGAATCGTGTCTCGCGGATTATGCGGGACGAGCTAATAATTCCCGAGTCTGGGCAACTTGATTGTGTGGGTTCTGCTCATGAGGGGAAGAATCAGGAGAAATGATGTTATAAAAATACTTACTTCATAGTTACACCCCCAGAGAATTCCACTCTTCGTTGCTGAGTTAATGGATATTGATCATTTATAAAGTGCCGGGCGGATCGTACTCACCAATTTTTCGTAAGGGTTCTCTCGGTACTGCAGACGTATCTTTCCACCGCGGTGGGAATCTAGAAATTCCTTGCTGTTGCCACGGATAGTCCCTATTCTAAGTCTCTTGATAGGACCATACTTCACTCGCCTATGTTGGTTTGTGTAATCGTGCCAGGTCACCACCTCTGTTACTCTTTCTCCCAACGACAGATCCAAGCTATCAAGCTCCTTTATCCATTGCCCTAAAATTACCGGCACGTTAGAGTCGTGATATTCGAGCCACAGGCCCGAGATATGGCCTTGTACGCCGGTATGTTCTTCGTCATTTACTGAAACACGGATCTTCTTAAGACCTGATAAATCCGCAGCCGTGAAAGCAAATCCTCGGGGATAAGCCAATATGTCTTCGGCCAATTTCTGAATATCGACAGTGATAGGAATGTGATGCGGAACTCCTGATGGCTCAAATATAGGCTCTTGTAGCTTCATACTTACGACTTGAGAATAGGTGGAAAGGTCTCGAAAGTGTCCGAGGGGTGACTTCAGCCGAGATATTAGCTAGATCCTTTCGGGGTAGCTGGATACCGCGTCGATGTTCTCACCTGAACCTTCGCATACAAACTTGTAAAGTGCATTCCTGGCTCGGGTTGCAGGACTTGAAGTACCTCCCTACCCTTGAAGGGCCCTGTAGAATCTCTTCCGTACAGGCGAAATTGGTTCGTCCTATCCAAATTGGTCGAGACCTGGAGTGAATTCAAATAAGTCTTCCTTCCTTATAGGTAGTAGCCATATAGCATACTTATCAAGGGCGTGAGTAGATAGCAAAGGGTGGGAGGGGAGCCATACCGTGATAGCCTGGATAGTATCCTCATCGGGATACCGAGAAAGGACTATTTGAGTTATCAATTCCCCACGAGGGCCGTTGATGAAGAAACTCTGTCGAATCGCCGGCGTGCTGACTATATATTCGAAACTGCTTCTGAACGACTTACGACCGTAAAGGCGCTCGCTCCCATCTCCATAAATGAAACAAATTCCCAAAAACACTGACGGATAACGTCCCATTAGGACGTCAACCCTGACGAGCGACTGCAGTAATCGTCCGTCGGGGCCACCAAAATCCATGTTGAGGCACAACTTGAAGTACTGTGTGGGTGAAGCGTCGGGGAGATACCACACTGGAGAAATCGTAGGGATATTCGGATTCCACACCTCTAGCGGCTCTGCGTTCTTGAATGCCTGGTCTGAGTACTTCTCTATAGAATTGGATAAAGCTTGTGCCGCTTGCTCTATAAAGGAAATGGATATTATTTTGCACGCCTATTACAACCGTCAGCCATTCCGTTCTACCTACGTGTTACTGTTGCTTTCCCAACTTACGTCAAGCCCGAGGTGGAAGCCAATGCACCGCATACCGTCGCTTGGAACTAGTTTGGCAATTCCACTTCCTGGGTCTGTGAGTTCCATATCCCCTATTGAGGTAGTGCACGAGTCTTCCAAGCCTCGAATATGAAAACGCAAACCTATTATACCCTTCGTGGCCATGGCAACATCGAGTTGTTCTATAGAGCTATTGGGGCCCATGAGTATTTCGTGTTCTTTACGCGGATTAACGAATGCCACCCTAGGCAATTCGTCGACATTGTCCAGGCCGCCGGTCGTGAGAAGGCGGAAACCGCTGATGTGTGTCTTACCGTTTAGGTTAATAGTTGAAACCCGCAACGTCTTAGACACGCTGTCTAGAGATCGTGGCCAGGTGAAATTTCGCCACCCGAAGAGCCGGCAGCTCAAATCAAGTGGAAGCATCGTATGAGGAATGCGAGGATTGATAGATTCGAAGCGCGCCTCTGCGAATACCATACCCTGAGGCAATGGTCTCGCCGTAATCGATGGGAGGTCTTTGTCTATCCACTGTTCGTTTTCCAAGCGTACGTGTAGGGCATCATATATATGTTGAAATATATGCCAAATACGACGTCGGTTTTTGAGGCCGTAGAACATTTCGGACCTTAGAGCCGCCTTCTACATAAATAAGTATACGTTAGAGTGTCCCCTCATGATGACATCCCTGAGAATTTCTGATCGCGAGTACATTAATCGGCATGGTGGAAAGGGAGGAAGGCAATGGAAAGACAGCCGTTTCAAGAAAGCTTTGATTCTCAGAATAAGATCGACTCATACATACGGCTTTGAAATACAGCGTGCGCCAGTTTGCAGGCTCTATAGGCCTCGGTTTGGAGAGGCCGGCGAAGACAAACCCCATCTCGAACTCGGGATCGAATCGGCTAGACCAGAACTTCTGATCAAGTAACATCGGAGAGGAGAGATCTGCTACATATCTAGAAATGAGTCGTAGCTTGCAAACATCTTTGCTTGGTAGACAAGCAAGGACAAGCATGATGAGTTCCCCAGGGAGTAGGCACAATGCATCTGACTCGCCATAATTTCCGCGGTGCGTGCCGAGGTGAGCGGAGCCGACGTAGAGGGATAATGCCCCATCCTCAAGGCCATCATCGTCCGGTTCGAACTTCTCGGCCACATCGCCGGTAATGAAGAAATAGTCAGATTCTTTCAAACGTGTAAAATAATTATGATATAGCTCCCCGCTTCGTAAGTGGAAATCAGAGGCGTGGCCGTAGTCATGGCCAGGAACGAGAGCCTTGTTCGCGTGATTCACAGGGGTGTTATACAATAAAGCGAATAAGTGTTGGGCCAACTTGTCCGGGGAAAAGTCATGATCTGGATCGATTCGGTCTCTGAGAAGCTCCCAGCAGGCGTTGTGGACGGCGTAGCACCAATATCCTGCCGTTCCCTCCGCATAATAACTGATCTGGTGTCCTGTAAAATAGTCGTCTAGTTGTTGCTGCGGACCACAGTCACGATAATGACATTCATACGCGATAGGAGCGATGATGCATTCATCCGACTCCAGCCAGCCAACACCCGTTACAAACGGAAATTTGAGGCCCTCCGTAGTCCGTACTGGAAGAGAAAAGAAGAGCGAATGTTTAGCATGACGAGATAAAGCCGGTATTGGTCGGAAATTGACATACCGGCTCGAACTTCTTGTAACCAACTGACAGGATACTCAGGACTGGCTAGACCGTCGCCGGGGTTTATCCAGACGTCAATTAAGACGTCGCAAAGAGGACAATATCTGTTCGGCATGATCGGCGAAGAGGTTGCAATATTTGATACTCTCTGTTAGTTGTCGTTGCTATTGTTGTTGCCGCTGATCTTGTTGTTGTTGTTGCAAGCAGAAGGCTGTCTTGTTGGATTATACCTGATATACTCCTAAGCCATACCCCCTATCCGGATTAGGTGATTCTCGTCCGATTGCAATGCCGTCCTCGACACCGCAACTAACTGATCATGATTGTAGATACGGATAAAATGAAAAGCATCTATCTGGGTACCAAGGTAGGTGGTAGGCACGCACTGTGGATCATACCTATATCCAGTCATTTTAAAGCCACAATGGGATATGTCGATGTAGCTCATCTGCTTTATACCCAATAATCTCAGTTTTCACGGCATTCTATCCTGACAGTGGGGACGGATTTCGGAAACGGGTTTACACAAAAGGAGAACAAGTCTTTCGTAGTAACAAGTCCAAGTGGAAATTATATCAACCCAACCCAATAACCCAATAACCCAATAACCCAATAACCCAATAACCCAATAACCCAATAACCCAAAAGGAAAACAAAAAAGAAAAAAGGACGGGACCATCTTGTCATTGGCCCGGCCGCAGATATGCTACAGCAAAATGTATATGATTAACCGCATGCCCTTACCTTCCAGGATATGATATTATGTAAACAATAAAATAAAATATATCATAGCTTATTGGAACACGAGCAGCCAGCCAAACCAGCCAAGCCACCTGACTTCCGTTTAGAAGATACCGTTCACGATCTTTCCACCAAGAGTAGCACCCGCGCCGAAGATGGCCGCGTTTCCCAGCTTCTTGCCAAACTTCTTACCGCCCTCTTCAAGCTTGCTCGGAGTTCCGCTTTGGCCGCTCGGGTTGCCACCTCCTTGCGCCACGGCCATGGGAGGGACATGTGCGTTGTAAGGATTCTGAGCCTGAGGCGGCGGTGGGTATGCCCCGTTGCCTGCCGGGGCCGGGGCGGGCGTAGCATATACTGGTTGCGGCGGGGCATAGAAGCCAGCCTTCTCGCTATTATCTATCTCGACGTAGTTCTTAGGAAATATGCCTTCAGCATTCGTTCTCTTGTTACGTCCCATCCACCAGTCGTCGTTCATGTACTCGTACACCGCAATCTTGTCGTCACGCTCGAACGACAGGTCTCGGTCGTCGGCCGCCTGGTACTTGTAGAGCGCCTTCGCATGAGCTATGATCGGCTTCGTGGGAGGTGGGGCCGGCGGCCCCGCACGCGCAGGGAGGGAAGGCGGTCCAGTCGAGCTGTAGGCCGGAGGAGCCGGATGGTGAGTCGGGTTCTGATTGATAGCTAGATTCGCCATCGAGTTTACCGGTGGCGAGTGTTGCTGCGCCGGCGCCGGCGGCGGTGACGCTACAGACGAGTTTCGCAAGGCGGGTGTAGGCGCGCCGGAGAGAGATGTCTCTGCAGGAAGCATCCGATGGATCGAGTCGAATACATCGTCGGTTACAACGCCTTTCTCGAGGAGATGCTCAAGTTCCTAGGATTCGTAGTCAGCGTGGAGGACTGATGGGCACTAGGAGATAAGAAATAGGAAATATCAATCATAATCTCGGAAGGCATACATTCTTGATAAGCCGGAGCGACTTGTTGGTCGCAATGATTTCCTGGCGCTCGAGAGAAACCATCTTGCCGAAAAGAAGATTATTTCGGTCGAGTAGTCAAAGACTGCGAGACGGAAGGCTTCGGAAGTGAGACGATAGCCAATTGGTAGAAAGATGGAAAAAGAGGTTGTTGCAGGTTATGTAGTTTGAAAGGTAGTAACAGTCAACTAGAAGATTGTTGGTGGAATGATAAAATCCCCGTTCTTTTGAAGTTCCAAGGTTCTAAGGTTCAATGTTTAATCGATGTCCTTACTTACCTACAGTGGTCCTACACTAGGTCCAATGACCACAACGTGACAGGAAACAGTGGCTGTGCATCCTTCCCCCACTGTTTTAGGTACACCCATGGCCAAGCCGGATGTAGATATGTATGTTAGGTATGTACCTAGGTAGATCCCATATTCATGTTGGTCCATATAAATTTCATAGGTTATACAATACGTGTGTAAGTCAAACCATAGGCATACGATATTTCTTGCAAGTAGGTCGTGTCTCGTTCGACTTATTCTTCATTGAAAATAATCCAAAATAGCTATCCGGATAGGCTCATAGATGACATATTGGCTTTCCGTAGCCCGGCTATATAACCTGCAATCCTAAACGAAAGGGCTGTTCTTCACAACATATTTGCTGACGTATTCGTCGACGTCTGTAGCCTCTAGCTTCTTCCCATCCATCCCTAACTCGACTAACTCCTTCACTTGCGATTCGGAGAGGTGAGGTCCCAGATGCCGCTTGTACTTGGCCAAGATATGCGGCTTGGCCTCTTCTCTTCTCAGACGGTGTCCCAGCGGCGCCTCAACTACTACTTCGTCCAGGATCGTGCCGTCATTCAGCTCGACCGTCAGCGCGTTAGAGATTGTACGCAGCTCCGGGTCGTGGTAATCCTTGGTGAACTGCGGGTCTTCGACACACTTTATCTTCTTCCGGAGCGACTCTACTAACGGTGATGTCGCCGCCTCACTGCCGTCCGTGTAGTCGGTCGCCTCCAGCCGCCCGAACACGAGCATTACCGAACACATGTACTGGATGCAATGGTCGCGGTCGGCGAAGTTATCCATCGGCTTGAATTGTTTATCAATAATACGAACGCAGGCCTCGTGCGTTCTGCACGTGATACCCTTGATATCAGCTGCCGACTTGCCCATTTCCTTTAGTTTGTTGTGTACCTTCTGGGAAGCCTCCACAGCCGTCTGAGAGTGGAATTCGGCTAAACGCAAGAAGTTAGCAGTTAAGGAGGCAATGGTGCTCGGTGACATTATTAGCTGAACTGACCTGGATAAGAGACCTTGAACAGGACATTTTCCATTACGTAGCTGCCGTAGGGGCGCTGGAACTCGAATTTAATGCCTTTGAACAAGACATCATAAAACCCCCATACGGGTGCTGATAAGACGGTGGGAATGCCGGGCTCGCCCTTCATAACTTTCAACGCGAGGTTCACAGCTCGCTGGCAAGCGTCACCGGCGGCCCACGACTTTCGAGACATGGTGTTCGGGGAGTGCCGGTAGGTTCGCAAGCTCTGTCCGTCGACCCAAGCCTGGGTGACGGCATCAGCAATCTGCTTCTCGCTCAAACCCAGCATCTGAGACACGACCGCCGCGCTGGCAACCTTGACAAGCACGACGTGGTCCAGCCCGACCTTATTGTATGAGTTAAGTAACGCTAGGCAACCCTGGATCTCGTGCGCCTTGATCATACCCTCGAGGACATCCTTGACCGTAAAGATCTTGCCTCCTGCAAGCTTGCCGCCCGCCTTGTTGGTACGATTAACCCAGTCAGCAACAGCCAGGATAGCACCCAGGTTATCGGAGGGGTGGCCCCATTCAGCAGCTAACCAGCAGTCGTTGTAATCGAGCCATCGTATCGCAGCACCAATATTGAAAGCACCGTTGACGGGGTCAAGGATGAAATCGGTACCGGGAACTCTCGTGCCGTTGGGAACAACCGTGCCCGGGACTATGGGGCCAAGGAGCTTTGCGCACTCCTTGAATCGCAAACCCTCGAGCCCGCAGCCTAGAGTATCAAGGAATACCCATCGTGCAGTGTCAAACTGTTACGATGAACATGAGAAAGCACCAATTAGCATCGCATCCTTCTACCCTATCAACGTAAGACAGATTCATACAGCTAATTCAGAATTGATTGGCTTGGTGACATAGCTTGCGATGTCCCTGATCTCGGGGTCGTATTCTCTTGCTTCCTGAGGCATTGGAGGGGCAGATTTTTGGGCGGCGGTGGTGGAGAAGGAGGAGGAAGAAGAGCGAACGGCGCAGGTGGGGTGTGTTAGTCGAGCCGTAGAGGCTCCGAATTTCGCCGTTACTGCTCGTGAAGAAAGACTGAGAGGGACGGTTCTCCGCAAGGTGGTTGGTTGTAAGCGTAGTGATCGGGAAGCTGTTCGAAGACCAAGATTGGCAGAAGACATCGTGTCTTAGTCGTATCTCCTCTGGATTACGATTGTTTACCTATACTAGGTACGGATAGAAGGTTATCACAACCTAGACGCTATTTATGTGAGAAGAATATGAGGGTAGATAAGTTACATAGGTAGTTCTTACTAAAGGACCCTCGGTTCGGAAGACTGGAGTGAAGCTCCGGTTACATGCGGCCAATAGAGGGGCACATATGCCAAGCTTTCCCATTACCGAACTCTGTTACCTGCATGGGTGGCTACAAGGTACTAGGTATGTACCTAGGGCAGCTACGGAAGAGTAGTAGGTACCTTTAACATTACCTTATAACGATGCCGTCTCCAGCCCCTTTTCTTTATCCGAGATACCCATCTTACACCGATACCTTCATGTGATCATCGTTGAAAGGAAAAATAAACGCCAATTTCGGAACGAATAAAAATATAAAAATATAGGTAATGTATCAGAATCGAATCAAGCTACTTGGTCATCTAGTTAAGAAGGTAATTACCAAACCATGGCACCTCTGACATATCCACGATCGACTAGCTCCCTGAAGTTTCTCTCCAGGCACTTCAGTTTATACCCGTCTAGATGTCCACCACGCCCAAGAATGTCGATGATCCGGTCGAAGTCAAACTCCTCGGACGTGCGTGAGCATTTCTCTAGGACCCTTCGTAGGATAGCTGTCCTACACCGCGGGTCTCTAACTGCCGTGCTCAAGCTGAGGGTCACCAATGACTGTTTAGTCATATTAACATCTCCGTCGATGTCCCTTTTTAGCTGCTGCATGATAGCCGCGTACTCATCTCTCAGCTCCCTTAACGTCCAGGGGGCATCTTCATAGCGATTACTCTCGGCTTCATCCTCGTAGCATCCCTTCTTTCTCCAGAATTCTGGCGCCGGCCGCCATCGCCACACGAATGGGTTGAAGTCTCTGACAAGCCAGCTCGGTAGAGCCTCGTTGCCGGCCGACTTTGGCACGATCCGCACGCTGTCCCAGCCTAAGATCCCCTTAACATCGCCCTCCTTGGAAACGACGATGTTGCGCATCTTCAGGTCAAAGTGTGTGAGCACGAACCTCATCGTCTTTGCTCCATCCTCCTTTTCCTTGTCTTTGCGAAGTCTCGACCTTGGCGGCTCGTGGATGAAGCTGATGAGGAGACGGAGAAGCCTATCAACCCCTGTGTCTGCCTCGCCATCACATGGGTATTTGTCGAGAAGCGCCGTGTACATCTCGGCCACATCATTAAAGGGGCCTATTTCAGCGTAAATTGGCTCCCTTTCGCATTCCTCGTTCCCTAACCAACGGTTGACCATAGCCTGTACGTCCAACTCCCTCAGGGGTCCGGCACCAACCAGTGATTCATTATCATCGAACAAAGGTGCACCGCCGCGCTCGAATTCGTATTTACCAAGCTGTAGCATTAACCGCGCTAGGTTTTGCAGAACTCTAGCTCTTCGTGCCCTAACTGTGCTCTCATCATCACCATCTTCCCCAAACCAGGCTTGATCTAGCGTCCAACCTTCCACGTAAGTCATGATACAGTAAGGCACATGTAGCTTGTTGTGTGGAGTGGCTTCGAAGTCGATGAGCTCTGGTACCGGGATTGTCGTTTCATGAGAGAGTTTATAGATCATTAGAGCCTCCGTGCGCAACGCTTCGGCACAAAGCCTATCCCAAACGTCTGGCGTACCATTAGTCGGGATCTTGATGATCCACTTGGTGGTCTCGTGGTATTGTGCATCGTGGATCTCGATTGAGTAGAAGACGTGAGCCGAACCGAAGAGGGGGCCACGGACGAGCGGTAACTGCAATGGGGCCGGGCGGTAGCCTATATGGCGTTTGCGGTGGACTTGCATGAGTTTGAGTGCGTAGGAGGCGATGGCCTTCGTATCGACCTGAGAGAGTATCCCGGCAAAATCCCGATGTTCTTTCTGACTCTTCTTGCATTCCGGAATAGTCTCTCCTATCGGCGCGGCATCGACAAGCGCGTCTCTGAGTGAGGGCAGGACATTCTCTTCTATAACTCGCTTCGTGCTGCCTGCCTTGACTCGCCATCGCTCAGGCTTCACTAGCTTGGTCATTCCAGCCCATATCTTGTTAGTATTTAGTCCGCCAACATAGTCAACATGCGCCTCATTCCCGTAGGCATGCGATGAAAGCCCAAAAACTAAGCCAAGGTCTTCATGGTAATCTTCATGTAGTCGAGCTAATTCAGCTTGACGCCCAAAGCGAGACCGCTCCACGTAACCCTTTTTTCGCGAAATTGACATAGTTCCATAGATGAAGAAAGAATTGGTGAGTATTATTTGCAAACAATGCCATTGAGAAGTTTTGTAAATGGCAAGTAGATGTTGGGGCTTTTACAGTACCTGGGTAGGCTGTTATGACAAAGAAGACCGACTTCAACGCAGCGCCTGTGGCGTTTTATTATCCACATCCGGAAACCAATTTCGAATACCAATGTTCCGAGTTCGTATCTACCCTATTTCTATGAGCCTTGGTATGTAAGTTGGACGAAACTATTCTATGCCTGATATTTCCCTTTCTTCATGTGCATTGAAGGATACCCAAGTTCTATGTAGGCATATGAGTACCGTCGTCCCTTCGCGCCCCCAATTCTGTTGACATCTGCAATACTCAAGCCTTCCTCGCAGTACATTACCACGGCCTTTTTTGAGAAAGACCAGAGACCGAGGAGAGGCGGACAAATGGTGCTGCCCATGCTAACACGTCTAAGAATTTAAGAGGGAAAAAAAAAAAAGGAAAATAAAGGCCCAGCGTCTCCGCAAAGTTGTTAGCATCCGACAACGAACGACAATGTACACCCAATTCAACCACGTCTATTACGGCTCCAATTCGTTCGTTGTTGGCCCATCAGCCAGCCCGTCGACCATTGTGTAATTCGTAGCCAAGAGGAGTACTACCGCGACCGATACCACCAAGTACCAAGGCCGATAAGGACAAGCGCAACAAAAGCCATGAGACCTCGTCTTGAAAGCGAGACGAGCATCGACCATCCAATGGTATATTCCCATTTCTTGACCTGGGCCCGGTGTTCCCAGGACTGAAAATCGATTGGGAAAGGCAGCTTGATGCGTGGGTCTACGGGTTGATGTTGGTCGGCACTCAACTCCGTCTTGCAAGCAGACTCAGTTGGCAGAAGCTTGGCGGGCTCGAGCATCGGAACCTTCAGGCGCAAGAATACAGCTCTATGATCACTCGATCGCATTGCAGGGATCGCGTCGTAGGCCAAGACGTTCATCTTTACGTCGCCGACTGTTTCTCGAACCCACCAAGGGATGTCAAGGAATAAAATACGGTCACACCAGCCAGGCCACCGATGAATAGCCCAGGACCAGGAATCGTCTTGCTCATTCTCGGCCTGACTCAGCTCCCCCTGAGGGTCGCTTTTAGGCAAAAATGTAAGCTTGTAGGTCGGTGGAAATTTGATGGGCGCCTCGCTCAATCCATTTAGTGTACGTCCAGCAGCCTTCTCTATGGCAAGTTGATCGCGAGATAGGAATCGAGAAAAGTGATTCGGGCTCTCGGGGTCGATATCTGGAAAGGTAGAGTCTGAGGTTGGTGGCTTCTTAGATAGACGATAATTGAGATCGCCGGCAACAAAAAGATGGGAGCCTGGCTTGTACACAGAGACATTATGCGTAGCTTTGAGTGTTGAATCCTGTTCAAGGAGAGGTTCTTGTGTTTCAAAATCCCCATCGCCGTCAAGTGTGCGCTGCGTCGACGGCCGCTCCGCAATCTTCTTGGGGTCCTCGAATGTGAGGCCAGAAACGATACTCTCCCAATTCTTGTTCCTTTTGTTGAGATTCCACTCCATAGCGGCTAGATGGGCGCTGACGAAGGTAAGTTCAGTTGACGCCAGTGACGAGCCATCCTCATCTTCCTTTCTATAAAGCATCCGAAGTCCTACAGCGCCCTTGTTTGCCATATCACCGGCACCAAACCCAACTTCGGCTGTTTGAAGATTTCGTACAGCGGCTGGCTCGCGGGCGAATAGCAAAATGCCTGTCATACCAACATTTCGCGTGGTCACCAACGTGTATGGACTATCTTTTGGGCGGTTCTCCCGTTCCTCCTCTGCAATGAACTTGGCAGCTGCAGTATTGACGGCCGTTTCATAACGTTGAAAATATGGGCTGAGTACGTGTGAACCGATGAACGCCTGAGCTAAAGGGGCCATCTCCTGGAGGGAACTGGGTAGTATTAAATAGGCAATTAGTATTTTTGCCAGTGCTGGCGCTATATGCTTGCGCTACTCACATGACAAGCAACTCTGGTAGGCTTGAAGCATTTTGACCGAAAGCATTATAGAGGTGTCGAGCAAAAACGGGAACGTTAATCTCATGTTTGGCAGCGTTGAAGGTAAGGATGAAGACATCCAGATTGGGAACTGATTCCATTGTTGAAAGATGTGAGGGATCGAGAGACAATTGTAGCTATATGGCTTCCGATGTTTATTGGTGTTAATCAGTGTTGAACTTATTAGGTACCTATATATATGTATACATACCGAGGTATACCTATACATATGTATGTATGCGTATGTGTATATACCAGACCCAGATATGTATGCGCGTAGTTGCAATGGAAGGAAGCTTTGGTAGTGGTGCTGTAGCACCTTTCCCCAAGATCTCGGGTCCAAATGGTGTAGGTGGGTAGGTGGGTAGGTGGGCTGGTGGGGTGGGACTCACGTCAAGGGGGAAAAAAGCAAGGAAAGCAAGCTTCTACTGGTACTGGTACTATACCTATTATGTCATCGACGTAAATGCTCGAATTCGGATATTCAGGGTCCTTCTATATCCGGTATTACAAGGATGTATGTAAGAGAGATTCATTCCAGCCTCCATCTGTCCAATATCTTCCTTTTCTCTCTTATATAATTCTTTATTTTCGTCAACGTCGTGTCTTGTGGCTGAGTATTTTCACTAGATACCTGCCCTTGTCAGCCGCTGCAAGAGAATTCCGCATACTTATAGTCCATGTGACCCGCTGGAGCTTGCACAGCCTCCTTACACCGACTATGTACGAATATGCAGAACCGTAGAAAGTAGGACCATTGCTGCTTTTCACGAGATTACGGAAGCAGCCACCGATATGCCTTGGATGTTGGAATTGTATACAGTGAGCGGACCCTCCATTCGTCGCGCCATGCCCATCGTAACATTTCACTCACGTATTCAAGGAGAGAATGTGCCAATGCAAATCAAATTCATTCTGTGTAACTACCTAACGTGTATTGGTTGCCTTTTGCCATCGTCGCGGGGGGGACCTCCTCTCCATAGAAGTTTTCGTCAGCTTGAATGACACTACCAGGTTGTCGGTGCCTCAAAGACGTCTTTCGAATCGCAGATGCCGGACCATCGTTCAAAAGTCGTGCTGTAGAGCTATGGTAGGTCAATGCTCCGTAGTGCACTGAACATGCTGTCCCTACAAAACTTGTGGAAGAATCGCCAACCTCCCATATCAATCCATCCCAGGGTGACTATTAGGGAATGTCTCCGACCACCGATTAATCACAAAATTGCGATGCCCAGCGCAACCCGAAGGTAACGACGGTATTATGCATCCACAATCTGTCTGCGGTCGACGGTACCAGTATGAATAACGTAGCTCTCCAGACTAGGTAGGTCGCGAACTATGAAGTCCTTTGACGAAGTTGGATCATTAAAGGTATCATTAGGCTGGCGTCGATCATAGTCGGTCCCCTAAGACGAAAACCCCACATCATTATGACATCCCCAGGAGAGGAGGTCGGCGTAAACAAGTCCAATATCTGAATGGGAAAATGAAAGGAAAGAAACCATCGGAGAAACGAAAAAGAAAAACAAGGCCTTGGTCATATCAGTAGGATGATGTATCGCATCGAAGGAGCATCAACAAATCAGGACGATGTGATAGGCCCTGAAACAGTTGAGTCCAGATCTCAGGCCAGTTGTCCACCTTATTCGTGGGTCGATTTGAAGTACGAGCGGACAACCTGCCATGATAGACTAGATCCCATTAACGACACCCCGAACGAGAGTGCCGGAAGTGCCGTTCAAACAATCTAAACAACTCAACAAGAACGTCGAACGTGTTTTCGAGACACATATCCACGCCTTCTAGAGTCGCCTAGATCGTCCGAGCCAAGGGAATTGAGTCGTAAACGGAGAGTCGTCGAAGAACGGAAACAATAGCAATCCATAAGATATGAGAAGGATCGTGTCTGGTCCTCTGTCCGGTGACATTTGGCGTATATCCATATCCACTGGCGGATATTCCAGAGCCAATACGAGAGGAGTGAGCGAGGACGCTACGGCGAATCCCAAGTTACTTTCCATTGTGCGGAGCGCACATTTGTTACGCCCGCTACAACGCAACGGGTGATACCAACGTAGAAGTGTCAGCTAATCATTTCGGCCGGTATGAACCAGATGCATATCCGGAGCCAGCACCCTGACCTTTGGAAGCTGATCGCAGCCTGTTACCGCAAACTGAAGTGTCAGCAATCATGTCAGCAGTTCCTCCGGCTAGCGCTGTAAATCACACCAAACTCGAAGGAAATATGATTCCTTACTAGGAATTCTTGGGCTGGGCTGGGCTGGCGAGACACTCACATCCTGTCGCTTCCCCCGACGGCACGGTTGGTTTCTGGAGTGTCAACGCCGGGAGCACCGCGCTCGATTACCTTGCGACGAGAGCTGGGGATTGCGTTGGGCTTGACGGCACCCGGCTGGGGCGTCTGACCTGCTGCCGCACCAGTAGTTCGGCGGGCCTTGTCGTCTTCATTGTCCTGGCCTGCGGCCTGGGCGATGGCCTGTGCATTCTTCTGGTACTTGTAGACCGTCCAATCAAAGACATAGTCATATTGGAATCCCTCACGGACGAAGAGATCGCGGAAGATCTTCCGGAGGTAGCTGTAATCGGGCTTGTCGTCGAATCGGAGAGAACGGGTGTAGTTCAGATAGATGGCAAACTCATTGGGAAAGCCACGGCAAAGAACCTCGGTCGGAGTGGTCATCTTCTTCTCCATGATCCGATCATACTTCTGCTTCTTAGTAGCAGCCTTAAGGCCCTGCCAAGGAAGGGAGCCTCGGCAGAAGTACAGCATAACGTAGCCTAGAGATTCCATGTCGTCACGACGAGATTGCTCTATATCCTTGTCAGTACCTTATACATTCACATGACGGAACCACGCTAACTTACCAACGCCGAGATGAGTGTTGATCGAAGCATATCGAGCAGTGCCGGTCAAGTTCTTGTTCTCACGGTAAGGGATGTGGAAGTGGGTCTTCGGGTCACGATACTTCTTGGCCAGACCAAAGTCGATAACATTGACTTGGTTGCCCCGCTTGCCGATTCCCATCAAGAAGTTGTCGGGCTTGATATCACGATGGATGAACGACTTGGCGTGAATGTACTCGATGCGAGAGATCAGTTGATCGGCCAGGAGAAGGACAGTCTTCAACGAAAACTTGCGGTTGCAAAAGTTGAAGAGATCCTCTAAACTAGGACCGAGCAGGTCCAGCACCATGGCATTGTAGTCACATTCCGTTCCAAACCAGCGGACAAAGGGAATGCCGACACCGCCGGCGAGGGACTTGTAGACTCGGGCCTCGTATTCCAGCTGGGGGTGCTTGGCCTTGACGGACTCAAGCTTGATCGCAATCTCCTCGCCGGAGATGATGTTCGTACCTAGGTAGATATCACCGAACGAGCCGGAGCCGATCTTGCGACCGATGCGATACTTATTGCCGACACGCAGATCCTGCCAAAAGTTAGCATAATCTCGGTCATTTACCTCCGGTAATGGAAGTCTCGTGATGTGTCTATTTGGGGATGTTCTGATGGAGACTATGGAGATGCCCCATCAATGCACACCGACATTCGATCCCCATCGCCCCAACAGAAGAGTGGCCTCTACTACATCCGTACGACATAGTCCGCTATCAAACAGAATCACGGAAATCAACACAGCAACATACCATTGTAGTCATGATGGCGGCGGTGATGAGCTATCGTGCTCGACGGACGCTAAGTCGGATAGGGTTGGATTGTGTTCTCGGACCAGGACCGAGAATTTGTTGAATCACGAACACCTGCTGTCAGCCTGTTAGAAATTTGAGCAGGAAGGATTGAAGTCCGTGTGTGGATTTGTGCATATGAAGTAGTGAAGAGATTGAGGATAGTTCTTGAATAGAAAGGAATAACAAAACGGTTACACGAAATTGCAACAGTGAAATGCAGCGATCCCAAGATGTAGTGCTTGAATTGTAAAACAAGAGTGGACGGGATAGATTAGTAAGAAACAAAGAGGAATGACTCTTCTAGAAAGTCAAACAAGAATGTGCGGTTATTTGAAGCTGACACTGGAAGCCGACAGCTGGACAGAATATAATGACTCCGACCGGGAGCAAAAGGCTGTGAATGTGGGAGAGGGGAGAGAAGGGAAACTCACTCAACGTTTGGACTCTGGCAATTTGCTTGCGTTGAAAAGGAAAAGTAATAGAATAATATGGGAAGAGAAGAAAATATGTAAAAGACGTGACGGTCGAATATAAGATTATTCGCCGGTTGGAAGTAACACGTCTCTCCGAAGAAGCTGTCGAAAGATGTGAATGGGAAGATTGCTTTCGGGCGAAGAGTGGAAAGTTAGTAGTAGTAATAGTAGTAGGTTGTGGTAAGGGGAGGAGGAAAAGGAAGAAGAGACGGCGGTGGACGAATTTGGGCGAAAAGTGGATATGAAAGAGTGGATTAGATGGGCTGGAATGGCAATTGGGGTTGGGCGCGCCTCATCAAAGCTGGGTAGGACCGACCCTGAAATCGATTGGGTTTTTCGGTACGTTCTGTGGGTTCGAGCGCCTAGCTTTTGCTAGGGCGTACTGCGTAGCTCACTGAGGCAACTGTGGCTGACTACCGGTACCTAGGTACCTACTACTATCCATGGATGTATTACATGTTTTACTGAACCCCCTGGGCAACTACCTACATATATATATGTATATATGTATATATGTACTTCTAGTATGTAGATACTCAACTAGGAGGCAGCTAATAATCACATGTATGGATATACTAATTACTATTAAGGTACCTACTTTACAGTGCAAGTAGGTAGTAGGCAGTAAGCAAATGGAAGCCCTAGCTTGTTGGAGTAGGTACACGAATAGCTAGTAGTAGGTAGAGGTTTACGGATCCGTAGGTACGTCTGGAAGGCAGCCCGAGTGGCGGAAGTGGCGGACCACCCCCCCTAATCCAGCTCTGCTGCAGCTGCCCCTTTACGGCGAAGTCCAGTTAAGTTAGTGGTTCTCAGCGGCCTTCAGCGACCGGTCGCCAGTTTCAGAACATCAGAACCGGCAGTTACCATCCCACCCTCATTAATTTCCCTTGCAACGGAGACAGTTATGAACAATGCAATAATCACCAGATACCTCCCTTCGCAACATGACGGAAGGGCGTAAACACGAGCTATCAGAAAAGCAGCATCATATGTTTCGGAAGGCTAAAACGGTAGGTGTATTCGTGATGTGCAAATACCTATTATAGATATATACATGTATCTATGTGGGTACCTAGGATACGTCAAGTACTACGACAGCCTTTTGATTGAAAAGATTTGGGGGAGAAACGACGTGGCTACTACATACATAATGTAAGTACTGTAGGTAGGTACCGTAGTCTCCAAATTTAAATACTGAAGAGTCACTGCAAAGGTTGAATAAATACCTACCGGTACTTACTTACTTATCATGTACCTTTTAGGGACCTACATGTATTACATACCTAGTAGGTACATATATCCCAAACCGATTGTGAGGGGGATGCGAACCAGGAACTAGTAATTGATGAGTGGACGACGATAAAAACGCGTAGTTCTGAAGCTGGGTTCCAACGTCGACGAGGAACACGAAGCGCGAACCATGTGAACCAAGTGGTAGGTACACACATACACACGCATACGCACACTAGTAGTACATGTTGCAAGCGGCATTTTTAGCCTACCTACCTGGTATCTGGGTACTATAGGTGATCTGCTAGCTGGGTTAATTGATGCTCGCGAATATCGTCAACTAGAGGCATTTATTTATTAGTCCATACATACCTATATACCTAGATGGTTTGATTCCATCATTTTAATAAGATGATGGTGGTCATCAGGACCTTTATTCAGGCTGAGGCCCCTCCCTTCCTATCGCGAACTGATACCTTATTGCGGAAAAGAAATTATTAAAACGCCTATTAGTATGACACGCCATAAAAGATCTGCGGAGATCTCCCCCTATGCTGGCAGGCAGTGATTCGTGAACCATAATGCGATTTTAAAACTCGGTGTCACTAATCCGTACCTAGTCTTACTAGTGTGTTTAAAGGCGTATTTCAAGATTGGGAGATTTAAAGCAGTCAATGCTTCTCTTTTCTGAGTTCTTAAAGTACTGCGTTATATACATACATATATACATACATACATACCTGCTTGGAGAATTCTTAATTCTGTCTCTTGAGAGTCGATGGTAGCTTACGATGCAACTTGACATCACAATCGTTACTGTAGGTACCTTAGGTAGCTATCTCCAACTCTTAATTCATGAAACATGTGTTCATCTATGTACGTGAGAAATGTCGGCTAGACGACGAATCATTAGCTGCTACTGCGTCTTGCCTGCTTGCTACCAACAAATGCCGTAGCTTCCACCCATCTTGGCCTTTGCCTCTTCACTTAACAGCACAGGATTACTTGCAGCAGCACGTCAGCCTGTGGTCATTTGTAAAGTATCGGAAGAATCAGTAAGATGAATGGACTTCGCACATCGGCCTTCACCTCTATCATCCGTAATAGAAAGCGGTAAGAATCTTCACATACGCGAAATGGCATTTTGATGCTTGGATCATCCAAGCGAATTATCAATGGTCAATCAAATAAGGGGATATACGTACATATTGTACGAAGTACCTATATGTTGATGAGATTAAGGTTAGCAGTGGTTAAGAATAGGCGATTCTGCAAATGTGTAAAAATAGAAGAGAGGGTCTCGGGTTTAGTGGGACCAAGCTAATCAATTGATGCATCCGTTAATCGATGGACATATGTATCTAGGTACATACTCAGGTATCTATTATGCGGTAGGTACCTCTTGCCTATCTCATTAGCATCTTCAATGTTCTATGTACCTTCGGGATATTTACCTAGAAACATCGAAGGCGCCAGATGGACGGCAATCGATAAGGTTCTATTATCTAGGAGAGCCCTGCCACTGCCGATGTACGTATTTCTGACATTGAAGGCTATCTAATTCTCATTCACAGAAGGGGGAAATCCGTTGAATCTTCTCAACAATCAACCTCTTAACTGCTTCTAATGGATTCTTGTAGCTCTTCTTTTTCGCCACGATCTTCGCATGTTTCGTATATTCTATGTATGACTAGCTTCAAAGTTGGCCAATTACCTCGTTCTATTTCATTAAGACAATCCCCTCGCCCTTGTTCATTTGCCGGCTACACTTGAGGGATCAAGTAGAGTTTCACAGATCTACGGAGGGCGCGCCGAGTCAGTACTAGCTTAGTCGAGGCTCTGTCGATCACGACGTCTAGACATATCGTAGATCCGAAGGTCGCGACCGGCATTATATTCTAAGAAAATCTCAGGCTATTTGTTACAGCTTTCCTTCCCGGAATGCCGACATATACGTGGTACGCTTTGCCATATAATAAACATACAAACGATGTATCAGAGCACATTAGTATCCTATAAAAGCTCTACTCTGAAAGTATCATACATAGTCGATTTCCTTTCCCCTAATATATACATCCGTTCCAACTAATAACTGATCATACTAAACCTCCCCTATACAGCAATCAAGTACCTGACCTATGTGTTTGCATGGTGAATTTAGGTACTACAGGAGGACAATATTACACATTCTGTTATTTTAGTTAATACTTCAATCTTTTTCACGATAATCTAAGGCTTGATGACGATGCTTGAGGATCTTTTGGATAATTATGTTAGAAGAGTATTAGTAGGTGTGATAAACTCGGAGGGTAACGCTTCCGTAAAGGGAGGTCGTGTCGGTGCTGACTTGAAATAAGAAATACACGACATGCCTGAGTATATCCCGTTATATTACCTAGGTACCTATCGAGGATGCTTCTAAGCTCATACACCTATTGAAGCCCATATAATCACATTAGTTAAGCTCACGATATATATAGGGCTCGTTTGACACCGCGGCGCCATGTGTGGCGGTTATCAGCCGTAAAATACGCCTTTGTCTTAGACCTTGAAGATCATGCAGTTCGGACAAAGAGACAACTTGCCAATGAGGCAGAAACACTCCTCTGCCCTGATATCATACCTCATTGTCGAATAAAATAATTTCACCAAGCATTTCAATCTTATGTTAGATCAAGTCACTTGAAACCTTTCGAAGTTTCCACTACAGTGCATTGCATCATGTCAACTGGAGCAAGTGGATGGTTACAGATGGGCGAGGAAGTTACTACAACCCAAGCACAACCTCCTCCTTTATCTAAGCAGCTAATTAAGCCTCTATCACTCAAAACTAGAAAGCATGCTGCGCTTAAGGGCAGGCCTATGGTACCCATCTCGACAGAGCAATGGGAGAATATTAATCGAGCGATTGTGAAGACGGTGGAATTGATCCTCACCAAAAACCTAACTCTCAATAGTTTCGGTCCTGACTACTGGGAGATGGATGAAGGCCTCGGGATAGCTCTTGTAGCAGAGATCAGACGAGGAATCAAGGAGATATGCACGTTGGGTGACCCTAAGCTTCAAAAGAAGCTTATGGAAATGGCCCGTGATATAACACACAAGGAATTCCGGTTTTCATATAGGGGCGGGGGAGTCTGGTTCCGCTTCAAGAGTGAGTGATTTCAGAATGGCGCCCATCTTCCTGTCCATTTTAGAGACCAGGTTTCCAACCAATCCTACATGGAAATGTCGGAAGAAATTATTTTCATGAGTTCTGCGAGTGTCTCTCGGAGAGCATTGGGGCATTTGCTGATTCTTGCTACTACAGTGATCGACCTCCAAAAAGCTGTACAACCCGTTATTATCCCGGAGGACGATGTTTCGCCGAACAGTTCTAAGATGGTCCACAAGGTTATTGGAGGAGAAATAAGTGCTCCGGTTCAAATGGACGAGCTTCGGAAGTAGAGAAGACTACGTCCTGTATAATTGTATGTTGGATTGCTCTAGCTTTGGGGCACAGATGAATGAATGTATGAGCTCTATCTAACAGTATCTCGCTAGTCAACACTGGAAAGCTTGCTTGAACTCTTTGAAACTGGCATTAGCAACGAATTGGGGTCAAGGATAAAGAACATATGAGAGCCCCGGTACTTGTCCTAGGTACCTAGCCATGGTTCGAAAACATAACTGCATCACCGGCGCTATTGGGCGCGTCTCGTACAATTAATAACAGCCTCTAACAAAAATGAGATTGCCATATTCGAATTATTAGGTTTATTTGCGCTGGTTTGAGATAGCCTCTTTGTAATATCGAATCCGGGAGCAATGTTAGGGGATCAAAGAACAAAGCGAGTTCCTAGAACTAAAGAAGAACGGAACTTCACGAGAGTGACCAGACTGGCCACTGTGACATACTGCTCTAGATTAGCCCCTTCCACCAGCTCAATTCCTTTGAGCTTATTGAAAGTCTCAGCGGCGGCCCCTAAATTCGACAGTGAGCTATCTCTACCACCAAAGAAATTGCACTAACGAAGAATAGGACTCAACCAGAGACTTTAGGGACTCTGTGTCAAGCGTCGAAGCCTAAGAGTATCTTCGTACACCTATACTTCATATAAAGTCAGCTTCATCTTGAACCGAAACAACATCCAGCGATAACCCGAGCTGTCTCTCAGATATCATCGTAATCTGAACATTACGTTATCAATTACCAAACTCACGATGTCAAACTCGTGGGCAAGCGAGTGCGAACTGACGGCACGCAGAATTCTGCGACGGGGTTTCTTGATCGATGAGATGCGCGAGATGTCGACTATCGCGCTCGGCGAAGAGCAGCAAACAGCGGTGGTCTTAATCATATCCACGGGAACCCACCCGATATATAATGTTTCACACTGGGAGCCTGGTATTAGGGAAGGCCTAGTCGACATGGCAAAGGATGGATTAGAGGGGAGAATGATTATATACGGCTTGGGTTTCCAGTTCAAGAGGCGTGAAGATGTCGCTCACATCACTCATTCCAGACGGAGTTCGGCTTGACAATATTGTCAAGTATATGGTGCAGTACTTTAGATAGAGAACTAGGTGGCCAAAGTGTGGTGGATATAGAGGTGTATTAGTATCAAAGTAATAAGAAAGTTAACTTGGTTAGAACTTTCCTGGAGCAGAGGCTTTAATATTTCCGTGTTTAGTATGCAGAAGGCAGCTTCAGATAGGCCAAAAGGATGCATAAACCACGTGAGGTATCATACTTCGTTGGTGATGCTGCGTCCCTAACACAAGCGTCTATTCAGGCCGTGTTGAAATTTGCTTTGAATAGCTAACCCATTAATTGTAGCCTATGAATCCTGCCGCAGAATAATAGCCGCGAAGAATCGAAAGGCTAAGAAAGAAAGGCTAAGAATCTATGCTATCTGAAGGATCTATTGAGTTTATGTATCGCGCATGGCCCATTGGCTTTGAGGCTACTGTGAAGACAAAAGCGTCACCCTAAACAAGATACCCGGTCCGTGATGAGCAGATAATTTTACATATTAGTTGGGACGTATTTGCGGATATTGCCGACAACTTCCTTCAACGGGCAGCAACCAGGCTCATGTAGACGCCCCAGCCAACACCAGCAAGACTGCCGACGAGATTGCGGCCTTCGATGCTCTTGATAAATGCGAAGTTAATCAGGCTCACTTCAATGACGATGTCAGCAGCCTGTTCTCCAGGAATGAATTTTAAGGGGTTGAGCATATCTCGGGAGGAATAACCGCTTAGTCAGTCGGCTGGGACACCCTCAGTCTTGAGGCAAAAAAAGGGGGGGAAGAATATATATATATTCAATATCACATACCTATCGGCCATATCTTCCACCCCGCAACCAGGATCGGGTAGAACTCAGCACGACTGCGTGCTACCACGCCCGTCCAATCAACATTGCTGTAGGAAATGGCACCTCGAGACAAGAGGTACTGCACGCTCTTGTCCGGATGGCTGAGTGGAGCGTCGATGGGTCGGACCATAGCCTCCTGGATAGAATGTATGAACAGGCTGAAGAGAAAAGTATTGGCAACAGCGCCGACAGTCTGGTCCAGGATCATTTTGACAGCCGTATTAGCTATATTTAATTTAGATTCGACTAGTTTACCTTCCTTGGCCTCTTGCTCAAGTGCCTTTTCGTCGTTCGCAGCTGCGGACGTCACGGCAGTGGATGTGGGAGACATGTGATACGCTGGAAATGCGGACTCCAGGGATTCTTGCCTGTGGAATACTTTAGCACGAACGTAGATAGAGGCATTCATGTGTCCTGGGAAGATAGCGGTGTGTCTTATAGACCACGGTATTATACCACACGTACCATAAGAAGTTAGGTGGCACGTTGATGAATGCATAAAGGACGAATTGGAAGACTGGAACCCAATCTATGATGAGAGCGGTCTATACAACCTGTTAGCCTCGAGCCTAGGAAACCTATGAAATGGGATATGAGCTGCCTGATAAGCAGAAAGGTCTACCTGCGCATCAGGTTGGCGCGTAGGGTACTAGGTATGATTCATTCATACCTCATTTTGATACGCCGTCAAGCTTTGTGCTAGGAGATTAGATGTGGCTGCTAGAATAGCGGATTGTATCGTCGCAGTTACGATCGGGGGAAAAGCCATTATTGAGATTCTAAGGCGTTGGGGTATTATTTGCTGATAGGCTTATGAGTTCGTGTTGTACCTAGGCAGTTGTCTTCAAGTTGGGGAAACAGAATAATGGCGAAGTTATAGAAATGTATCAATGATGGCAGCTATGGATAATATTAGGCAGAGTTAATTTATTAGGTGAATGTGCCTACTAAGGAATGCTCGTTAGATATTATTGGCTTGCTTGAGAGTTCCAAGGTTCTAAGGTGTTTAGTTTATCGAATCTGGCAAAGTCCAGATTTACACAGTCCCAAGGTTATATATCCTTACTATATACCTAGATGATTAAGGGATCAACCAATTAAATGCCGTGTCATGTATCCCTATTTCATCTTCAGTCCATCATCACGAAGGAACTGCCGCACAATATCGTCTAATACTGCACAACAGAGCACCCGAAATCTCCAGACGATGAATTTAATTGCCATATGGATTCCTTAGCCATCCCATTCCGTCTCGCTTCGGTAAACTCCCCTGGGAGTATGCTTGGCTAAATTCAGCGGGAGAGTTAGACGTCTCGGGCATTTCCACATAACGGTGGCCCCGAACATGGCAAAGGTTCTCATAGCTTCTCCTATAAATGAAGTGATCCGACCCTCATAACCCCATGGAGTTATCGACAGAACCTGGCGGGTGTATCTAGCCTCTGCTAAGAATCCACATGAACAAAAGCTGTATGAGATACGAGTAAGCGAATAAAAACTGGGTTCGCTGATTTCGTTTTGTCCGGGTATCCGTCTGCATTGGGCCTCGCGCATCCCCTCCAGAACTTTCCGGAAGAAGAACGTATCTTAGTGATCGCATCTAGTAGTAGCAGTCGAACGTTAGCGCTACTAAAACACATATCTCTGCAAAAACGGCTCTTACCAAAAACAGGGAATTCGCTAGGAACGTGTATAGGAACACGGTCCATCCGATCCAGCCGCCAGTTCCCTTGCCTCCGTTCATGAGCTCTGCGATAGCAACAGTCACGATGATACCGACAAACTTGTATCCCGAGTAGGCCACTAGGTCGAGAAGCTGAGACTCGTTTGATATGCTTAGAAAGTAGCACCCTAGCTTCAAGAGCAATATCTCAAGAATGACAACAACTCCCGCCGTAGAGGCCGTATATCCTAGCAACTCGGGCTGAAACTGTCCCCGTAGTCCTGCTATTAGAGTCGACAATAAGATGTACGTGACAAGTGCCATGACTGGGATGTACATATCGGGGCTGTTTATATCGTCTCGCGGTGGTAGGTACCATCCTTCCTGTCCATTAGGCCCGACAGTCTGCCTTCGTGACCAAGGCTTGTGTCGCCAGGGGAAGAGTACTAGGAAGAGCTTGTTGACAACATATTTATTCGACACGTTGAAGTAGTGCTTGAGGGCGGAAAAGTTAACCCATCGGTTCATCTATCGCCAGTTGTCAGCTCTATCCCTTTTGTTTTGCTTGCTCCCAAGTCAACTAGCCAAGTAAGCTGAATCATTAGACCAATATAATCCAACATACATTTTGCTCGACGTGCTTAAAGGCATTCTGACCAACTTGTCCAACGAATTGCGCGGCCATCGGATCATTCATGAAGTTTCCATAGGCGCCGAAGACATTGGTGCCGCTCGCGGGTGTGCCTTGCTGATAGGGGTTGCCATACACCCCTTGCTGCTGCGGTTGTGACGACGTCAGCGGCGGAGGCGATCGTAGCTGTGGAACTGTAGAGACATGCTGGGGTACGGGATGGTGAAGCGGCGGAGAGTGGCCGTAATTTGGATGTTGCTGCATATTGTATTGTTGACAGATCTCGCGAAACTGGTGACCTTAGTAGCGATAGTAGTGGCGGAAATCGTATAATGTTTATAGCTGTTTTCGAGTTGCAAGTTGCAAGTTGCGCGGCTCCGAGCTTCCGGTTGGTAGGAGAATCTTTTAAGCTTTACTACTAAAGCTTCATCGGCGGCGGTTTCCAACGGTCGTCTTTCTGGAAATGTGTTTTTATTCAATGCCGAACGTTTCCAGCTGTCAAATAAGGGCCAATCCCTGTCTGCATAGGTATGTACCGAAGTACCTAGCCAAGGTACGAACGTAGGTACCTAAATTGCCTTCCAACTATGACGTGCCGGAGCCGCAATAAAGTTTAATTCCGAATGCTGTCTCCGTGATCGGGCATTGATTGGTTCGATATATCAAATGCATATCTGTATATCTGTACAGTAAGCTTAAACCCTTGTCACCTCATCGTGCATCTGTCCGTTCCAGAGCATACAGCGTACCTAAAGTCAGAGACAGGTAGAGCGAAAGCTTTCGAAAACACTTCATCTCCGGCCTCCCAGGCCTTCGGAAATCAGTCAAGATGTTGGATACTTTCGAAATTCTAACTACATCCGGTGTGGTTCTCTGGTCACGCACGTACGCACCAATCAACCCGTCCGTCATCAACAACTTCATCGCCGACGTATTCATCGAGGAAAAGGGCGCCGCAGCTGGCGCAAAGGACACCCAATCCACCGCGAGCAATCCACCATACAAAGCCGATCAACATACGCTAAAGTGGACTTTTGTCAAGGAGTTAGGTGTAATATTTGTTGTACGAATCCACTCCTGTTCTCCTACGTCCTTATACCATATACGAATCAGCAACGTCTAATCGACTAATCTTAGGCCGTCTACCGGTCCCTGCTACACCTTTCATGGATTGACAAGCTTGTCGACAATCTGAAAACCATATTTGTTGATCTGTACGGCGATCAATTACGGAAGCCCCATACGACCATCGTAGAATGCCGCAAATTCGACGAGTACTTCGATCAACAATACCACGAACTCGAAGCGAATGGGACAGGAAATACTGCGCGGCCTGTAGACGCTTCCTCTCTTCTAGAAGAGGACGGCATATCTGGGGGTCGAGGAGAAGAGCCTCCGCTTCCGCCCGGCCTTAAACATAGAGGTAAGACGCAAAATGGCCCACAGGAACACTCATCCACCGCCGAATCCACGCCAATCGTAACTCCGAACACATCCCGGCCCTCCACACCCGCCGGAAAGCATTTAGTTGTAGGAAAGGGAGGACCAATGGCGAAGATGTCGAGGAGAGCTAGGAAGATCCGAAATAACAGCTCTGCCCCGGTTTCCTCCGGGGACGAGGCGCCATCTAGGAAAGCGAAGAAGGCACCCAAGAAGGGTCGGAAGTGGGATGCTGATGGCTTTGCGGACGAAGAGGATGACAGTCTACAGTTAGATTACTCGGCGGCTCAAAACGCCCTAACGAGTGACAGCGAGGTAGAGGCAATTTCTAGGTCAACAGCGGTAGAAGGCGTAGACTCGTCTACATGGGGAACGACAACTTCTAAGGGACAGTTCGTATTGAAGGACTTAGACGACGAAGTACATTCTATCCTCAAGTTAGCCGAAGAAAAGAATACCGCATCGAAGACAGAGACTAAAGGTGGGCTTGTGGGTTCCGGCTTGAACACGATTAGCAGTCTCTTCCGTAATGTCGTGGGTGGAAAGACATTGACGCAAGAAGATCTCGACAAAGCTATGAAGGGCATGGAAGACCATCTACTACGAAAGAACGTCGCCCGCGAAGCAGCTGTGAGGCTTTGCGAAGGTGTCGAGAAGGAGCTTATCGGCGTGAGGACGGGCAGCTTCGAGAGCATCGATGCACGGATCGCTAAGGCCATGGAGGCATCGCTCACTAAGATGCTGACACCCACGTCTTCACTAGATCTTCTACGAGAGATAGATTCCGTCATCAAACCATCGGCAACGTCAATGCGTAAACCTAGGCCGTACGTCATCTCTATCGTCGGAGTCAACGGCGTTGGCAAATCGACGAACTTGTCTAAGATCTGCTACTTCCTGCTACAGAACAAATACAAAGTTCTGATCGCCGCAGGAGATACCTTTCGATCAGGAGCGGTGGAGCAGCTAAAAGTTCACGTGCGGAATCTGAAGGAGTTAACTGAACGTGAAGGCGGAAAGGTTGAGATTTACGAGAAGGGATATGGTGGCGATGCGGCTACAGTTGCTAAAGATGCCGTAAAGGAGGCCGCCCACGAAGGTTTCGATGTCGTGCTTATTGATACGGCGGGGCGGCGGCACAATGACCAGCGGTTGATGTCATCTTTAGAGAAATTCGCCAAGTTTGCTCGACCGGACAAGATTCTCATGGTTGGCGAGGTAAGATTTGCAGGAAACCCGCCATCAACCAAATTCTTAGCTAACTGGATGGAAACAGGCACTCGTGGGAACAGACTCTGTCGCCCAAGCTAGGAATTTCAACTCGTCTTTCGGCCCCGGTCGAACATTAGATGGGTTTATCATTTCCAAGTGCGATACCGTTGGAGATATGGTGGGAACACTGGTCAGCATTGTACACGCCACCAATGTGCCCGTCCTGTTCGTTGGTGTCGGGCAGCACTATTCGGACATCAGGAACTTCTCTGTGAAATGGGCGGTGGAGAAGTTGCTGAGTAATAGTTAATTATTCCGTAGATTAATGTGTAAAGGGTTCTCATAGTGCCTATGTATAGGTAGTGCAGGGGTTTTTCCCCTGTCTATTTTTACATGTCACCTTCATGAGAGCCAGAATTGGATTCAAGCCATCAGCAAAGAGGGGATCGTGAGCTACCGTCTAGCCTATCCTACATACAATTGATTTAGGAATTCTTCGTAAGGAACAACTCAAGTACCGGTAGCATTTACCTTCTGTTATGAGGACTTTGTGCAAGCCCACTGACAAATAGACCAGATGGAATACAGAATGAAGTCAGACGCTTCGATCGAGTGATAACCTGCGCACAATATCATCATTGGTGTGATAATGCAGATCCCATCTTTTCAGGGGACGTGAAGCAACTACGACACATGCCGTGCTGAAGTCCGTACGTAGTTCCGGCTTATGTAGTAAAGAGACAGGTTAAGGTGGGCTCTGCTGAGAGCCCCTGAGACTTCAACTATGCGGGAGAACTTATTACAATCTCACTTTAGAAGTGGAGCTAGTCAAGATCCAAAACTGTAAAGGGGCTTTTATTTCAGTCTAGTAATATCGAGGTTAAAGACTCCGATGGTTAAATGGGTTTATGGCAAACCTACCCAGGCAGGTACCTACCTAACCAGTTGTATTTAGTCACGTAGATATAAACCTGCAGTTATTCGGTGTCTATGAAGGTAACCTACACACACGTATATAAATCACTAGATGGAAATCGTTGAATTGAGAGGTCCTTGGGATGTCGTTACTCACTTATAAATTCTTAGGGCCGATATAAGATCATCAGATCGACCTATAATGTTGAAGTTTGTAGATGATGATGGCGATGTGCTCCTTATATCATGCGCCACGCACCTTGAATAGGTAAGTCAAATTGACGTGAAACAAGCTTATAGGAGTTTTATGAGCTACAAGATGTCAAACATGACTTTTAGAGGTGATTTGATCGGGGTTGCTTCTTGTATATTATATGCTTAACCATTCATTAATGCAAGTTCTTCATACAAAGTTGATGCCGGCAAGTTAACCATCTATACCGAGTATTGCATTACCTGTGAGCTTGCATGGGCACATATCGACTTGATTACTTCGACGTCACCGCTGACTTGTGCCTAGGCGTGCGACGAAAGAAGAAAAAGAATACACTGCTATATATGAGAGAAGGATAACATTGGATAGCGTGATTGATTGGTCCGCCGTCTTGGGTGGAATGACGAAATTGATCGACGTTGAACTGAAGCAAGCGTGCGGTAATGCCGACAGGTAGATCTTGGTCATGCTGATCATGGAAAAATAACCTTACATTCGTTATGATGATTGATGAGTACCTATGTAAGTAACTACCTAATAAGAGGTATGCTAACAAGCTTGAAGCAATATTGAAAAATGAAAGATACCTACCTAGGTACATAACAAATAGCAGGTATTTATATGTAGGTACCTACCTAGTATAATAGATATGACTGTGTTACCTATTCGAACTTAATATTGTGTGTAACGACAGGGATGCTTGTGGGTGATTTCCAATATGCATCGTTGAATTTAGCAAGTTACTCCTTAGGTGATAAGGTTATAATGCTTTAGGCAATCTTAATGATAGGAAGCTTAGAAGTAACTTAAACTAGGTATTATACCAAGAGTAAACATACATATGCCATACCTACTTGAAAGATTCCAATCTACTTACTTGGACATGCACATATGCGTCTACAAAAGCAAGGCGAAGAAAAAGAATAAATACCATCGATCCTAAGCTAGCTAGTGTGAAGCTAGAGGCGGCTTTTTGGATCCCGTCCTGCTTTTCCTCTAGGTAGTTGATTAGTCCTTGTTATAGCTTAGCGTTTGCCGGCAACCCCCACACCCCGAGTGATATGATATACATAGAATGTCCTTAGACATTGATTGACCACAGCCTTTTCTTCTATCTTATTAGAATCTAAGCTAGGTACCTAGTTGGAAAGTGAAACAAACCTTGTTGCCTCGGGAACTTTATCAACGTAGTTTGCACCACGTAGAATATTCGTTACTAGTACCAACGATACATCCACACCGAAGGAGAGGAGGACTAACGATGTCGTTATCCGTTATCAGGGCAACACATGTTAGCGGGGGCCAACTGGAGTCTATTTTAAAGTTCCTTTTTTTTAGCGTTAACCAATGCAAGGCAAGGATGGTCTTAATCGATCACAGATCATGCGAGAATTGCTTCTCCAGTTTCAATACAACACAGAAGCCAACAAGCCTTTTTTTGCATCTTGACAGCTAGGACAACCCGTCAACCCGTCACATTTCACATTCGCACTTAAGTTACTAGATCTCGCTTGGCCCCGGGAGTGCACAATCCTTCGCTTCTATGGAATCGGAATTTTGCCCGGGGTTAGTGGGTTAATGGGTTACGTTGGCTCATACTTTTTTTCCCTCTTGTAATCCTTTTTATGTTCTTCTATCCGTTCGTGGCTAGTATTTTACTGTTAGAAACCCACGATCCATAGATACAGTGCATAACTCCTCTTGCTTTTCGTCTTCTCACCTCATACCTCCTCGGGTTGCAAAGCCTAGCATCTAAGGCTACTAACTACCCAGATACTGTCAGAATATTTCCAAGTCATCGTCGACGATCGAGGAAGATCCCATAATACCTCACCTGGGAAGTCGTCTAAATATACACACACAGCACTGATTTGGCTGGGCATACATAAACAAACGTTGGATGCGAACTCCGATCATCCGACTATCACTCGCTATAACTCGGTACCCTAGGCCAGTCCTGCTCTCGTTGGTCGACATTCCTCGGCCAATCTCCATCTTCCTTACTACCCCCTCGCGACCCCATTATCAGCCCAATCGCTGCATCACATCACCTCTCGCTAGCTGGCAAAAGCTGAGTATCGGTTGCGGGACACAAGTCGATCGAGCCTTGTCCCTCCGCTCAACTGTTCCTTCGACGTCTGATCATTTCCCTCTAATTTGACCGCATGTCTGCTTGTCTGGTTGCCTCCCTGCCTGCATCCTAACGCACTACTACATCATTCAAACGACTTTAAACAACTTTCCGGCTTGTGCCACTTTGATCTTCTCTCGTTTGCGTTTGGTATTGCTATTGTTGCGATAGTGGTGGGTGTTATGGGCACCACTTATAGTGATAATAATACCTAATATCTGCATTACCTATTATTGTTGTTATTATTTTCCTTTTTTTCCCTCTCGTTAGCCTAATCTCGGCGTTTGTCGTCGAATAAATCGGGCGACGGATAGTTGCGTTACATCATTTACATGCCTACACTTACACTTACATATACACATACGCATACACTCACGTTTACACTTACACCTACACTTACACTTCCTGTATTTGAGGATCTTCATCAGTTTGTAACCGCGGTCACGTATACGCCTTACCCGCACTGCCCGTTTACCTTACCCCGGGCCATCCAGGTCAAATAATTCGACATCCTAGCACATAACTTATTGTGGTATTCTCCACAATCTGCCCACTCAGACGTCGCCGCTTGGCCGCATTCCAAGGGTCAATAGGTAGTCAGCGCTGTCCGGGGTCGTGCCCAGGATACCGACGCAAGCCCACGGCAGTCCGATCCTCCCCCCACCGTGCTACACTTTTGACATCCCAATATCCCATCCTCTAGCTGCTGCACTGATCCGCCGATAGTCAAACGATGAGTTCGGTCAATTGATCAATACCTCTTGTGCACTCGTTGCCCGCCATGGCCGCGTCTGTGCAAAAACTACCTTCTCTCGACCTGGCTCGAGGTCCAGATGGCTCTCCTCCCGAACTTAGAGAGGCCGACTACTTAACCCAGGTTCTCCAGCTCTCGCCCGAGACAACCGACGCTTACTTCAACGAGCTGATCATGAAGGCCACCCATCTGGGTATTGCTATCTCCCGGCCTTCAAGTGCTACCTCCGCAGACAACAAACGAAACCTCTCAGGCGCTGAATCGAGCATCACTATAGACACAAACCATGCACGCAGTACGTCTACGGGATCTCAGGGCTCTGCAAGCACAAACCTAACGTCCCACTCTTCGAATAACGGCCATTCCGAGCTCGCGGGTCGGATGATTACGAGGAAGCGATCCAGAGCTCTCACCTTTGGTCAATACGAGACTTATCTCGCCCAGGTAGACCCGACTCTAAAGCAAAACAGGTTTTTGTCGCCATCATCGACAGAGACCGAATCGGCCCCGAGCATTTTTAGTGTCGGCACCAACATAAGTTACGTTAGTTTAAAGAGGGGCCTCTCCAAGTTACGGCGCAGACGGAAGAACCTTTCCTATCCCGGAGAGATGGTCATGTTCGTCTAACGTCTCAGACGGTTGCGGTGACATGTGCTAACAATTTCACTTCTTTCTTTTATAGGTCATGCAGTGCGTGCCGAGAGGATCTTCAACCCGATCAAACCCTCCAAAGGTTGCCATGCGGGCACAGTTATTGTCCAAGATGCTTGAAGATTATGATCAACCAAGCAGCAACTGAGGAATCCAAAATGCCACCGCGCTGCTGTGCCCAGCCCATACCGAGTTCCATTATTAAATCCGTGCTACCCCGGGAAGAGCAGATGAAATTCCTCAAGGCCGTTGTGCAGTTTAGCACTCCCTGGGAAGCACGGGTATTCTGTTCTAATCCAGCTTGCGGCGAATTCATACCGCCACGGGCCAAAATTGACCCTAAATATCCATTCCAGGCCATCTGCCGCAAGTGTAAAACGCGTGTGTGCGCCATGTGTAAGAGAGACGCTCACCCTCCAGATCAAGATTGCCCAGACGATTGGGAGCTTAAGGCTGTATTGAAGATGGGCGAGAAGTCAGGCTGGAGAAGATGCTACAAGTGCCGGACCCTTGTTGAGCTTTCGCAAGGATGTACGCATATGACATGTCGCTGTCGGGCGCAATTTTGTTATATTTGCGGCGCCGTCTGGGATCCAATGGTTGGGTGTCCGAATGTCTGCAATGGTGAGGCCGAGATGGAGCGTCGACGCCACGAGGAAGAGGAGAGGCTGGCAGAACTCGCAAAAGAAGAAGCAGCCAAAGAGGAGGCCGCCGAAAGGGAAAAGGCCGATAGACTCGAGGCAGAAGGACGTACTCGAGGTTGCGAAGAGTTTAAAGTGTTGCGAGCGGAGCAAGTAAAAGAGATGGTGCGGTTCCAGACATTCGAAAGGAAGTCGAAGTGGCTTATGTGGACAAGACACGCGCATCAAAAGCTCGCCCTTGTAGAGAAACAGTCGACAGCAATAGAACGGATGAAGGAGCGGCACGCAAAAACGTCAGCCAATCTCGAAGACCGCCAAGTTGCTGCAGAGATGGAACTGCGGTCAACGTTGGAACAGAGCGAGAGGAATGTGCGAATCCGACTCAAGCATATGGAAGCGTACTGTGATGGCCTTGGGAAGAAGCCAGATGCAGGTGTACCCTCTAGAGTCGTGACGGAGCGAGATCTGCGAGAGCTTGGGCAGCAGTACAATGTCGAAAAAAACATGAGGCAACTCCACCAAGCTAAAATCAACGTGATGCGAGATCGACAGGCCAAGGCTCTTGAAGAGTTGCTCGAAAGACAAGAATCCGAGATGGAAAAACTGATGGAGAAGAATAGGAAGGAAATTGAGAGTCTTGAATCGGATTTCGCGGATGAAGAAGACGCTCTAACGACGACTTTTGTTCGGCGTAAATCGACGCTGGAAAATAGATGGGAACTTGAGATGGAAGTGATGCGCAGAGAGTTGGAGAAAGAGAGAGGTCTGAAATATGCTTCAATGAAGCCCCTGGAATGGCCGGATGAAGAAGAATCTCTAGAAGACGGCCTCCCAGTTGTGGAAGAATAATTTGCTTCGACGTTACCTTGGCCGAGCTTGGTGTTGCACGTGTGCTCCTTTGTCCAACAATACAGCAGTCTGGCATCTCAATCTGGTTATTGCTTTTTTTCCCCGTTGTCATCATGGAGTTTCAGGTGTTCGGGCTATCATAGATGGTAAGGAGTTTGCAGGCTTGTGATCTCGCACGGCGTCAACAAAAGGGGTTGCATGAAAGTACGAGCGTTGCAGTTACCATTTTTCTTTATCAAGATATACCCCCAGGTGATAGTTGGCAACGAGATACGTTTAGTAGAGTATAAGCTAATGGGCATCTAGCAATGAGGTTGATGATATGGAGGCGTCTAGTACTATACTCTGAGTTCAAGATGGCGTTTGTATACCTAGTACCTACCTAACTCAATACTGCATCTCATTCATTCCGGATCAAACCGTGCTTAGCGGTGACTCGGCTACGAAACTTATCGAGAATGTGTTAATACAAATCAGAGAATGCAAGAGGTTCAAAGATTACGGATTATCTAAATAAACCTGAGTCTGATATAAGGATTATGCAGTGCCATTCCCAAATCTTAATAGCACAAGCAGAGTTCCCAGATCAACCAGTGATCCCTACTACAGACAAACAGTATCCCCTAGTAGCCCTGCACGAGAATGGGCTTAAAACTTGGCGGTGGCACTATGAAAACTTGCAAAGTTGTAACAGGATATGTGCTATTACCTGATGATGCCATGGTCAAATTCGCTATATATTCAAGGCAAGTAGAAGTATAGAAGCTCCTTAATCACAGGAATCTTGGTTCAAAGCTGTAGAAGATACCCATTGGCATAACTCGGGTCGAAACACTACATCAAGATTTGAAAGATATCAGAAGTTACGATGAGAATGGTCTAGAGATTGGGAACGCTGAGGAGGCCGAGAGATGCGATTCTGTAATGAAGTCAGCTAACATGATCCAAATAAGAATGCATCCATGTCTGAAAATGTGATGATGGTGAAGCGTTCAGAATATGTAAGAATTAAATATCACGTATCTACCTGATATAGCAGCTCTGGCAGGAGCGCCATCGAGTAGAATCAATCGCAAATTACCTCATCATAACAAGCGGGAAATGAGACGTTTCGAGGATATCAAAATGGAAGGCCTTACCTGAAAATAATCATTTAACGATAAAATGTCAGTGGCGGAAGGAAAAGCGATTGATAAAACTGAAGGTTGAAATCTTTCCAAGGGCCAATGCTCTTTTTAGAGAAATTCTGCAGGTGACCCACTCTTTTGTAGGCGTTAGCGGATTCGGGTACGGCTTGCTAAAAATTCCGGTTTAACCCTAACCGCCCACACAAGATTCAACTTCCCACTTTCACTTCCCACTGCAAGTGTGCGCGACTCTCCAAGAAAAGTTCAAGGTAGGAGGACCCAACACTACGACATCACCAAACTCAGTAAGTCATTTCTACATTTCTTTCCTTTCTCTCTTATCATCCACCACTCACCTCCCACGACTCTCTACTGAACAAATCAACCAAATCATTTTTTTTTTTTTCAAAAAACAAAAAATCAATTTCTTCTACAATTCCGCAGACGATTCTGACATAAAGACCCTTACCAGCACTTGGTCAAAATGGGTGACGCAACGATCGAATCCCCCGAATGGCGCAAGGTCGAGGTCGGCCGCGTCGTCCTCGTCCAGGGCAGCAGCCCTTACGCCGGAAGGCTCGCAGCCATCGTCGAGATCATTGACCACAAGCGCGTACGTAAGACCAATATCGGCGAGAGGAAAAATGCGAATTGTATTATGTTGACTGGGAATTTTCTAGGCTCTGGTTGATGGACCTTCCGCAGACCCCAAGCTGGTCGTCCCCAGACAAGCCATCTCCTTCGTCGATGTGCTATTGTCCGACCTGAAGATCGAGAAGTTGCCGCGTGCCGTGCGAACGGGAACCCTGAAGGCGGCGTGGGAGAAGGCGGAGATCGACGCCAAATGGAAGGAGAGCAAGTGGGCGAAGCGAAAGGACCAGACCGAACGAAGAAAGGCGCTCACCGACTTCGACCGATTCAAGGTCTTGCGACTCAAGAAGCAACGACGATTTGAGGAGCGAAAGGCCTTGGCCAAGGTCAAGGCATCCGCGTGAAAGGGAGGGAATGACAAATGATTCTGGTAAAACGGTCTCTTTCAAGTAGAGCGGAAGGTAGTCTACGGATCTGATCTGCATGAAACAACAAACACATCACACATATTGGCATGGGGTTGCTGGGTTTCTTCTGCTTCGTCTGGCAAGACCTGTATGTCACTCATAAATTCTCCATGAGGTGACCGGCGTCAATGAAAGGGAAATTCACAACAACTCAAGAAACCGAAACTGACATGTGCCTTCATGATTATTTCCTTTCCCTCCCTCTCGTACGAGTTTGAAATGTCTGCTATTTCTATACCAGCGTGCCACCTGCACTAGAGATTCATTCATGTCCTTATTTACTACTGCTTAGCGTATGAAATATCTGGATGCACAGTAAAAGGTAAGTGCGCAAAACTAGCTGCTTCTCTATCGTAATGTCACTCAGAAACCCTCTTTCCCATGTAATTTACATTAACTTACATAATTCAAGAATCCGAGGCAAGAGGTACCTATGATGTACGTGGATGTAGGTAGCGTATCTTGGTACATTGAGCACGGGTACATGATATGCGTCTGTATTAGGACTAGTGCGGGATTATGATGAGCCACTCGCAAAATGGAAAAAAAATGGCAAACCCTAGGCCAAACAATTGACATGAAAAGTTCACCAGCTGTAAGCAACTTTTCTTCACAACCGAAACCACCCACCCACACCCCAGGCCACAACCAATCACCCCGCTATCTAATTTCGGCCTCGTTCCCAGCTGTGTAGCTTTTGGTGAGTCCCAAGTCCGCAGAACTTTTTATACAATTTTGCATCAACTTCGTGTCTATCTATTTCCTCTTCTCTTTCTCCCTCTCCCTCTCTGTTTAAATAAAAAAGTCACCTAGGTAGGAAATGGAAGAAGCTAGCAAAGTCGATCTTAGTCTTGCTTGTTACTTCAGGGCCCCCACCATCCGGGCACATCGCACATCGCAAGAATAAATAGCTAATTTCAAACCCCACCAGTTTTATATTCAATATGGCCAACCCGAGGGTCGAGGAACTACCCGACGACGAGCCTAAGAAGGTCTCCGTCGAGGAGCATGACGACGACGACAGTTCCGATTCCGAGATTGAGGTAGGCGACGGTGGTGCTGCGGGCTCTACGGCCGTCGTGCATTCCCGTAACGAGAAGAAGGCACGAAAGGCTATTGAGAAGCTCCACCTCACCCGCGTTACCGGCATCACTCGAGTGACCCTTCGAAGACCCAAGAACGTAAGTGACACTACACGACCAACAGTTATGCTAGTGAGGAAGGACTGCGATAGTTGAGGTAGCGCTCCGGAGCAGCAGTCATATATTTGGCGCATATCATCAGCCTCCTTGCTGCCCCTTTCTTTGGGAAGCGATGTGTTACTTCTGCTCCCATCCACAAGGTTACGAGTCGGAGTATCAGTCACTGATGACTTACGTATAGATCCTGTTTGTCATCAACAACCCGGAAGTTTACAAGTCGCCCAACAGCAACACCTACATGTAAGAATTTACGGGCGTTTTGTTGAACATTGAATGTGGCTGATAATTATGTTAGCGTTTTCGGCGAGGCCAAGATTGAGGACTTGAACTCGGCAGCCCAGCAAGCCGCCGCCCAGTCCCTTGCGGCTCCTGGTGGTGACCACGACCACGCGGGTCACGACCATAGCCATGGCGAGCCTAGCAAGGCGGTCGAGGGTGCCGAGGATAAGAAGGATGACGACGACGATGACGAGGAAGTCGATGCCGAGGGACTTGAGGACAAGGACATCGAGCTGGTTATGACTCAAGCCAACGTTAAGCGTAACAAGGCCATTAAAGCCTTGAAAGAGAACGACAATGACATAGTCAATTCGATTATGGCGTTGAGCGTTTAATGACCGAACCCAGGCACAGATAATGTCCATTTAGGTATGGAGCATGGGGGTCTGGAATTTGGGTTCTTTTTCTTCGGCCAGATGCATTGCGACAACGGAAAATGTATGCATGGGGAAAAGGAATGTCGGCTTGCTGTGTATTACAGTCTACAATACCTTACAATGGATTCTTAAGCCGTCGTGAATGTCTACCGCCTCGAGTTCGATTGTGATCGAGTGTCCTCCTATGACCGAATTCCTTGTGCGATTGACTTTATGAGTGGAAGTCTCCCGAGGTCGTAATGCCTACACTACCGGGAGGGGGGGGTATTTGGACATTATCACAGCAAACCTTTCAACACCCTAACTTGATCACCACCTTTTATAATCCTTACTAAGGATCAACAGTCTGACTGCTATAATCACCATATTGATACTACTGTATGGACCTACAATCCTGTTTCAATTGACAGTGTTTTAAGGTGGCCATTATGACTGCGATGCTGTCAGGTTGTAATTATTACCTGCCCTGGCAACTGTGTCAAGGCCTAACTACAGTATGTCAGGACTTGACACAATGTCAGCTAAAGGATCTAGAGATTAACCTAGTTTCCCCGAATAGACCTTATATATAAAACTTCTAAAGTTTGTGCTTAGTAATTTAAACTGTAATCTCTAGTAGTCTCGTAGTGTCGTAGTCTAGTGGTAAATCTCGTAATTTAACAGTAATTCAACAGTAGTTCAAGTGACTGTAGAAACTGACTTTTAAATTGTGACTTGTATACCTACCTGGTATAAATACCACTTTAAAGCCCTGTATTCAATTGTCCGCGATGGCCTCTTCCTTTTTCTTTTTCCCTCCTCTTTTAAATTAAACTTGGTAATAATTACTAGACCTGACATCATTACCCTGATTGACATCAATCAGCTTAGCAACCGTTGTAACTGAAGGTGATACTGTCCTTACGGTGGCTATTTCCTCCTAAATAACCCTTATACAGGGGATGCGATTGCCCCTGGGGGTGACAATATCCACTCCGACAGCCAATCAGGTCCAAATGGCTCAGTTATGAACGCGCGGGCTGACATTATGTTCACCCCTGGAGACTATTGCTGTGATAATGACCAAATACCCCCCTCACCCGGTAGTGTAGTTAGTCTAGTATCTTGTAAGTAAACCATAGTAAATCCGATTAAGGAATCTATAGAGGGAAAAGAAATGAAGAGAACTGGCTGGGCAGAGCGACAAGGTCAGTACCAAACTTTTATTTCCAAAGATGAACACCAAGTGCAAGATTCAGGAGTTTCCAACAACATTGAAATAGTTAGGTACCTAAGTACCTCCAGGGCTACGTAGTACACATACCAAAATCCAAAACTCTGATTGAAGCGATGGGGCACGTGACATAGCGTCACGGGACCTAGCTCGTAGCGGACAAAGGATACTGTAAAACGTCGGAGTTCTTCGGCTAGGATAGTGCAGTGCCTAGTATAACCCAAATCTATTGCGAATTGCTTCAGAACTCCACTCCCTACCCTTTTCCCTCAACATATCGCAAAAATGGCCACGGTGAGTACGAGAAATCCTTATCTTTCAAGCTCCCTATCGAAGACCTCAGGTTCCTCGAATAATAGCCTCATCAATTGAGCTGTCAATTGCCCCACGAAATACCGCCTTGAAATGCCGTGATGAGCTAATTTCTAATTTGTCTCTTTACCCTTGTAGCGAAGCGCAGCCCTCAAGCTCGACTGGACGAAGGTCACTTCCTCTCTGGGCCTGCGCGGCCAGACCGTCGCGAGCCTTCAGGCCTTCAAGCAGCGCAACGAGAATGCCCGCCGCAAGGTCCAGGCCCTGTCCGAACTGCCGACCAAGGTCGACTTCGCGCACTACCGATCGATCCTAAAAAACCAGGCCGTCGTTAACGAGATCGAGAAGCGCTTCGCTGCCTTCCAGCCCGCCAAGTACGATGTCACGCGCCAACTCAAGGCCATCGAAGCTTTCGAGGTCGAGGCTGTCAAGAACGCCGAGAGTACCAAGGAGAAGGTCGACCTCGAGCTGAAGGACCTCGAGGCTACCCTCAAGAACATCGAGACCGCCAGGCCGTTCGAGGAACTCACTGTGGTATGTCGAGATACGAATACTACTCTTTTTATTAAGGGCGTGATTAGCGGAAGCGGAGAGGAAAGACTGGATGCTAACTCAAATTTCTCTTCGTGTAGGATGAGGTCGCCGCGGCGGAACCTTCCATCGACGAGAAGACGGCGAAATTGGTGTCCAAGGGCCGCTGGTCTGTTCCGGGATACAAGGTACGTCCCGGCGTTACGTGCCAGCGCTTGATATACGATGCTAACCCCGTGTTTAGGAGAAATTCGGTGACCTTTCCGTACTATAGACAGCGTGCAAGTCATAACCAAAACTACTACTCTCTTTCCCTTGTGTACTCTAGCATTGTAGATAAGAAGGCCAGGAAGAGGCAGGGGCAGAGGCAGTGGAAATCAAGCACTATTAATTAAGTCTACCCAGTTGAGTCGGGTCAATGAGCGTGATCTATCTGATTTATGTGGTTTGGGTATATCCTATAGGAGGTAAAATTCAAGTTTCATCTCGAAGAACCTAAGACGATAAGCTACTCGCTTCCTATGACAGACAACCTACAGCTAGAGACGTCTTGAACTGAAGTCCCGTGTAGAGCCATACACCGGGATGATACGACCTTTCACAATCGTCCACAATCCCGCATCATACTAAGTCTATAGATCCTCCAATCTTTACAGGCAAGCTCATTATTCTCTTTACCAGTCAACCATGTCTAATATAGGTTTATTATCGTCAGCTTCAGCCTCACCAACACCTAGGACTAGCCTGACGCCGTGGAAGATCCAGGAATAAATTCTTTTCATGAGGAGAGTATCTCAAGTATGTCGTTATAATCTTTTGTCAAGTACTAGCCATCGTGCTCCCAAGGAAATAAATTCTGCTATGGTCATGATGGTTGTCGAAATTCTGACAGAAGCGGCAACTAATATGACACCTCAATGAATAAATATGACCATAAATACAATACCCAATAATCAAAGCTCAGGGCTAGCAACTTCATAGCTACTAGATATTGCTCACAAGCATAAGAGGTTGATGATGTTACTATCTCCAGTTGTACCATGCAAGAAAAGCTCTAAGCCTCGTTGGTATTCAGAAGCACGTCCGAAGGATATTTGCAAAGCTATCCACCTAGTCGGCCTGTCGATTGACGCAGATGAACCTTGACTGAATTGCCCTTCTGTGTAAAGAATATATCAATCCTTACCTAAGTTGATCGACATATGAAGCGAATCGGAATAGAGTAAACTTGTTGAGTATTTAACTCTCTCTATAGTATCAAAGAAAGCAATTGTAATATTGATGGTCCTAGGTACAGGTAGCCCCTGAATTCCTAATGATGTAGGTACGTATCCCGGGTCCGTGTGAATGTCAAGCTTATCGCGGTACGATAACGGTGGTCCAGGCGCCACATACAGATGTTAAGCTCCAATTAGCGTGTCTTATTCCCTATTGACTACCCCCTTGTCAAGTAAATATCGATGCATCTTTACTTCGGGACCTGAAGCTTTTCTTGGGTTTATCTGAAGATTATCTCGCGGGCCTACTCTGCATATTCTCAGTGTTGGCTTACTGGAGTAAGAAAATGATAGCATCAGAAAAGCTCGAAGCCACCGGTCTTTTATGAGTGAGACCTCGAAACGTGACCGAAAAAAACGGTATACGACTTATACGTTGTGTATGAGCAAAACGGTTCCTCGTTCTCGTTTTATTTAGGGGGTTCAGGTGTCATCGGTCTGGAAATTGACCAGTCATCTTTTTCTTTCCCACAATGGCGGATCCTTGCATAGCGGCGGATGAGATGCCCAGTGAGGATGTCGAGATGGAGGGTACCGATTTGCCTCCCAGCAACGGGCTTAATGGGCTTGGTAACAAACCTTTCGATGGAGACGGCGATGCACGTAGCCGGCCAACCCAGCCACTGGAGGATATAGAACAAACAAATCATACTCAACCCAAATCAGACCCCGACGAGAAACAACCGATTTCTTCATCGCCGCCACCGAATGGCGACTCCAACAAGATGAAATCGGCATCTAAGAAGAAGGGCACCGCAGCTAAGAAGGGTCCCAAAAAGTCTAGATCGTCTAAATCTAAGTTCAATTCAAAGAAAGGTACTTCGGCAACTGACCCCGCTGGTGGCGCACATGAAGCAAGTTCCGATGACGAGACTGATAATGGCCCTTACTGTATCTGCCGTGGGCCGGATGACCACAGATGGATGATAAGCTGTGATGTCTGCGAAGACTGGTTTCATGGGGAATGTGTTGACCTCGACAAGGACGTCGGTGAAAAGTTGGTTGAGCGCTTCGTCTGTCCTAACTGCACCGACGGCAAACGCCACTACACTAAGTACAAGAAGACCTGCTCTCTGGCTGGCTGTAAGAACCCGGCTCGTTTATATACCAAGACCCTCAAAGACAGGAGCGTCTTCTGCTGCAGCGACCACTGCGATGCCTGGTGGATCAATATGATTAGCACGTTACCGACGAAGGCGGCCTCTGAGAAGGCTATCGAGGTTCTCACCCAGGAGGATTTTGTTGGCCTTCTTGTCAACACCGCCGAGCAGAGTAGCTGGAAGCTTGGCGATCAACCATTTGGTAAGTCGACCGTACTCATCTCATCTCAGCCCCTACTCCTCGCTCGATAGGTACTTGCCTAGATATTATATACTTTATTGGCATGCTCGATGCTGATGCTTCCCACTTAGGCAATATGGAAGGTCTCTGGTCCAATGGTCTCCCGACCCGCTCTGGTGTTCTTAGCGGCGAAGAGCAAGCCTTCTTGAAGAATTCCTCTGCGGAGCGCCTCGCTCTGGGCAATGAGATTGTGCAATATAAGAAGATGATGCAACTCATTGATTGGGCCAACCATCGCCGACAGCTAGCGATCGAGGCGGGGAAATTCACCAAGGAGAGTTGCGGTTATGACTGGCGACTCGACACAGTATCTGTACGCCATCAGTTCTCGGAATGGCTCGAGACCCCGGAGGGTCAAGCGACCTTTAAGGCTGGCCGGCTCGATGCTCCTCTTGATCCAGACCTGCAAGGAGAACAGGCTACTCGCGGCATGTGCGAGAAGAAGCGGTGCAAGCCGCACAACGGATGGTATAAGTTACTGATGAGTACGGTTAGGACTCTAATCAAGGAAACGGCGACAGCTGCGGCAGACAAGTTGAACTCGGAGGACGTCATGCGCCAAGCGGCGGAGGCTCGGTTTGAAAGACGCCAACTGGAGAAAAATTCAGTGGAGATTTTAGACAGCTGACGTCGGACTGGCTACTTGATGCTATGAGCGACAGGGATGAAGAAAATGAGTGTAGAAGAGGTGTCTCGTTCTGTAATTTGCTGGCGACAGGAGTTATTCTGACTAGTATGTCAGGTACCTAAATGTTCAAATCCACTGTTACAACGTCCCCATTAACAACAATATAGTATTGAGGCCCTCTGCTTATCTTGAAACCACACCTTGCTAAAGCCATTTTGGTATTTTTCATGCCCTACAATGTATCCTGCAAAGTGGTACATAGACTCGTGGGTCCGGCACCATGCCGCTGCTCGCAGGCTATAGTCTTGAACTGTGATTTTTATGGTCGTGACGGGAGCATGTGTAGACGCGTGGTAAGGTCGGTATAGGTTCTCGATAGGGAGTCGGATGGGCGGTAGGTATAATTAGGGAGTCTCGTCAATATCGTGCTAGCACTATGGTCGACGTACTAAAGGATCAGCGCGTCGAGCTGCCTTATGACGGATAAATAGTGAGAAGAGCAAAGCTGTTGTTCATATTTACCCCTTTATAACTATCTGGAAAGATACATAGCACATATTAAATCAAAGTCGTAGAAGAAAGAGCTACGGACCATGGATTGTGAGATGATATCTGCCGAGTCGTTGAAGCTTAGGAAGTCGTCACCGTAGTGCCAGGAGATAGTCACGCTGAGAAAGGACAGCGCCATCAAGATGCAGTTGCCATATTGCTCTGGTATCTTTTCTATACCCGTAGATTATCGTACATATGATTATTACTGCCCGCTGATTATCAATTCCATCTTGACAAGCCGAAAAGCCCATCCATGGCCGCCGAGTCCCGCCAATATAAGCCCCTATCAAGTCCGACACGCGCATACCATTAGGCAAAAAGATTACATCGGATATCGAATCTGGACGATTAATATATACGTATACAGGGTTTATGGAGTGTTGGACCTACGCGCTGGTGTATGATCGATGTTCGACCTGAACTGAAGATTCGACAGACGTCCCTTTTCTCCCCCTAGCATCGCCCACGATAACATTTTCATCAATTACTCAACAACGCGCACCGATTGGTCTCTTAAAACTTCCCAGAACATATATCTTGATGTCTGCTACATCATAGGATAAAAACTATCATACAGCTTCTATCACGCAGTCCGCAATTGATTCCTGGTGCAAATCTCCTCGTTAAGCCCGCATATATGGATATTCCTGTACACCATGTAATGAATTCATTAATCAGTTTAGGAGCTTAGGCAGCTTGTGTCAAAGCAGTATAGGCCATTTCTGAATATTCAGATAGGCCGTTGTTTACTAGTGATTTCGGCTTACAGCGATAAACTCTATCCTGTGGCGTCAGGGAAACTATACCTGGGCGGCTTGTTCTGCTGGATTCTCTCCTTCTTTCCCTTCTGTTCATCATGAGCTCCTTCATTGACCAATTCTCGCGTTCAAACTAGCCAAGTTTCAATGTCTCGAACTCTAAACTCTACACAAGTGTCGGCCGCTTGCGGTCGTGGGCTAACTAGGTCCCACATCTCCCCTATCCCCCCTATTTCTCCTCTCTCATCTACCCCTACCCGCCATCCTATCCCTCCTTCTACTCCTATCCGTCGTCCTCATCCCTTCCGTGGTCGTCCATATGACGAAGTTGCCGCCGGCAGTAATTCTGATTCTCCTCTTATGGGTTATATCCCAACCCCAGTTCAAGCTCCTGTCTTCTCTCCTATTCGTTCCCCTTTCTCTCCTAGCGGCCCCTCCCCTTCTACCCCTTCCACCCCTCCTACCAAGTACTTCGTCTCGCCTATCAAGGATAGCGAGGGTGCCCGTGAAAGAAGACGGGAATTACGCCCTAGCCCCTTAACGTCTCTTCTAGCTTCCAAAGGGATTCAGCGCGAGGTTACCCCGAGGCCTCGGGCCCTGTGCCCCGAGTGCACTAAAGTCAAGATGTTGCTTCCAGCCAGATGGTGTGGCCACCAAGTTACTCGTAAGCGCCTAGTTGATTTCATTTGCCTTTTCTCAGCTCTGTTGTCTCCATTCTTTTCCTTTCCCTTCGTGGACCACGATGTCTCGTTGCTCGTTCCCAATTAGATGAACAATATCTCTTGTCGATCAATGTTGTATGTTATCAAACTATCCATATTAATTTCATTCGTAGCTTCTCGCATGAAGGATGGCTGGCGCGTTGTTCGGATCAATCCCAACCTCGGAAAAACGAAGGGCGTCAAACCTCACAAACCACGAATAAGCAGACACACTGGTCTAGAAAAGCCTAAGCCAGTTGCTGCTGATTCGTTGGAAAACAAAGTCGAAGAGCAGACGCCTGTCATCAGCGAGCCAGTAGTCGAGCTCAATACCCCTGAGCGCGTAGCTAGCTCGCTGGCTATCGATGAGCCGGTAGTCGAACCTAGTACGCCTAAGCGCATTGCTATCGAGCCTGATGTCGAGCCGACGCCAACACCGAAACCAAGCACTGTTTGCTCGCCATCTATCCAAATTCCGTTCAAGAACCCGTACCTCAACGACCAGCCTTTGCACTGGTCACCACGCATGTTCAAGCCCGAGATAGATCGCCACAACTGGACCTGGTCCGAATGGGACTCTCCATCCCAGACGATTGAGGAAGTCACGTACGAGAGTGAAGATTGGCCTATACACGATCCATTCGCTCGCTACCCTCCAGCTATCAGACAACGACTCAAGGATGTTCTCGCAATGAAGCCTGAATCGCCCAGTACCTCTTTGTCAGCAGAAGGGTTCTCATCTATTGATTTCCACTTCAATGGACTTGGGGTCGGGCGAGGTGATTCCTCCGAAGAAAAGGACGATGCAGAGTCTTCGGAAGAAGACTTGTCTAGCTGGGTCTTAATCAACGATCATCCATGGTCCCCTGCCTTACTCCAGATGTGGATCAATGGCGAGAAGGATCGAGAAAGAGACGCAGCCAGAGACGCAGCCAGGAGGGAACGATTCCAGCTGAATGACGATACGTCGACCGTATCAAGTATCGATACAGCTGAATTGATGGACGAAGAGTTTGGTCTTCGCAATCATCCCGAGTCCAACCATTCCGCATCAAATCGCTCCGAATCCAATCATTCTACATCTGATCGTTCCGGATGCAACCATTCCGACTCAGTCAACATGTCTTCTTTGTTCCAACTTTACATCGACCGCGACAATGATCGACAGAGATTGGAGACGGAGGATAATGGTGCTCGTAATAGTTCCCCCGAGAGCGTTAACGACCCTGTATCGTCTCGTCCTGACTCGCCAACTCCTTCAGCGCCTCATCCTGATGCATCCATCCCTTCAACATCTACTCCGGACGTGACCATTCCTTCTGCGCCTCTTCAGGATGTGTCCACTACTCCGGCATCTGTTCATGATGAGCCCACTCTTCCGGAGTCTGCTCCAGAAGCGCCGACCACCGTTTCAGAGCTTACTCCAGAAGCGACTTTACCTACTGAGTCTGTTCCCGTGCCTGTTCCAGACGCGTCTGCTCTTCCGCAGACGGAGGAGGAGTTTTCATCATGGGTCGACCTAGACACTCGCAAATGGACCGACGCCAGGTTCAGGTTTCAAACCAGCCAAGAAGAGGGTCGACGGATGGGATACTTCGATAGTGGCAGCGATGACTCCGATTCCGACAGTTTCGGGTTTTCATTCGATATTACAGGCCATCTCCAAAAGAACTATGGCATCACAGCAGTTTCTCAAGCTCAAGAGCACTTCCGTTCTCTCCGAGAGTCTCAACAGCTTTCGGTAGAAGCGCGACCCGCTATACCCACGTCGTCCGTTGTCTCTCACACTTTTACTTCTTCACGTCGGCTACCAACGGCTACTATAATGGAGCCATCACGCCAATTTTTGGAAGAGACATCCCGAGCATCCGGATTCGGTTGGAAGTCACTTGCTTGCGTTGCTGTCACGGCTGCGACTGTAGGGGCTGGTCTCGCATATGCTTGGTTTTCCAATTAGACAGTACGGTCTTCGAGTATGTCCGTCCGGTCCACATGTTTGTTTCTTGTATTGACTAATTATATAGTCTGCGCGTTACTCGTTTAGGGCATTGTAAGGCCGGGAGAATGGTGTTATGGGTGCTGGGTTTAGAGAGTTGGGGGTTGGGGTTCGATGGTTATTGGCTTATTCCGATTTGCGTTTTTATACTTGATTCTTGGGTCTGGTCTGGGTTTGGGCTTGGTTTCTTGGATTTTGGGTTTTCTGTTGGTTTTCGGTTATTGGTTTTTGGTTATTGGTTTTTGGTTATTGGTTTTTGGTTCAGTCTCGGCCGTCGTTCTTTTGAATTAACCTTGATGTTGCAACCCAGTTATTCGCTTCTGATCATTCTCCCGTTATTCAGCCCTATGCTGCTTCGTTTGGAGGGGGGTAAGGAGTGGTTGAGGGTTAGCAGTTGGTCACTCTTCGTTTGAGGCGAACGTTTGCTGCTAGATATAGCCGCAGGTAACGAAACAAGGTAGGTCATGGACTTCCAGATTACAATGAATACAATTTATATCCAAGTGAACCTATGCGTTAATGATGATTGAATAAACTGCCGTCCCGAGAGCTGTTCCCTCTACCCCATCGACCGCTCTTCATCAATATCAGTTTCGTCTCAGTTTCTTAGATATTATTCACCAACCCCAAAATCAATAATGTAAGCAATAATTTTTAATTAAAGTCATTGAACACCTACCACTATTTTGTGGTGAAAAGTATGGATTAGCTGCTACATCGCATAGCTCTTAGAGCGTAGTGATTGGGAGGCTCATGCAGTTCGACCAGTGTTGCGATGCGCCCATCCGTTTTGGCGATACCCGTGCATCGTGAACCTGAACGTAAACTCATCCGTGGATCTGATGCAATTCAGTTTTTATATACTCGGTCAACTATATTTCTTCTTCTCCCGCCCCCTTCCCCTTTTCACTTTTGAACTGGCGCGCGTTGCGGATGAGTAGGGAAGGGTTTTGAGATGGAAGATGTCACGGCGCAAGGATATCACACCCAGCCAGTACCCCAACAGATGCCCGAGATTTTAAAGGCGGCGGGTGAATGATATCCAACCCCTATCGAAGAAGGGCCCGAATCAGCTTACCTAACAAGGATCGATAGATAGATGCATTCAATTCGAGAACATGTAATAATCAGATGTTCCCTAGAGGATTTACATGGTTTTTTAAGATCTAAATATTCACGTACCCGATCTACTCCGATTTAGCCCCAGCAAAGTTTTCTTCTGTTAAAGAAATACACTAATAGTACAAGGTACTAGCTACATTTTTATCATCCGGGGAAAGTCTATAAAAAAAGCTCACCAATCATCTAACCCCTTCGATACACATATAATTACTTATACAGCTCATATATGACTCTGGATGTTCTATAAGTAGGAAATCTTAAGGGGAATAGAAGCAAAAATGGGCTCAAGTCAGATCCTCACGGAAGTCAATCTGACGTCACTCCCCAAGCTCGCTGAGGGAAAGGTGCGCGACCTGTACAGCGTCGACGACAACACTCTCCTATTCGTCACCACCGACCGCATCTCCGCCTACGATGTCGTCATGAAGAACGGCGTCCCACACAAGGGCGAGCTGCTGACCCTGCAATCCGTGCACTGGTTCAACGTGCTATCGGAAAGGGTGCCCGGCCTCAAGACGCACTTCTTGACCACCGACGTCCCGGCCCGGGTCTCGGCCGAGGAGGCGCGGCTCATCCGCAACCGCAGCATGCAGGTGCGCAAGCTGAAGGTGTTCCCGCTCGAGGCCATCGTGCGCGGTTACGTCACGGGCTCGGCGTGGAAGGAGTACAAGGCGCACGGCACGGTGCACGGCACGCGGCTGGCGCCCGGGCTGCGCGAGTGCGACGCCGTGCCCGGCGGCCCCATCTACACGCCGAGCACGAAGGCGCCGCTGGGCCAGCACGACGAGAACATCTCGCGCGAGCGGGCGGCGCAGATCGTGGGCGATGCGTACGCGGCGCGCATCGAGGACCTCGCGCTGCGCGTGTTCCGCGCCGGCCAGGACTACGCGGCCGAGCGCGGTATCATCATCGCGGATACCAAGTTCGAGTTCGGCCTCGACGAGACGACGGACGAGGTCGTGCTTGTCGACGAGGTGCTGACTTCGGACTCGTCGCGTATGTGGCCGATGGATAAGTACGAGCCCGGCCGCGACCAGGAGAGCTTTGATAAGCAGTTTTTGAGGAACTGGTTGACGGAGAATGGGCTCAAGGGGAAGGAGGGCGTCGAGGTGCCTGAGGATGTGCTGAGGGCCACGGGGGAGAGGTACGCGGAGGTGTTTCGTAGGTTGACGGGGAAGACGCTGGAGGAGGCTTTGCAGGGTTAGGGGATGGGTAATGTGCGGTGGGACAGATAAGGGAAAAGGGGAATCTTTCGATACCTGCTAGATATACAACGGTTTACGACGAGGGAAAAAAAAAAGAACGTATTGATCAGGGCAGGTCAAATCGTGGCAGCTAATATTAAGCAAAGTTAAACTAAACTACAACAAACAAGTCTTATAAGTATGCCACCAACATCTGTTCGCGTGTTCAACATCCCAGTCTGGAAACATAACAGGTTAAAAAGAAAAATCCACGAATTTTCATGATTTCGTCCGTCCGTCTGATTCGTCAGTCATGAGGAAAGCGACTGTGGAAAGTTATTCAAATTTGGTTCTTTTTTCAATGGTCCAATTATCTCCAAATCTTAAGATAGCAAGAAGCACAAAAATCTGGAACATGGTTAGCATGTAGTAGCCATTATCTGTACACACAAGTCTCTTACCTGTATTAACCAATCAAACCTCTCTTACGCCTTGCCATGAGCTCGGAAAGCAGCATCGCTGTGGCCCTTGACGCACTTCTCCTCGCACGAGGTGTCACCGCACTGCTCGGTGTCGAGGCCGACGCCGGTCTTCTGGCAGTTGTGGGTCTTGCACTTCTTCATGCAGTCCTCGTACTCTTGGCTTGCGTGCCCTTCGGCAACCGGCACGTCGTGGACGTTGGGAACAGCTAGCACGTCCGGACCTAGACCCGGGTTCGCGACGAGCTTGGCGCCGGGCTCCTTGACCATCTGCTTTCCGGCGACGGCGGCGTCGGCCTCGTGGTACGACGCGCACTCGTCCTCGCAAGAAGTTTTGCCGCACTGCTCGGTCTCGAGCCCGACGGAGGTGTGCTGGCAGTTGTGCGACTTGCACTGCTTCATGCAGGCTTCGAAATCCTCAGACCCCTTCTTGGCGGCTACGGGGACGTCTGGCGGGGGGTGGGAGCCGGGACCAGCGGGAGAGGCTGGGGCAGGGGTGGCGGGCCTGTCGGGGGCGGGAGCCGCGTTGGGGGCGACGGCGACGTTGGGGACTGCTGGCAGGGGAGCTACGGCCGGGACAGCGGGGAGACGTTCTACGGCTGGGAGTGGGGCTACCGCTGGAACAGCAGGTAGAGCCTCGATCTTAGGCACGGGTTCGACTTGCTTCTTGTGGATGTGCTTGTGCCCGGCCTTCGCGCTCTTCTTGTACCCGGCGCAAGCATCGGCGCACGCAGTATCGCCACATTGGTCGATGGAGAGACCGACGCTGGAGTGCTGGCAGTTATGGGTCTTACACTCCTTCATGCATGCCTCGAATTCTTCGTTCTCGCTGGCCATGCTAGCAGTTTTGTGTGTTGGGGGTGGGTGCGACTTGAAAACGGGCTTAGGAGCTGGGATAGCGGCGGGCTGGGGGACTGGCCTAGGAGATGAAGGATAGTTGAGCTGGTCCCGAGGGTGCATTCCGCCGTGGATGGCACCGGCCGCGGCATGCTTGTACTCTGCGCAGGAATCGGCGCACATGGTATCACCGCACTGGTCCACGTCAAGCCCGACGCCAGAGTGTTGACAGTTGTGAGTCTTGCACTCTTTCATGCATGCTTCAAATTCCTCGCTTTCCTTGCCTGCTACAGATACGTCGTGCTTAGGCTTGGGCTCCGGCTTGGTGGGGTAGCTGTCGACGGCTCTAAGGTATGTCTTGTGGACGGTCTTCTCGGATGCGAAACTTGCGGCTTTCCTAAACTTGGCACATCCGTCCTCACAGAAAGTGTCACCGCATTGATCGACGCTGAGCCCAACGCTAGAGTGTTGGCAGTTGTGGGTTTTGCACTCCTTCATACAGGATTCGTATTCTTCCTCTTTCTTTGCTGCCGCAGCTTCATGTTTAGGCGCCGACGCAGGTTTAGGTTTTGGGACGCCCAATGGCCAATTCTCTGGGTGTCCTTTCTTACTAATTTTCTTGCCAAAAGACGCACTCTTCTTGTGCTTTGCGCAAGTCTCCTCGCACGAAGTCTTGCCGCACTGGTCAATGCTAAGGCCGACGCTGGAGTGTTGACAGTTGTGGCTCTTGCAGTTCTTCATACACTCCTCGAAAGCTTCTTCGCCGGCTGCCGCGGTGACCTTGACAGGCATAGGCTTAGGCCTTTTTGCGTGTTCGATTTGGGCAGGTGTGACCTCTCTGAGGCCGAGAGATCCCAGCAGGTTCTTTACTGGGTCCTTCTTCTCCTTGGTATCGTCGTCGCCATCGCATTCCTTAGCACACTCTTTGATACACTTCATTTGCTTGGATTTGCCATCTATATCAGAGCAGGCGCCGACACAATCACATTTTGCTTTAGCTAGCTCAGTCGCATTCATGGCACCAGTGCCGTTCGTTGGTGCAGCTAGAGGAGCACTAGAGGTGGAAGCTGGCTTGTCGGCCCTCTTAGAAGGGGGTAGATTCGCGAGACCGCTGGCGATAGATTCAGCAATACCGGTTGCGAAAGAAACAGCATTTTTGGACATGTCCTCCAGCATGGTAGTGTTGATCTGGCGACCGACCACCTGCGTAGGCGCGACGAACACAGTTGGTTCAGGAGCACGAGCGTGGTTCTTGGTTTGCGAGGCGTCTTTGTTGTTGTGCTTAATCTTCTGGAGAGCGGCATTCTTCATCGCCATCGTGTCCATATCCATAGCGTGGGCTGCAGCAGTCGGGATGTTGTTATGATACATCACGCCGCCCATGCCCGAAGGAACCGCTGACTGGCTTCGCTGGCTACTAGATTCATTAGATCATGAGAGAAAACCGAAACTGACGAGAAAGACTTACGCAATGGGACTTGCCATAACGGCGGGCATAAGAGCCGCGAGAACGATCTGGTTCAACATGGTTGCTGATCCAAAGCGATGATGTGACTAAGTTCGACTAGTCCCTCGCTATTCTGCTGCTCCTTGTCTACTACTGAAGGAGAGATGATTTGCTTGGTTGTCGAAATGTCAGGATCTTCCCTCGGATTTATATGTACTGTTTTGCCATATCAACGCAGGAGAATTCTAGAAGATTAGACGCGCTTCAGCCTCAGAACACGGTGCCTGTCGATCTGAACACCTTCTGGGGTAGCAAAATGCCATGGTGTAATGAACTAATATTTCAAGGGACATATATTTTCTCGGAATTAACAACATACTTAACATGTGGTTCACTAGGTTATCCCTAGATAATCACGTTGTCTTAGATAGGTTGGCTATGGTGTCGTCGCGCGTTGCAGAGCTATACTCAGCGCACGACATCTAGTGTAAATCCATTCCATCGCGGCGACGATCGAGATTCCACGAGACATGTCAATAGCTTTTTGGTCCGTGTCGTCGGTAGTAGGTCGTACTTCACACTAGGTGAAACCTCGAGAACGCATTCTTCGTGATAATTACTTAAGGTCAAATTCACCAATCTGGATTGTAAAGAGAAATTGCTTCGGACACTCGTGCTTTAGATACTTGGTTGGATAGCCGACACCGAAAGGAAGTTTCCCAAGTTTGAAATTGCGAATGCTCTGTATGTCGTTGCGTTTTCTCCGGAATATGAAGGGCGCAAGAATCCGTTAAGGGATTCAAGATAACATCCATCTAGTGTCTCTTAGTTAAGACTTGAGCTCCCTAGTTATATGAGCTTACATTAGGCGGGATAGAATAAAACCTTCATCCAGGGAACAGAATACACTTATAGCACATAATGGTCTTTATCCAGGGCATGATAACTAGGTAGGTCCGGGGTAAAAATGCCGATTATTAGATGAACCATCTTAAGTCTTCCACTCTTAAGAACACTCTCCCTTTCTTCACTACTTACTTAAACTGTGGGTTTCCTCGTACATACAGCGCATCTAAATAGGCTGATAAACGTGGCGGTAGTTCCTTATCACTAGAAACGAACCATCGTCTAACCCGAATGTTAAGAGTCTGGAAAAATAACCATGGAAGGCTATGAGTTCCCCTCAGTTGATACCCACATGCTTAGTTGTCATGCATGTATTTACGAGCGATTCTTCAACATTAGTGGTCCGATGAATGGTGTGTTGTTGATTGGGCATGTCGTCGTAGTAAGCTTGTTGAGATATATCATAATTATTATTCAAAATAGTGATCAACGGGAAGGCTCCCCAGAATTGTTGAAGTTGAAGTTGAGAAAATAAGTTGGTCCCTAAAGATCGGTCAGATCGGTGTGTTCAACCATTCAATCTTGGTTATGTAAGCTCACAAGGAACATGGATGGAATCGATGGATCGAGTACTGCGTACCTGCCAAGGCTCAAGCATCCAAGCTACGAAGTACCAAGGTACACACACATATTGAACGTTCCAAGGTTCCACGTTGAAACCAGGTGCCCCACACAAGCTCGTAAAATGGCCCAAGCTCCATTTGTACCCACTCTTTACGACCCGTTTTATGGCTGCCCCTCCACCCAATCGCCTATCGATTTCTTGTCAAATGCATCATTTAATTGATTGCTATCGCGAGTCGCATCAACGAATTGTTTGTCTTCGTATATCAGCATGGCTCTACTAAAATATGGTATGGTATCTGAATAAGGTGAGCATTGTCTTTCTACCATGTCTGAAGGTATCTAGGTACGGTTTCAAGTTTTTTTGAGGGTGGGATTGGGATTCTCTTCCGTGGTCTGCTGTGTGTCGGCGGTGGTTGGTGGTTGGGCACCCAGCCTCACATAAATCAGCATAACCAGCCCTCTTATTATGCTGATTACCTATTACACCCGACAACCTGCAGAAATATCTACCCAAATCTCTTCTCATGCACTCTTCCCGTTCATCTCTGCAAGAGAAGGTAACAAAACACCATTTCGTACTACCAAGGAGTAATTGGCCAAGTTAGTCCAAGCGGATTGGGGCCGTCTTTTAGTAGGACGAACTAGCGAGACGAAGTGAAGGATGAGCTCTCAAAATTTGGACATAGACTACGTCCAACAAGATCAACCAAACCGTATGCCAACACCCTACATCCTAACCTGGTAATATCTAGAATCTCTAGCTCACACTTATTCTCTTAGGCCGAAACCCGCATCATCAATCTCACCCATCTACTTCAACCATCTCTGCGCACGCCAAAACCGCCTCCCGCGTCACCATCCTCCAAGGCTCCCCGCGGCTGGTTGATTCCGATAACAGCGCACGACAAGAACCATCTCCCGCTTCACAGTCCACCGTGGTACCCTATGCACCGACACCTCCCCCAGCCCCCACACCCCCTTCAATACCCTCCGAATCAGAGGTTTATGGTCCCGAGAGACTTTGGGGCCACCAACAGGCCATAGAGGAAGATGTCGATCGCTCCATGATATCAACTCCTGGAACGCGCTACGATCAGCCGCGATTCCCACCCATGGTTCCTCAGCAAGACCCCGCCTTTGGGGATTTCAAAGACGATCTGACGAGAGCTGCCGGCGTCGTAACTCCCGGCGTAGATGACGGTCCCTATATCCGCTATGCTCTGGATGCTCTGACGAGAGATCGTGACAATGGCCGAGGGATGACGGGATATCCTTCTTCTGGTAGCGATGAGTCCTACCAACAGGCCTATCATTTCACCCCGACCACAGTTCCTAGTCCATACAAGCAGCCCTCGTTTCAGCTGCCGCCAGAGCAAATCACGCGCGACAACACCCCCCGAGATTGGCCTATAGGTCCGCCTCCCGGACCTGTCGTCTCAGCTCCTACTCCCACCGCCGAAGACGAGCTGCGGGAGAAGCGACAGCAGCGTCAAGAAAGGGCCAAATTCACAGATGATCCTTGGGGTACCATTTTGGGTACCACCGCTGCCGCCGAGGCTGAGGCTAAGGATTACAACAGAAACTCATCTCCTTTCAGTGAACGACGTGGGGAGCGGACAATTTCCCCTAAGCCTAAACCCAACCTGCCGAGGAATTTGGAGCATTGGCAAGCACGGTCAGATCTGGTAATCGACCCCGAGACCGGTCTGCACAATTGCGGAAAGGCCCTGAGCTGGGAGGCGCCTCTGACGCGGAAACCCTGGGTCTTACGACTCCAATCCTTGTTAATTCTGGCGACCTTGTGCCTCTTAATGGTTGTGGCTCTCATAGTTTCCGCCGTATATTCTATGAATCACAATGGCTTGACGCCATACTCCGGCACAATCTATGGCGGCCAATACTTCCTTTTCCGGATGTTGCCGCAGCTGCTAGCTGTTATTATATTAATTCATGCCCAATGTGTAATCGCCGCGGCGTTTTGGGTTTTGCCATTCTCGTCTATGGCTTCGGATGACCGTAACGAACGACGAGACGCTGTGTTTTTACCCCTATATCCCAAATCCTTTCTCTGGCCTCAGCTGGGCGGGCCGTGGAATATCTGGATACCCATTTTCAATGTTTGGCTGTTGAATTTCACCATACCGCTGCAAAGCAGTCTTTTTACCGTCATCCTCGTCGACGGAAATTGGATATGGGCAACCGTTCAGGGTGTGGTGTGGACATTAGTGGCTTTATACGTGTCATTTATGCTGTCACTGGTTGTACTGTTTGTGTTTTGGAACCGACGAAGAACCGGTATGATGCAAAAATGGGGTATTCGAACTCTAGGGGATATTATCTTCCTCATTTCGCAGAGCAATTCGTTACTACGGTATCGCGGGCTTGAGACGGCAGCGACACGAAGCAGCATGAGACAGCGATTGGAGGGAAATGCCGACAGGCTTGGGTTTTGGTTTTCCCCTGAATTGCCAGAAATCGGAACGTGGTACGGGATTGGGAGGTCTACTGGCGAAGGGGATCTGAAGACTGAGAAGTCGGAAGGTCCAGGATGGGCTGTGCGACGAGAAGGATCTCCGGAAGCGGGTGAACGATCTTCAAATCCTAACGTCCGTTACCGCTATCTCCCATGGTGCTTCCGGGATAGCCAAATCACTCTCTTCGTCGTGGCATTTTCCATCCTGTTACTCGCTTTAATCATTGTCTCGTTCCTCCATTCCACGGACTTGCGCAATGGTTTTCTCCCTCTCCTGAGCTCCATGCCCGTTGCTGGCGCATTTTCTGCTGCCGACTTCGTCTACTCCTTCATCCCTTCGCTTTTAGGCCTCATACTATTCCTACTATTCCAGTCTCTAGATCTGACACTACGTATCCTAGCCCCGTGGGGTGAGCTTTCGCGCGCGGAAGGTTCGCGAGCGCAAACTTCGCTTCTTTTGGATTATTCGACATGTCTGCCTCTCGAATCGACATACAAAGCATTGAAGAACAAGCATTGGCGGGTGGCATTCGTGTCTTTCCTATCCCCGCTATTTTCTCTTTTGCCAGTCTTGGGCGGCGGCCTATTTATGGCTTTGACTCCGCCTGACAAGATTGTGCGCATGTATCCCAACGTGCCCGCGTTCGCCATCATCCTCACCCTACTATTCCTATACGTCGCCGGGCTTATCTGCTTGATACCCAATAGGGGGCAATACCGCCTACCTCATGCTGTTACCTGTCTGGCAGAGATAATCAGCTTTTGCACGGACGAGAAGCTACGCACAGATGGGGCGTTTGATTTACATCTAATGCTGGAACCTACAGACCTAGCTGGTCATCTCGACCGCGGCAAGGATTGGCATAGACAGGGTCGGTGGACTCTGAGCACCGGCCGAAATAATGACGAACGCCTCGGCATCAAACGCTTCAGCAAGTACACAGTCAACCCCAAGAAACTCCGCGACTATGACAGAAGGGCGAGAGGCCAACTCATATCTGCTCCATTACCTCACGACAGCGGCTCTTTATTCAACCACTAGGTTGAAATTTCACATATCGATATTCATTTCTTGTATATCTTTTTTATCATCTTTTTTTTGGTTCATTTTTACGAACTCATCTAGCGATCATAGATTGACAAACTACATGTACAGTACGATTTGAACGGATCATGGGTCATGGTGTTTACGGCTTTACGGATTATGGATTATGGATTTATGGATCATGGGTTATGGTGATATGGGTGTCGGCTGCCCGACAGACTGCAATGAGAAGTTACGAGACCCATGCGGGTTTATGATTCTACTGCCAGGAAGATTAATATCTTACTACCTAGTTTTGAGTGATACCATTTATAGAGGCCAAGGAGGTGATTGCAGATAAATGAAAACTTATGATTTTGGTCGGGGCTTGGAACACTGCTTTGTATGATTATCTGCTGTTCTTATGATGATGGATTTGCGTCGCTCTGCCGCGGAGGTCTGCTGAATTAGTGAATTTCCAACGTATCTACGTATACGCGACCTAACAGAATCATACACTAGCCCCCTTAGTACCTATCTAAGTAGTGATGGCACCGTCATGACATGTAAGGTGATTGTCTAGGTAGGTAGTTGCCTACATGAGTACTCGCACGTATCGTAGATCTACTAGGTAATCCCTAGGATTCAAACTAGAATTATATCGACTTACGTACAACTGACGACGTTGCCTTCTTAATACCAAATATATAGAAGACTTTGTTGCCTAGATAAATTAAGAAACGGAGCCAATGAGAAAAGATATGTATGTAGGTACCTAGTTGCTATACAAATGAGACTCGAAGGTACCCGCATAGCCTACTAGCTATTCAAACAACTGCGTTCTATTAGAGCTGAGTACTTTGAACATATATATGTGAATAGGGCCGAGTTGTTCAGATATAGGGAGGAACCAGAATTAATTTAGCATCAACAAATTCCAACAGATCTGTGTTCTGGTTTGATCGATCGATCGGCTACGATAAAAAGTTTTTCAAATTCCATATTTTCTTCTATTGTTTACTCCAGCCCATATTAGCTGGCTTGCGAATCTACGTAGGGCTAATAAAGGTGAGACGTGTGTTATAATAATGCCGAGGACAGCTGTGCCTCTTCAGACACAACGAACCACCTAGTTAGGACACATTATTGAAGAATTAGCCACAAACGTACATTTACCTGCCGACTCGGCTCCACATGTCAGTTGGATTCTACAATTCGTGGGCCGATAGATATATGATTGACCAACACCTTTGGAATAACTTGTGGGTTATGGAATTCTATCAAAAATGTTTCACTTTAGCTCAGGGCCCAGGGTAGACGAACGAGAATATTGGTAGGTAAATGTATGTTGTTATGTTTATAACTACCATATGATAAATAGCTGGCTTCAAAGTCTTAGATCTTTGCTATGATGCGAAAGAAAGTAAAATAGTTGTATTGTACACACAACGATAACAATAGGAGTAAACAAACAGAGACGCCCCGAGCCTCCTCATGAGAAGGGAACAAATAGATCGACATAATAGAACATAACTGGTTGATAGTCATAGGAACGTCGCTGTTTCCCATCCGCGTATCTCATCCCTCGCCGTCGCGATCATGATCGTATCATCATCATTGGTGACATTGGTGACGTGATGGAGGATCTTACAACCCCCGAGCTTTTGTTTGCTTTTCCGTTTTGCGCCCCTCGCCCGAGCGAGTTCATGTGTTCTATTATCATAAACACATGTAATATAACAAATTCGTGCTGGTCAATATCGTACTCCTTTTTGTGTCTCGGTCGTATGCACCGTTTTCTCGTCGCCCATTGCTAGACTCATAAGACGTTCTCAATCTCGTACATGCCGGGCCAGCCAGTGAAATGCCATGAAAACATAGGAGACTTGAATGTTAAAAATTCGTGGTGAGCTTTTGAGGGTTGGTGAAACTGTTTCCAGGTAGCCCGATGAAAGAAGATTTTGCGTAGAAAGTAGGATAAATGTAATAAACCGAATGGTCATTATTTATCGGCTCTTGAGTCCGAGGATTCGACCTAAGCTACCACCTCGCTTACGGTTCGTATTCTCCTTTTCCTTCTCCTTTTCAGAGCCCTGAGAATCAGAGCTCCCACTGCCTCGACGGTTGTTGTCGTTTCGTTTCTCACTGGCACTCTTCTTGTGGAACCCACGAGCAATCCGTTTAGTAAAGCTGTTACTCTCCATGTATGACTCATGATCCGAGTCGACTTCGAACACTGATACTAAACGCTCAAGCTCCGGTCGAGAAGTTGGCTGCGACGGGGCTACTGCGCTGAGTGGCGATAATGGTACCGTAGCGTTATGTTTAGGCTGGTTGAGCGGACTCTGCTTATCGCGCAAGTTGGTGGCTGAGGTCACTGAGCGGAGGGCCCTAGGCGGAGGGGGCGGAGGATAAGCAGGAGACGCGGGGACCGAGTTGGCTGTCGCTGGCAGTATAGGTATCTCGGATACCGGAGGAGCGGCACGACATGCTCGGAGGTTATGAGACGACTTGCTGGGTTTGAGGTTCAAATTTGATCTGTTAGACCTTGGTGCCTGGCGCCGGGGTGGTGATAATGCTGCTGTATTAAGCGATGATGTGCGCGGTGGAAGAGGAACTCGCAGCATATGAGCGGGTTCTAATTTGGGATAAACGGAGTATGTTGGCTGGCCGTTTCTTGCCGTTGGGCGTGGAGGCGACGGCTGTGGTGTGGGAGTGTCGCATGATGAATTTGGGATTTCCTTATAGTCCTGTTTCAAGTTCGGTATGGTGATTGTGTCGTTGGCCTCATGGAAATCGCGTTGGGGGAAACTCTTGGTAAAATAATTCGGGGTCTGGGAGGCCCGTAGAAGTACGGGGTATTGTTCCCCGGGAATAACCGCGCTGTGTAGCCAGAAACTGTCCCACAGCTCACCAGCCGTCGTATTATAGTTACTGTCCTCATCGAATGACGTCTCCGAATCAGAGGAGTCGGTCATCCCCGGCATGGAGCCGTTCGACGCCAGTGATGAACAGCTATCACTTGACTCATGGCGGCGCAGTTGACTATCTGGTCTGGGATAAGAAAAGTTATTGTTCAGACTGGACTTCCTTGGTGGTCTTGATGAGATGACGTCGACATCTGTTGAGAAGCTCCCTCCATTGAGGACGAATCCCTCTCGGTACGGGTGGCTGACGAAGTCCATGATCCCGTTAAGTTTGAAAGATCGATCGAGATTGGAATCCGGCTCTGAGTCCCTATGACGGATATATGCAGTTTATAGGGTATCTCGAGGAGAAGTTGGTGTCCTACCAAGACAGCATGAATCCAAACAAAAGAACACCAGTTTGCAGATCCAGACGATCGAGGGTGGTATCAGTAAATAATACCACGAGAAAAGAGACATGCGGGGGGAGGCCAGAGTCAGATTGTGAATCAATCAACAAGAAGTGTGGCCGATAGGGATACCTTATGTATCAAGCTTGGAACGATCAACATATGGAGAGCTCACCTAGCTCGCGTCTAAGTCTACCTAGGCAGTGTAGGTACCAAGGTAGACCAAGGTAGGTGAGTGTGTAGGTGAGTAAGTAGGTGTGCGAGGTGGGGCCAGGAAAGGAATTGTTTGTGCAGAATGCATAACAGCAAGGGAGAATTCAAATACCTTATGTGTGAGATCGGTCTTGCATTTAGGATCTCGCTATGCAAGTTCCAATCGTATGGTACCTTACGTCACGAACCGGGGGGACGGAATGCCCAAATCCTTGGTATAGTATAACAAACGGTGTTATCGAGGAATATTGTCAGATATGACATTCCCGCGTCCGTATGTTGGTGGCGGTATGGAGAATTGAGCCGGCTTGCGCCTCTCACCTCTCGCTTCTTTGCCGGCCAAGTGTAACATAAAAAAACTGATATCACTCATAGGGAGAAGGTCACATCCGTCCAAGCTGGTTGGGAGTTGGGATGAGCGGGAACAAACAGCAGGACTAGTGATTGGTAAGAGAAGGGATCTCTCTCCGAATAGCGGAAAGAATGTATCGGGTACGGTCATTCCAACCACCACGAGGGGACTCGGGCCTTCCACTGAGCTCCGTGGCAGAGCCTGCGACTAGCCCATGAGGTAGATACCGCTGCCCAGACACCGCCTGAAAAGTGACGGATCAGAAGGAGGAGGGAAACGCGTAAAGAGCGTTGTCGACTTGTCGACTAGACGGAAACGCGCTTGGCAATTCGACTCCACTTCCCAGCCTGCATGATAATGGTTCTACTTCACATACGGGCGTACCCCGATAATTAACCCGTGCTGGTGCCGAATTGAGTGGCTATAGTGAAAATATACCGCCTCATGTTCTTCAGGGCTTAGTGGCGGGTATGGGCCCTCGAACTTCCATATTGTGGTTGTGTTGGTACTAGCCTGGTGCAGTTGTTTTTTTCACTAGCGAGCTGCCCAACATACGAAAACACCGTCCGTGGTTGGTTAACCGCCGAGACATCACGGCGACATCGACGTCATGAACTCCGACGAAGCATTAAAGTGCCTATCTTTGAGAAATAGGGTTCACCGTACCTACTATGTGGTAGGTTTAGAATACGGTGGCATGTATTCCTCTTTTGTTTTTCTTCTCGCCTCCTCTTCTCCTACTTGAGGCTCCGGATGATCGACACTTTGGGTGGTATTCAATCTTGCAGATCATGCCAATAGTGCGAATCTGTCGCCTGCAGACGCCTACATATGTATTTGTTAGCCTCTCTGCAAGACTGCGCAATCACTTTACTGATCTTGCTTATAATTCTGTCTCGGGTTGGCGAGAGAAGAAGAAAATTGAAAGCCTTGGACTGCATTGAGCATCGTGCAGCGGGTAGACGGTTCGTTTCCTGGAAACTGAACGCGTCTGGACCGAGAAAAATGAGATGTCGCTCTTTTTTCCTCTTCTTCTTCTCATCTCTCACTTTCATATTAACTCTCTCATACAGATGTCAAGTCATCGAGGAAGGGTTACTTGAGAAAGATATGTGATATTCCAGACTAAGCAGTCCAGGAGGTGTATTAGAGAGAGTTTAGCAATGGCTACCTAGTTAACTTCCCTCGAATTAGGTAACGAAAAGAAATATCCTACCCCTATCCAGGCAGGGAGAGAGTTTGCGATAAGGGTGGGGAAGGAAGGAGAGGGGCAGAGGGGTTACATGACGGCAGGCCTCCGGTGCCTTCTGTTTTCACCCGCGCCGTTCGGCCTTTTAGAACCTCCAGCCGTAAAAGGCGTAAAAGACCCCTGCGGCAAGAATCATCCACGGTGGCTGAAACTTTTTAGGAGCCGGAGCGTCCTTCCGACTGCTTCTGCATATACTTCTACAGCACAGCATCTTAACAATGGCATTCTCAAAAGGTCGATTTCGTATGTACCTACGTATCCTGCGTGCCTTCTAAATAGTAAGTTGCTTGGGAGAGACTTGGCAAGTAGGATTGTCGAGGTTGGATGCTGTACCTGCATGTCAAATTTAGACCGACTCTACAAGAAAAGATTTTATGAAAAAGTAAGACTGTCCAGTGTCGTTTCCTATCCGCTTCAGATCCATATCTTATGTTATCTGACACTAGGTATGCCATCTAGCCAATAAGGAGATCTGTCGTTCTTTTCAATCTCTAGCTTTTGATGGTTATGAGACGAAGCGTCAACATGGCCCGTGAGAGAAGACGGCCGAGGTTCAAGACTACGGTGGACCCTAGGCACTGGAGGTGACCCGACTATTATTCCACATACCTAATGGATCGACACTGCGTCCTGCAGGTCCGAAAACACCAACGGAATCGGACCTGATTGAGCGTCTGCATTTTGTCTGCACTTTGCGAGGGTATGCGTAAGCTGAGAGCTGCAGCTAATGCGACCTCTCAACACAATATGCATTCGATAGATCCAAAGTCTCGGGCTGGCGCTGATATTACCCGAACACGATACATCAACATTTACCTATCCGAACAATCCTTATTAAATAAGAATTGGAAATTTCGCACGCAAATAAATTGAATAACCAATTCGACTGTTCGAGAGCTGGTTACTAATCGGGCTATCTGCAAATAGTCAATAATTGAATAAATAGTCATTTTCGAGGACCCAAACTGATGCTACCTGTTTATTAGTCTAAGACAAGCGTCGGAAAATTCATATGCGAACTGCTCTACCCCAGTGTTTGTCCCAGCGGCCCAGTAGTCTGTTTTCTTTCCGTTTTCTTTCCGAACTTGATGCGAACTATCCCAACTTTTACTGACTTTAAAACAAGACAAAATGTGGAAAAGCATGAAAGAACGACGCAGGCATTTGATGCTATTATTTCCATAACTTGATCATGTCAAAAAATCAAGAACCGGATATAAAAACTAAACAACATTTCCATAGCATTGACCATGAAGTAATAAAAGCAACATATGACCGAGATACTGATAGGCTATTGGGGAAATTATATACGCGTCAACTACATATACTCCGTATTTGCAATAGCCTGGCACCTGGAATACGCTATGCCGCATACATTATTAGTTGATTCTATCATGGATGTAGCGTACTACTATGTATGGTGATACAACACCTTCACCTACCTTTTGCAGGCAGAGTATTCCCCCGTTATTCCTTCAGAAAGACCCTTTTCCCCTCAATGGCATCTCAAAATCGATAAAGCCACGTGCCTACATATGCGAACACCCTTTAATATTGCTTCACGACTTGCATGTCCGATTCGGTAGCCTACTAATAGAAAATCCCCGACTGCACAGCCACATACATAGCACATCTCCGTTTAGTTCTTAAAATAAGGGGTAACTGGAAATTGTGATAGGATTTTATTTTGGACCCTACGTAGTAGTATGCGGATTTAGCAATGGAAACGTTCGAAGTCCCTTGAAATTCATATGAACCTCCACCTCCCCCCCTCGGCCCCTATGTTGCTGCGTACTATGTAGTGTATATCGCCTACCCAAGAATGTTTCTATCACCGCCTTCTGTGCCCCTGGGAATCATTCAACAACTTTCATCGAATTGTCAGCGCTCACCACGGCCTACTTTCTAATAACAAGATGTCGTTCGATACGAGGCTAGTATTGTCTTCCATCAGGCCATCCATGTAGAAAAAGATATTTTCAGCACGCTGCCTTCGGCTCTTGGCACCCCATGGCTCTAAAATATGGGCACGGCATATTAACTCAGTTTTTCATCTGTTCACAAGATGAATAAGAGAAAATGGACCCTTGACATATCCCGGTCCCTGGTTGGTCGCCTGGTTCCCAGATCCGTAAATTCGGAGACCTCGGTCGTAAATCCAACGGTAATTTAACAAAAGGTACCTATGTATCGACAACTGCCTATCACACCCCTGAGTTATTTTCAGCTTCTCTCCAGGCTTCGTGATATCGCAACGACGGGCAACGGCCGTACACTATCAACACCTATGTACGTAGTGGTCTTAGATGCCTTACATACCTGAGTTCGTATAGCATGTAATAGATCTTGATTGCTCGCGGAATATCTGCATAACGTCATAGTAAATGTCGAATGAACTACCTCATAATAACTTAATAAGCGAGCCCACTTCGGTAGCTTGTTCCTTCGTATCGCGATTTATGGAAGCCAAGTTTCAACGTGTCTAGCGGAGCCGCTAACTAAACCGTCCCTGTCAATCTTTCGAACTATTCACTCTCTAATTGGCTATGAATAGGGCTGACACAATAGTCAGCTACCCGATTCGTCCTGGTAAGCTTATGGGTAACATGCTTGATCCGAGTTAGGATCAGCTTTCCCCTGGTCTTCAAAGATGAAGGGACCGCTAGTCGACCCCATCAGCGGCGCCACAGCAATGTTAATCTCGTATGCTGCATACAACGCAGCAATAAACAGTAATAACGGCCAGCTTCGAGCATTTTGCACACCGCGTGGTTGTCGAGATGCCGCATTACCAGAAGGAACCAATAGTCGCACGCCAACCCGACGTCTAAACACACCACCTCTGCCCCTAATTAGGGTAAGGCCCAAGGGTCTATATAGAATATGTGCACGGATAACAAGCCCGCCTACGCTAGAACTGGGGTCGGCTGTGAGTTATACTACGTAGTAGTAGTCGGGGGAATCATCTCCACAATGGGCTTTAAGAAGATAAAGGAGGACCCGCAACGGTAAGAGTGGCAGAGTGACTATAAGACCGGGAGAGGCGCCCGCCGCGGCATCTTCAGTTAGACTCTTTCTTTTCTCAGCGATCTCGATCGTCTGCCACTCGTTTATATTCGTTTTACTGTGTATATACATACGTTCCCTATATATATACAGTAACAGAAATATCACCATGAAGGTTGCCGTCGCTTTGTTTGTTTCGGCGGCGTCCGCCGCGTCGATTCCCGTAAAGCGGCTCCCATTGCTCGAGGGTCTGCCGCTCGAGCAGTTCGGAGGAGTCCATTCGATTTCTATTGAGGATGCTATTAACAAGTTGGATTTGGTTGGGACGAATTTCACCGCGCTGCCTATTTCCAGCATTTTCGAAGCCGTCGGCGATGTAGTCGACGACGTTCTCGGCGAGACCCTTGGAAAGATCAACCTAGGCGGTGACAAGAAGCCCGAGGAGCAGGAGTCCCAGGGGCTTCAGGAGGAGAAGGTCAGCACCAGCAGCGCCGATGCTCAGGATTCCCCGGACACTGAGCAGACCGAGAGTACTCAGAGCAGTACCCCAAGCGCCCAGAGCACTTCTAGTGCTGCTCCCAGCATTACTCCCTCGCCTACCCCTACCGCCGCGAGCAACCAGACCACTCAGGTCACCAACAGCCCCGCCGCTACTGGTACTGGCCAATGCTCCAACCCGAACGTCCGCTACGAGTGGGACAACTACTCTTCTTCCGACAAGGAGGCTTTCGTTAACGCTTTCAAGTGCTTGATGGACAAGCCTCCCTCCGGAAAGTTTGCCCCGTCCAAGAGCCGATTCGAGGACATTGTTCGCCTCCACCAGGCGTACTCGCCCAACATCCACAGCAAGAGCACCACGCAGCAGACGCACAAGTTCCTCCTATGGCACCGCTACTACGTCTGGGCTCTCGAGCAAATTATGCGCGACGAGTGTGGCTTCGACCGTGCTTTCCCCTGGTGGGATGAGAAGAAGTGGGCTGGCAAGTTCGCTCAGGCTACCATCTTCACCCCCGAGTACTTCGGTTCCCTCCCTGCCCCTGTTAACGGTGCTGCTAGCTGCATTAACGACGGTGTAAGTTTCTGATATGTCCCGAAGAACAGTGGCTTTTCGATCGAGTTGGAGATGTGGAGACTAACAAAAATCGCAGAAATTCGCCGGTCTGCAGTTGAGCCTCGGACCCGGAATGGTCACCGACAACACTCACTGCCTCCAGCGTGCCGTCAACGAGCAGGTTACCACTCAGACTGGCCAGAACGCCTGGGACACTTGCCGATCTCGTACCTCTTACCCCGACTTCCACAGCTGCGTTGAGTTTACGTAAGTTGACATATATTGTCCCTTAATTAGTAATATGATTCTAACTCGATAACTATAGCTACCACGCTCAGGGCCACAACGGTGTTGGTGGTGTCATGGCTGATGCCATCGCCTCCCCCGGTGACCCATCTTTCTTCATGCACCACCTGTTCGTCGACTACGCTTTCCGCAAGTGGCAGCTCGACGATGTCGCTACCCGCACCACCTCCATCAGCGGCTGTGCCGACAACGAGAACTGCACCCCTCTTACGCTCGACACCATGGTTTACGTTGGCGAGATCTGCGGTGAGAAGTGCCCCGACCTCAAGGTCCGGGATGTCCTTAACACCGTCAACGGTCACTTCTGCTACCGCTACGACTACTAGAGATGGTCTCGTGCCGAAGGCGGGATATCGACCCAGGAAACTTACATATAGACCACCAATACTCTCATTGTAATTAGGATAGAACTGCAAGTTCTAATCATAGCGTTCATTAGCAGATACCCTTGACCAGAAATTGTTTTTTGTTAGTTCACTTTTGCGTCTGTGATTCGCGAATGTTGTAGATTGCTGTATGTTGCCGTGCTCGGGGATAGTGATAGATGAGTTAATACCGGTGAGTGAAGGTGAGGCCCTTGGCGATTGATTAATCTAATGTGTTCCGATTGCAGGGGTGAGGGACATGGGATCGGGCATAGCGGTTGATGGCGTAAGGCTCTAACACTTATTGAGATGTGAATAGTAGCCGACGGTATTATCAGTTTAACATAGTACACCTAGTTTCGACGGCGAACTTATTTTTGGGGTCTTACACAACATCCTGTAGGCGTATTCCCTCGTAGGAAGGCACGTAGGATTACGTCGACCGAGTAGGGGGCGGTAACACCAGATTCAGGGTCTGTTCCTTGCACTTGCAAATCGCAATAGGATCCATTTTTGAGGATAATGGGCCAAACTCCATCATTTCACCTTTCCCTTACAGCCACGCAAATTGACTGACGATCATGTCAACTCTTTGTACGTAACCGCGTAATCGGCTGGCATATACCTAGTAACGTGGAGAATGTTATCTCTATTACTTATGTAGGTATCCATCCTTAAGATCGTACTTCCGTGTGCCGGTTGTAGGTATACTATTGACTATCTAGAAACACATTAATTGACCTCCTCAATACGTTCAACAGGATACCTAACTGAAGCTCCGGAAGACCCAAATAATACGAAGGCCCGGACATGATGACACATTTTACGTGTATACTTCGCAGTATGGTGTTAACCTACAAACAGGTGGACGAGTCACCAAATACGTTCCGGAGAGTTAGATGAAAGTTGGGAAGCAGTTGAAAAAGTCAGATGACGACACAAGTTCTCGGGAAAACAAGCAGAAATGCTACCCCGCTACGTTTGCCACAAGTCGACAGAGCTGTGAATAGCTTGCTGGTTTGGAATTCTAACCCGAGCTTCTGATTGGCCAATTGCTTGAAGCTACAAGTTTCAGTGGAGGGACGGGTCGTCCCATGTCAAACAAGTTTAACGGTCTGTTTGTCCTCATTGACGCCTTAAGGCTAGCTGGGCTTCTGCTGCGAATTCACAGCGATATATACTAGATAGGTAGGTATTCATTCCAAGTTTTATAGATATATAACTGCCTAGGCCAGTGTCTACCCCGAGACATCATAAGTTTCCCATTCCCACAACTTTTAGGTGCCTTATTATTGTAACTCTGCGCCATGCAAGTTGTGCATATTTGGCGTGCTATATTCCATGGCACGGGGACGGGTTCGTCCAGAAACCAGATCGAGTTCGTATAGGTACCTACTTGTTAGTGTCTCCTTTGCCAGATTTATATCTGCACTAACAACTCTTCGAAATTAAATCTACTATATTATATATCTAGCACTATAACAATAGACTGGTCACATCGGAGTTACATTTAGGCAGTAAGCCGTCTGCTTTTCCAAGACTCCTATCTCATGTTGATGTTTAAGGAATGTCGGATCTTCAGGAACGAACCGAGACACATGGGAAAACCTAGGATAAACCTCCCAAGAGATCCTTGCGAGGAGAAGTTCCCAGGGTTGTGTGCTTCCAGCTTTTTGGGACGGCTATGAGCCTGTCAGGTTTCGGATGGTGGAGACTTTCGCAGTGCCTGCATGACGCTAATCAAGAATGTCTCGTCATCGAACTGCCAACGCACACTTTGGGATTTTTCTCTTCACTTTTTCCCTAATAGCTGTGATATTGTCCTCCAGCCCCCACCATTTCTTTTCGTCTTCCTATCACCGACACCTACCGGCACCGCCGACACTGGCAGACTGGTAGACTGGCTAGGTGGGCATTCTCGCACCTGCGATCTTGGTGGGAACGTACAGTACACCGTGTGACAAAAGTTGTCCAGATCTGGTTCGCTGCCGCATCTGCCAGGCTTTCCCCAGCTTACTTAGTTCCCATCACAGCGGGAGAGTCTTCGAGGCTTGGGCTGAAGACATATCCATCCATACCCAGTCCAACGTTACCCATTGGAGAGTCTATCCACCTTAGATAGGACCTTAGGTTGTGATTGAGTTCTGACTTGTCATTTTTTTCGAGTATTACTGTTGACTTTGCCAGAATGTTCACTCGATATGACAATGATGAAAAGCAAGGAAATGCAAGTAATCCGACGCCACCTTTTCAACCTTTGAGCTGGCTCAACTCATAGTATATCAGTTACTTTAGAACTGAAGAGCGATCGGCAAGGTAGTAAGAAAGATCTCTTATTTCCTTCTAACCATAGGAAGAAGCAACTAGAATAATCTCCGTCTCACTCTCTTGAAATGGAACGATGGAGTGATAGTGATACAAGAGTCAAGTCGGGTTACAAATTGTGGACCGTGCGAAAAAAGTGCCCATCCTTCATTCCAACCTTACCTGCCAAGGTACTTTCTGTGTAGCAGCGCAATAGTTAGAAGCGTAGCTTCCATCCATGTCTCTTTTTTCTGTTGTGCTAGACCGTTGTTTCCTTCCAACTAAGCTCTTTTTAAAAAAAAGAGAACCCAGAACGTGGAAAGAGCCATTGGAATGTGAATATGGTAGCGACAACTTATTTCTCTTTAGAAAATCTAAATTTCACAAATCCACTTCCATCTCCATTTGACCATTTGTCTATACCCAGCGACAAGGCGGCGCTGGCGCTGCTGTCGCCGCTGGCTTTCTCTTACTTGTCGCGTGGTAATGTGAGTTGTGCATCGGGCACCAGGGTTAAAGAACAGACGAGACAACAACAAGAGAAATATAAACGATAGAGACCGAAAGCTTTCGCCGATGAATATTCTTACTTTCGAACTCGAACACGACTTCGATTATCGTCAGTTGCTCTCACCAGACCTGGTCTCCTAGCCATGGTCTTTGCGATCATTTCATCAACCAGCCATCCGGATTTTCCTACATTAGCCCAGCCTCCCGCTTTACAACACCAAGACCTTCCCATCATCCTCGCAACAACCACAAACAGCTTCCCTTTCCTGGGCAGTCAAGTGTACCAATTCTTACATATGCTCTCCTAAAGATACCACTCATACCCACTCTGTAATCTTGTATACTTCCCGGTTCCCTCGCCTTTCTGAAGGGGCCCGAGAGTTTTCCGCTTCCCTCTCTAGAAGTGCAAATCCTTGACACCCTACCCATCCATAATCACGTACATACTCCATCTTACATATACCCAACCAAGTAGCAGCTGGAGATTTTTGTCATACCTACACCACTCAAATCTAGGCCAAGCTCCTAGCTTAGACGTGTTATTTTTTGGCAAGTTTTGCTGTTCTACTAGTACATACACGAATTCTTTTCTTTCCTTGTCCCCTGAGATCTCTCACCACTTCAGTGGTGATCTCTCAAATTGTCTACTTCGGCTTCAGTTCGTCCTGCTGGAGAAACCACAGCGAAGTTGACAGGACAAAGGCCTTTAACACCTTCTCACGACCGTTACGAATTTCCTTCTTCAGTATACCAGCGCCAGCAGCGCGCAATTCACCAGCAACCCTCCCAACCTACTACGCCAGATAGAAGATCGACAGCCACCCCTTCATCTATACATCGGCTTCGTAGGACCCCGCGCTTCTCAGCTTCTCCCATATCTCAGCCAGAGGCGCAACAGACGCGTCAACCAATTGGCAAAGTCACCGTTACTCTCAGTCCTAAAGGACAATACGTTCTCGCTAGCACTGAGCGGCAGCCTCGAAGAGAACGTCCGAAACCTCCTAGACGGCAACTTTCGCAAGGAAACTTGAGCGACGACTCTCAAGCGACTTCGATTAGCCCTCCCTCACCACATCGCGAGACCGCTCAATCTACTACCGACGCGAGTAGGCCCCAACCGCACCCGGCTCTTCGTATCTCGAAGCAAACTCATAGCGCTATATTGTATGCTCTTGAGCAAACACTGCGCGGCCCCAAACCGATTAGCGACGACCCTGTCGAGCTATACGCACCAATGTCCGATCTCATGGGAGGACGAGGCCCTGCCACCTCGAATGGCAATGGCGCCTCATCCGTGCGACCTACCACGGCACGAGCGGCAGTTGGCTCTCCTTCGGGTATTAGAGGTCCCCGTGTAATCATGCAAGAGAGAGCTGCGCGAGAGGCTGCACGCGAGCGACAGCGCGAGGAGCAAGAACGTGAAAGACAGCGAATGGAGAGAGAACACGCAGATGCCGAGGCGCGTTTGCAAGAACAGGCGTTACGACGAGAAGCAGAGCGAAAGGATGCTGAACATCAAGCTACTGCTGCTGGCGCTGGTCCTTATGGAAGTGGCGCTATTCCAACTGGTGCCGATCCTACCACAAGACGACCGGCGCAACCCGCCGCTGGTCGTGCGACCGCGGACAACGGTTCCCGCCCTACGGGACAAACTCGAATTCCCACCACGGCCCAGGCTCAGGCCCAGGCCCAGGCTTCGCAATCAGCACGACACGCACGAGGTGCCTCCACACAAGGAGCTGGTGGAGCCCCTTCTGGTCCCGGATTGGCTGGTCCTTCAGTAACCCAATCTCAGCAGTTACCTCCCCCGCTAAGCGAAGAATCTGCGGCCCTTGGACGAGGTAGAAACTCGTTCCCCCATGCATTTGAGCGCTGGGAAACCCTGTCGGCTCATTGGGAAGGTCTCACTAGCTTCTGGATTCGTAGACTGGAGCAAAACGCGCAAGAGATCAATCAGGACCCTGTCTCTGCGCAGCTGTCTCGGCAGGTAACGGACCTTTCATCTGCAGGTGCCAACCTATTCCATGCTGTAGTCGAGTTACAGCGCCTACGCGCTTCATCGGAACGCAAGTTCCAGCGCTGGTTCTTTGATACCCGCGCCGACATCGAACGTTCTCAGGAGGTTACCGGCATGCTTGAGGCAGCTCTCGAGGAAGAGCGACGAACCCGGGCGGACGCGATCCGTGAAGCTCTCGAGCGTAACCAAGACAGCTCTAAGATGCAGAAGCAAATCTCTGAGTTGCGCAAAGAATTGACCATTTCCAAGGAAGAGGCGCGACGTGCATGGGAAGAACTTGGCCGGCGAGAGCAAGAGGAGCGAGACCGCACCATGTCTTTGCAGCTTGGTCAGCCCACCATCGTTGGCGGTGTCCAAGTCGTCCCGATGACTCAAGGCATGGGCCGTGGCACCAGCCAGAGAGATCCTCGTTCATACGGCCAGCCCGACCCCCAGGAGTACTCACAATCACCTACCTCGCCGTCGGCGGCTCGGGCCCAGTACACTCAGGCTCCCGCAGTTAAGCCAGGCGCAGCTTCAGGTAGCGGTAACCCTACTTACCAGACTCCCACGTCTGTGCGCCACCAGCAAAGCTACGGTTCGGAGGGAACCTATAGCGAAGGTCAGTACATCAATGGCATGAGTGGTGCACCCAATGGCGTGCCCAACGGCGCACCTAGTGGCGCATCGAGAAGCCCCGTCCGAGACTTCCACGAGCACAATGTTCCAGAGCACGCCCCCGTTTCGAAGCGTTCTGACGTTGCAGCAGAAGAGTTTGAGACCCCGGCAACGCAGCCGAGCGTCTACCAGCCGACCGGCGCCTCCGGCACTCATCAGCCGCAGTACTCGTCGGCTCCGGATTATAGCGGTGCGGGCTATACGACGCCTTGGGACGATGCGGGTGCTCGAGACATGGGACCTCGTCACCACCACCCGACTCGATTGAGCGACGTGCTCGAGGAGGAAGAGGAACGCAGCCGAACGAGCGCCAGCCAGAGTCAGGTCAGCAGACCTTAGAATTGCGAACACCTCTTTTCATACAGGTTCGAACTACAACGTATTCTAACATTACCGAAATCGACATACAACATAAAATCGAACCTTTCATCATGTTTGCAAAAAGATCGAGGCGCGGCGTTCGGAAGTTTCTGGAGATTAGTATTGAGTCTGCTTTTGTTGCATACGACTGGCATACGAAGACAAGATTCCTGAATCAATTCGGCAATGATACCCTTATATCATCCTAGTTCGCCAGAAAATTCTTTTCTTTTAAAAGAAGGCATGGGCGCACCAAATGCATTGTCGAATGGAGAAAAAAAAATACACGATGGATGAAGCTATACGAGCTTCTTGTAAGACGTCACTAATAGGTGTGAAGGTAGTTTACGGAACGGTAATGGTTTGGTGGCAGGCATTCTGATGGCATTTTCGAGAAAACGGTATTGGGCATTTGTTCTCTTCCCCCTATTCCTTTCTTCACCCGGACCTTCACGAAAGGTATTCGATGGACATTTTCTTGTGGGGTTCCCCCTTTTCGACTGTGCATAACGATTCGAGATAGGAGGAGCTATGTTGTTTGCGACTCTGATAATGTCGCGGGGGTTTGGGAGGAGAAAAGTCGACGGCGGGAGATGGGACTCTCATCTCAGTGCCTTGAAGCTGTGTATGCAGTGGCACGTGTAGTTATAACCAATACATGCTGGAAAAGGGAATACAATTCCCGTCAGATTATATTGATGCCATGCGTGGCAATACTTGCTTGAAGTTGAAGGTTAATGTGTACTGAGTAAGGTCAACATAACTGCTGTTCCCTACCTATCCAGGAGGTTGTGCTAGATTGTGTTGCGCAGTGCAACACAATCCATAATGTGATGTGAAGGTTCGAATGCTAGTTCTTTATATTAATATTCTTATATACGAAATAGCCAAAGCTGTAAGCAATAGTATCGGAATTCCCCGCATCTGGCTCCACTCCCAAACCCGGCCATTGAAGCTCCATACAATTAATTTTTGGCCCGGGACCAACCCATTCGATGGCATGACGGAATACACACAATTCCTAAGCACCAGAGCTTTCGCACATCACAGCCTACAATTAAGATGTCGCGCTCTTTAGCGGCCCCGAAGCCGCTCCTTCGATCTCTGCTACAGAGCAGGCCTCGAGCTCAAGTGCAAGTGCAAGCTCAACCTCAGCAGTGCCGCTGCTTCCTCTCCATCCAAGCTACTACATCACCATCCCCGCGACGGCCGTCGACGAGCTCCTTCCAACGACGCATCGCGAATCCCGGCAACACCACCCCCACGCCTGCATCTAGGCTCGCGGAGCAGCGCCGGTACAAGACGTTCAAGACGGTGGAGGAGGCGCGCAGCAGGTACCGGACCGGCCCGTTCTCGTGGAAGGCGGGCCTGCTGTTCGTGATCACGGGCGCGGGCCTCGTGTGGTACTTCGAGAGCGAGAAGAAGCGCATGCAGCGCCTGCGCGTGGCCGAGGCGGCCAAGGGCATCGGCAAGCCGAAGGTCGGGGGCGAGTTCGAGCTGGTGGATCAGGAGGGGAGGCCTTTCGTGAGTGGGGATCTGAGGGGGCGGTATAGTTTGGTTGGTCTTCCTTACGCTCCTCTCCTTCTCTTTCGTTTCCTTCTTATTTTCGATGTATTTTTACGAATTGGAGGTTTTGGGATGAGACGTAGGCTAATAATCTCCTTGGGAACAGATCTACTTCGGCTTCACGCACTGCCCGGATATCTGCCCCGAAGAGCTCGATAAGATGGCGCGCATGTACGACCTGGTGGAGGAGAAGGCGCCAGGCAAGGTCAAGCCCGTCTTCATCACGTGTGACCCCGAGCGCGACGACCCTAAGACGCTGAAGTCGTACCTGGCGGAGTTCCACCCGAAATTCATAGGGCTGACGGGCACGTACGACCAGATCAAGGACGTGTGCAAGGCGTACCGGGTCTATTTTAGCACGCCGAGGAATGTGAAGCCCGGCCAGGACTATCTAGTGGACCACAGCATCTACTTCTACTTGATGGACCCTGAGGGCGACTTTGTGGAGGCGCTGGGGAGACAGCATAGCCCGGAGGAGGCGGCCAAGGTCATTCTAGATCATGTGAAGGATTGGAGAGGCGGTTGGAGCAAATAGGGGTGAGCTGATGATCGAATAAGAAAACGTGTATTATCCCCCACTCGACCTGTGATATTACTACTTGAATATTCTTGATTAATGTACATATCAAAATTGTGTGAGGACGCGATTTTTGTATATAGGAAACCCATGGGCAGTCTTAACATAAATGCCTCGAAATTGTTCAATCTGTCCATTGAATAAAGTGACATTTCCATAGTTGAGTTATGTTATAAAAGATAAAAGTTGAATAAGGCAGGTATATACATAATAATAGCAAACACCATTGGCGACCATCACGGATAAAATTCATCAATGGGGTTTATCGAGTTGAACGGAGCTCAGAATTTCCGATAAGACCCGGTTCTATCACCGATAAAACGTTACCCACCAGTAACTCACTTACCCAGTTTATTGTGACGATTGACTTAAGTCTCGACTTAAAACTCGAACTCCACTATTAAGGAATGAAGCAGTCGTGACGACATCAGTCGTCTAAGCAAAGCATGAAAGAAGAGGATATTATACAACTCACAGTCCCCTTTTCCTTACCTTCACCATGAAGGCTTTCCGTAATGGCGCATCTCTCAGCAGTGCGGCGTCGGGCTGCATCCTACGGCCCCACCATACTCCAACCCCGTTGAATCGGATTCGGGTCAGTGGCGGCGGCCTGGCGCGACAACGAGGCGTTGATGTTGGTGGACGCGTATTGTCTTCTATATCCACTAGGATCACAACTTCCCGCTCATACAGCATAGATCATGGCACTGCCAAGCCACCACCACCACCACCCTTTGCTTTTGCCTTTGAGTAAGTCCGATAGGGTGCTTCCCTGCCTCGAGAGCAGAAGGAAAGTCTGACATATAAAGGATATCTGCTTACTTGTTTTATAGTATAGATGGCGTGCTTCTTCATGTCGCGAAGCCGATACCCGGCGCGACATATGCTCTAAAGCAGTTACAGAAACGTAACATCCCATTCATCTTACTCACTAATGGCGGGGGCAAGCATGAGACGGACCGCGTGAAGGATCTAAGTAACCGTCTCGGTATCGAGCTTACTACGGACAACTTTGTCCAGTCCCACACGCCATTCCAGGAGCTTGTGCATCACGGCCACAATTCCGAGGGTCTGCGAGATAAGAACATCCTCGTCACGGGCTCGGACGCCGCTAAATGCAGGGACATCGCCGAGAGATACGGCTTCAAGAACGTCATCATTCCCGCGGACATCCTCGCCGCCCAGCCGACCATCTGGCCCTTCGAACCTCTCATGAAAGAAGTGTACGCAGCGACAGCACGGCCGCTACCGTCCCCGAACCCGAAGATCGACGCCATCTTCGTGTTCAACGACCCGCGCGACTGGGCCCTAGACATCCAAATCATCGCGGACCTCCTCCTGTCGCAGCAAGGCGTGCTCGGCACGTACTCGCCCAAGAACGGGAACGCGGACCTGCCGAACGAAGGGTGGCAGCGCGACGGGCAGCCGCCGCTCTTCTTCAGCAACCCGGACCTGTTCTGGAGCGCGGCGTACCCGCTGCCGCGGTTCGGGCAGGGCGCCTTCCAAGCCGCGCTCGCGGGCGTGTGGGACGAGGTCACGGGCGGCAGGGCGGAGCTCGAGCGCACGACGATCGGGAAGCCGCACGCGCGCACGTACGGGTTCGCCGAGCGCGTGCTCAACGCGCACAGGGCGAGGATGCTAAGCGCGGACGGCCCGGACAAGCTGGAGCCGCTCAAGCGCGTGTATATGGTGGGCGATAACCCGGCGAGCGATATTCGCGGCGCGAACGAGTACGTGTCGCCCCTGGGAACGAGGTGGAAGTCGATCTTGGTGAGGACGGGCGTTTGGAGTCCTGAGAGGGGCGGGAGCCCGGCGTATGAGCCGGATGTGATTGTGAAGGATGTGAGGGAGGCTGTGGATATGGTGTTGGCGCGTGAGGCGTGGTGAGCGTCGTGTGAATAAGGGGATGATGGTATGGTCCTATCGATTGTCTTGTATGACTGAGATGAAGAGCTGCTGAGTAGATCCGTGGATAGGGGCAATGGGATACATAGATTATGGGATATCCCCATAGTTTACATAGAGTATGCGTATAGCTTCGATGGAGAAGGGTTATATATGTCTTCGTAAGTGAAATTACGTATATGATTGATCATATGGAAGCATATTCTATTAGCATAGTCTTTTACTATATACAAAACTCAGATAATCTATCTCATGTTCAATTGAATCTAATATTACTTCACCTTCAAAGACAACACTCCTGATATGTTTATTCCCCTATTAGAGTTGTCGCATACCATGTTTAAAGCCATATGATATATATGCGTATAAGAATTAGCCACATTCTTCAAGATGCATACTTTACGTCATCTGGGCCGGGCACGTGTTACTACAAAGAGATCTGACAGGCCAAGCAAGCTTAGATTCTAGAACCTTTTAGTGTCATTTATACATCAGACAAAATGCCAGGTTTTAGCCAACTCATTCAAGATTCGCAGATATGATATCACAGCAGGAACTTCAGCCTCAATTCGAAATGTATTGTTAAATATACAAACTTGAAGCTTAATTCGATTAGTTACGCATTAATGGAGTTGTTCTAGGATCTCATCGAGCAACCGCGATCCCGAAGAATTTTAAGGTTATCTTAAGGATACCCTTCCCTGCAACGTCCACTGCAAGGGACCCTGTCATCCTAGATAGTGGGCTGGTGGGGTTACTCTATTTGACAATATTTTTCGACATCTTTGTCTCTTTGGTGTGCGACTTCTTATCAGTTCTCAGGCGACTCGACAAGCAACCTCAACTTGGAACTACACCTTATCTACAATCACACTCATACCTGTGTCTTCAATGCTACGAGCTTACCTTATCCTCCATTATCCTAACCCGTGCCTCTATTACAGATTGTAACATAATTCGATCTAACGAGTCCTACTATCTGCTACTTCCAATGACATAGACGCATGTTTCCTTGTCTCTCAATTTCTTGAGGATATTCAATACCGACATGTCTTCATCTACGCCGAACCTTACCGGCGACGGTCTTCCTCTCCGCCCCGTTTTAAAGCAGGACAATGAGTCCGAGAGGCCATCCTCCCAGAATACCATTCTGAGCGCCAAAGGTTGGTTTGTTTGTTTCCGTTCTACCTTCCACTATCAAGAACCACTTCATCCTGCCCTCGCACGAAGTTACACATGCTCGCGTGACATCTGAATGGTGACGTATGCCTTCCTTCCGTTGCATACGTGGACCGAATATCTACCGCTTCCTCGTAACCTGAAATAAGGGGACATTCCCCTAGGCATATTGAGGTTACCGATGTTACCAAACTCGAGGGTACATGTATGACCGAAAGAAGCAAACACGGCTATGAAGTTATACTATTCCTACCGAGAAATACCTACAACTCAGGTATAGACGAACGTTAAAGAGGTTCCTCCACGGAAGCTTACAAGCTCACTCATTCATCCATAAGCATTTCCCCCATCTAATAACAATATCTTACTTACTCCATCTCAGCTGTGCAAATCGCCGAACCCGAACCAATCGTAGAAGATGTCCTTCCCAAGAGGCAGTTTTCCGCTGGGCTTGCAAGACGTCTGAGTGGCCGTTCTCCCGTGCCCGAGTTCAACTCTTCTAGATCTTCGCTCCTAAGTCAGAATGGCCTAGAGCCATCCAGCAGCCAGACAGCTAGCCCGTCTATGAATCATCAACAAGAAGGTGGCCGACCGCATTCCCATCATATCCACCACCAAGTAGATAGGTTTGTTGCTCAAGTCTATGATTGGCTGGAACGTGAACGAGTCAAGAAGGAAAACAGAGGGTCAAGGAGACATCATTCGAGACGGAACAGATCTCACAAGGATGATGCCGACAAAGACGACACACAGCAACAACCAGAGAGGCATAGGGCATACTCAATTGATTCTCAATCCAGCGACGTATCATTAGATAGGCTGCAGAAAATCATCGATGACGGAATGAGCAACTTGGGCCTGCACGGGATACCGCACTACAGCCCGAAACTTGGGAAGAAGTCCCAAAGGAGGCGATCCGTTACCATGCATCGAACTGTTTCATCGGATACAGAATATCACGATGGCACTGTTGTCGTCCCAACCTGCGATGCGGTTCTGGATAACTCTAAGACTTTGGGTTACTCCGGAGGGAAACCTACTTCCACAGATGACCTTGCAGCACTTCTAAGCAAGAAAGCGGAAAAGGAGCGCAAAGCTTGGATCAGTTTCAAAAATGAAATTATCAAGCTAGCGCATACTCTAAAATTCAGAGGCTGGAGACGTGTTTCTCTGGATAGCGGCGAGAGTATTGATGTAACACGGCTGAGTGGAGCCTTGACAAACGCCGTGTATGTTGTGTCCCCGCCAGAGGATACAGTGGTAAAGGGAGAGGGAAGCAAAAGAGCACCGGCAAAATTGCTTCTAAGAATCTACGGCCCCCAAGCAGACCACATCATCGACAGACAAAACGAGTTGCTTGTGCTCAGGAGACTCGCCAAGAAGAAAATCGGCCCTCGCCTACTGGGGACATTCACCAACGGCCGCTTTGAGCAATATCTTAACGCAGAACCCCTTACAGCAGCCGAGCTTAGGGATCCAGATACGTCGAAACAAATCGCCAAGAGAATGAGAGAATTGCATGACGGAATAGAACTCCTGGATAAGGAAATGGATGGTGGGCCAATGGTCTTGAAGAATTGGGATACATGGATCGATCGAGTCTCACGTGTGGCCACGTACTTGGATCGAAAAGTACTCTCTGGCAACACTGGCGCCCTCAGGGGCCCGGCGGATGTGTGGACCCAGAGAGGCTTTGTGTGCGGAGTGGAATGGACTACATTCAAGAAAGTGGTAGACAGATATCGGAAATTCTTGAACGAACACTATGGAGGTCCCCGTGTCATAAGGGATCACCTCGTATTTGCACATAGTGATGTGAGTACAGAATCTCTGCTCTGATCTCTTAAATGATACTTACGCTGACCCGTACCAGACACAATACGGCAACATTCTCCGTGTTAGGCCTGACGACAAGAAATCACCGTTGCTGCAACCAAACTATGAGCACAAGCAGCTGGTGGTGATAGACTTCGAGTATTCGGGCGCCAACACGAGAGGTCTTGAGTTCGCCAATCACTTCACCGAGTGGTGCTACAACTACCACGACGAGGCCGCGCCCCACGCGTGCAATACAGCCAACTATCCGACGCCAGAAGAACAACGTCGCTTCATCAAAGTGTACGTCAACCACCGGCCCGAGTTCCCCCACCCGGGTGCGTCGACGCCGAACCTAACGCCTCTCGCGACCCCGACACTTCAACCACAGCCTAGTACGCCCGGGCTCAGTGCCTTCAGCTTGGGCTCGACCAGCTCGATTAAGGAATTCATGCTGGACTCGCGCGCGCCCCCTGGAGGTTGGAAGGAGGAGGAGAAGAGGAGGGAGAGCGAGGCCGAAATCCAGGTTGAGGCCCTCATGGAAGAGACGCGCATCTGGCGCATAGCGAATAGTGCACAATGGGTCGCGTGGGGCCTCATGCAGACCAGTATACCAGGGCTTGATGACGATGCCAGCGCCGCCGGCAGAGAAACGCAGCAAGGTGCAGAAGGAGCAGTCGCACCACCAGCGCCGGAGGAAGAAGAGGGCGAGGCGAGCGAAGAGTTCGATTACTTGGCTTACGCCCAGGAACGCGCCTTCTTTTTCCTAGGCGACTGTATCAAGATGGGCTTGCTTTCCGAGGAGGAGTTGCCGGAACAAGTGAGGGGGATGATCAAATACGTGGATTACTGAGGCACTCTTGACTATTGCGGCTCGTACAACGAGTTAAGGGGGGGATAGGGGGTATATCGTCCGTGAAACCTTCAACACTTCAAGACAACGATGACTTTGCCTATAAGGATATATATAGGGAAGTCCTGCTTTATCAAGTATCGAGTATGAGCGATGTATCTTCAGCAGCGAGATAATGATCAATAAAAGGAACAGATGCTTCAACAGCGGTATTTCGAAGGCCTTAGAATGCTAGTTCGTTTTAGATAAGCAGCCCATTGTGAGCCTGACCGGTTGGAGATCTGGTTGGATCGGTGTTCAACTCGCTATGTTTATAGACCTGTGTATATCACGGTCCTTGATATAGAGTTCAGGGCTCTTCACACAGCTTCATTATTCTCCCCTCCATTGAGCCTATATTATGATAGGAGGGGCCGTAATTAGGGCCTTTCCCCCCTGAACAGTCTCAAAACTTCGATTTCTCATGCGGTACGCGTTCAATTCATTTCTACGATAAGGGCAAACAAGGGATGTTCAATATAGTGACTGGTCGGCAACATGGAGGGCACTGGGAGCACTTGATCTCGTCACTCTTGCGAGTACTGAGATGTTATGGACTTCGTTGATGCTTCTATAGGCGCGTTAGTTCTAGTACAGTGATAAGGGTGGGGGGGCAGCATTACGAGGGAGTAGAGCGAAAGACAAATGGTTGACCTTAGATATACACCGTATGGCCATGGCCATGACTTATTTTGTGGAAATCTAGTCAGTCGTACACTTGAAGAACATCTATCTTATCCTAGGGGCATTTTCGACTTGCCCAGGTAGTTTCTATTCTTACTTCTTGGTAGCATACCTGATAACGAAAACACTACCAATCCACGCCATCATTTATGAGCGCGACAATTTTGAAAATTCTTCCAATGTTTGATATCATAAGAGCATCAGGCTACTGTTGGTTCATCCCAACACACTAAGACATCCCTGAGGGATGCTCAGCTTTCGGTTCATTCGGATCTAGAAGCAAGCCGTGCGAAACGGACAAATGAGCATTATGTCAGTTCGTATCGCATCCCACATCCACATTCCTGCTCATAAAGTCTTTTCAACATGACACCAAGGTATCAAAGTACGTAGTCGTTCACATCATATTCGTTAAATAAATTCCCGCACCTGAGGCTTTTCGGCCAACCCCCATGGGTTAGATTCGAACCCTGGTCATCGCAAGTACCTAGGCTGACGACATCAACCAACACCCAAAGTTCGAGAAGTCTGCCACACCAAGTCAAAGAAGGATCAGTAGTAAACACACATAAGGGCTCGGGTGGTGGACAAATCATTTCGCTAATGTATGAATTCGCCTCCGCTCCCAGAGTCTTGCTCGTCATCGAATCCGGTTTGATAATGGCCCACGAAGCGTGGTGCTTTTTGCTTTTTAATGATACAAAAGAATAAGATAAACATGGCCAACTTGAGAGGTATCTTTCCGTTACAAAATGAAGAAAATAGTATGAAAGTGGTAGACACAATAATGTAGACCCGCTCGCTCGCTCGCTGGAAGTAGAATAGGTATCCAATCTCGTGAAGAGGGTATTAGAAGAACGAAAATGAAAACACCAACGCCGTAAAAAGTCCCAAAAAGTAAGCCGTGAGGCTATCCGCTTCTTGTCCAGCCGCGAGGCTCCTTTCATCTTCGATTAAAAATGGTATGAGAATTTTGGACGTTTTGTTTTCCCCCAATTGCACCTGTTAGCCATGAAGGGCAGGGACATTCACTCTGTTGAAGCAACATGCTTCGATATCTCCTCCAATAGGCGGTGCTGTGTTATCCCGCCGACGTGCCCAAGGCAGATTTCACTCGGTTATTTCCCGTGGTCGTGTGACCTTTTATTTCTATCTCGCCGCAAAATAGCATTTTCCACCTCCTCGATCTCGGTCCAGAGGCAGTGTTCCATTATAAGGATTAGAATTGGTAGGCCGTCATCCTTCCCCCCTCCGCCCCCCTTTCTTTTACAGGCCGAATCATGTCTCACACTAATCCAGAACAGTAGCTAGATTTTTCTCCGTTTTTGTCGCGTTTTTAATGTCTATGTCGACGGCTGGAAGAGCTAGCCTCGTGTCGATGTGAATGGCTATGGCGATGGGAATGGTGGTGTTCGTGACGCGACGAACTCGAGTTCTCTAGTTCGCGTTCTAGGTTTTCGACTCGTTGTCGATAATCCCTCACAATATCTCTGATGTGGGCGATGCGATCGAAGTCGAGCTCAAGCTCGTCGATCTGAGCCATTATACCCTGGAAGCGCGCAATTTCAGCATCGGCATTATCCACCAGGTTGCCTGCGTGATCATACTGCTGCATAGTCACGACGGAGCTCTGTTCGCTGAGGTACTCGATGCGTTGTTGTATCTGGTGCAGCAAGCGGTCGAGGTGTCGTGCCAGGGCAGCAAGACTAGAACTGTCGAGGAGGAGACGACCTTGAGATGAAGCGCGACTAGCGGCGCGCGAAGAAGAGGAACCGGCCTGAGCTTGGTGATAGCGAAGAAGATTTATTTCCTCATCGGTCAGGCCCAATTGCGTGTCCTCGACGGTACTGGGCTCTGCGGACGGCATGGCTCTGCCGTATGAGGGCGCGCGAAATCTTGCTCCTGCGTCTTAAGTCTGCGTCGGCGTCTGCAACTTTTTGCTAGGAATCGAGCGTTGTGTAGCGTCGGTAGAGCAGGGGGTAATAGAACGGCGGTGGTAAGCGGGGCGGATTCGGATTCGGATGCAACGTCGTGTACTTCTGGCACAGACACGAAAGAGGTTGCGACACACTTTGGACAAGCGTCGAGTCGGCCGCGGCGCGCGGCTTCATTGTCTCGAGATGGCGAAAGGCAGTATGGAAGCCCGACGCAATGGTAAGATAGCAAGGTTGAGGTGGTGAGAGAGGGAGGAAAGGGAGAAGGGAAGTAAGAGAGTTTCGAGAAGTCTTAGAAGTTCGGCCGGACGGACTCTTTGGTGATTCTCGAAGCTGGATAAGGGTTGGCCCGGAGCAGGGTTCGCACAAAAGATGGAGGGGAGATGGACGGCTGAATTTGGACGGCACCCTGAAGGCACCCAAGAACACCCTGAAGACCACCCTGTATCCAGGTTCTTTCGAAATTTTGGTGATACAACCGGCAAACGACCTACTCTTTCTTAACCCTTATTACCTAGGTCCTAGGAAGTATCTACCACACCCGTTTCGTTTCCTCGTTTCCTCGGCGCAATCTCGAATCTCGAATCCTTCAAAGCTGCAGCAATGGCGGTCAGCTGCAGTAGTCTCTTTCTCCCCCGCAAAGGCAGAACGTCATCAGCTATTTTTTATGTGGCCGTGTTAATGAACAACTTCGTCCGATGATGATTTGTGTTACCCTGGCTATCTTTCTGCTATCTCCAGGACCCCGGGGGTTTGGAGACTTTAGCTACCTTCGAGTTGATGAGGTAATTTAAAGAGCTTCAACTAGTTTCGTAGACGAAGCTAACGAGTTGGGAATGCCACACACACACAATCCTGGGGAACAGGCGGGGCTTGCAGAAAGCGGTGCGGAAAACCAGGGTACCGGATATCTGGGAGATATCATAGGTCTATCATAGGTCGTAGTGAAAATATATCGACCTTTTCCAGATTAGCATCCCTAGAGACACGCGCGGATGCCGAATATTTCAGGAATTTCAGGACCGGTGGTCCACTAAAGCCGAATTGCTGGTTTCTTCTATTGTTACAACACGCCTACTGACTGAGACCGGTGGTACGTTCCCCTACATCAAAAGGGGCAAGGATCGTATGGTGGTTTTAGCGCTTATGTGAGTAGGTAAATCTGTGTTCCCAACAATGAGTGTATGTGAATGAGTGAATGTGTGAATATGAATGTGAGAAAAGATAAGTCTTCACGTAAGTTTCAAGCTTCAAATTCCGAGAATCAAACAGTTCAGGAAGTCCTGGAAATTCATAATTGAAGTTTTATCACTAGATCTCTTTCTTCATCGAAGTAGAACATCCAATGACTTGGACGCCTTCGGAGAGATAAAATAAAATATAGTTGATAGAATTTTTGGTTTGAAGATGTAAAAGAGGTAAAAGTTGGGGGAAAAAAGCCCAAACACACACCGCTGGAAAAGAGATAAGGACGCTAAAACATCGGTAAGCAATTGGAATACCTAGCCATATCGTATAAACAGTGTACAATATAATGCTCAATAGCATAATCTACCTAGTACGTCACAGTGACACTACGGATGAACTTAGTTTACTTACCTATGTATCCAATATACACAATGCAATATTGAGAGGGACTAACTTGAGCCTCATCGACTTAACACATACTTATACATACCCTAACCCAGCTAAGATATCTTCAACTCTCTTGTCTCGAACCTGTCTTCTTGTGCTATAGCATATACGGCTTAGGCTGGCTTAGCCTCGCGGTCGCGGTTGGAACCTGCATCGCATCTGCAGTTCTTTCTGCATACAAGGTACCTTAGTGGTGATCTACCATGCATTGCAGCAGCGCAACTCCGTCTGGAATTCCTGATCCAGAACCGGACATCCATCCTCCGCTATACTCAACATCAGGTGCCTGGCTAAGTTACCTAGATCTAGAGATCTCACTTATTTTCCTAGCGTCACCATATGCAGAGTCTCAATAGATAGGAAGAGCATTCCGTCGTAAGCTATACCACCCAATTACTCCGACATCCAGATGAAGAAATTTAGGAGATTTGCCATATCTCCTTCCGGGATCGAGGGCCTAAAGAGAACCGGGAGGAGTCGAAAGACCCATGGATTTCCAAGCGCTCATATCGCGGCATCATATAGATCATACACATATAAAGTCATGTCGTTTCTTCATACCCTTACGTATTTAGCCCAAGAGATGAGGGAAATGTGTAATGAGCTACACGAAGATGTTACCCAAATGGAATCTTTCCTGTCTTCTAAGCCTGAGTTCCATGGCTGTAGGGACAATCCTCCAGAATGGCCAAGTCAGGGTCACGGATTACCCTGACACCAGAATAAACATCGCCTCGTACGAATTCCAGACATACGATGCTAATGCTACAGAATTATCTTACAAGGGGAGATGGGACTCAAAGAAGGTGTCTTGGTGGTCGTAAGTTGTTACTGTCAACCTCGAGATAAGATGAAGAACCTAAATATGAAACGGTTGACATAGAGCTCCCGGACTCGTCTTCGGCTTCACGGGAGATACGGTAGCCATCACATTCGGAGAGTTAACTACGGACACAACACTCATCGGCTACCGAATCGGTGGGCTAGACTGGGCCTATACCAACGTGACCGCTGGAGCCACGCACCTACTCGTCTCCCCTGAAACCCCCGGCGTGAACGAGACGTCTCCCGGTTATCCGCTTACATTTGAACTGCGTGTGACAAACTGGGCCTACGGCGTGCAAATCGACAAGGTCCACGTCGCTTCGGGGGAGTCACTCATCAAAATCCCCCCTTATAAACGGACGGTTGAGTTCATCGGGGACAGTCTCTCATCAGGCATGTACACGAGCTACGAGGGTCTTTCAAGCTTTGCCTACGGTGTCGGTGCTGGTCTAGGTGATACTGAGTGGTATGTCACGGCGTATCCAGGCATTTGCGTCTCGGACCAAGACTGCTGGGGTAATCCGCGAGGGCAAAGCCACCAGTGGTTTTACACATCTGACACGAGCTGGAGGGCGAGCCAAACTTGGGGAGGTATGCTACTAATTTAAACTTGTCAAACTGTCGTCTAAGCTGACTCACCTCCTTTTGCGCGATAGACGAGCCGGAGACATGGGATTTCGACAAACAGGAGACAACTCCCGATATTGTTATTATCAATCTGGGGACTAACGACAATAATACGGAAAACCACGTCAGTACGGAAACGTATGTTGACGCATACAAGAAGTTGATCCAGGGCGTTCATGGGAAGTATCCCGAAGCGCAAGTCCTCGTGATGGTACCAGCCCCTTTTTCGTTCCCCTGTCACTGAAAACAAGCATTTCGCTAAAAAGTCATCCTTTAGCAACTGTGGATGGGATTTCATCCCTATGGAAACAGTTACCAGCAGGACTTAGGCTACGAGCAAGAACTAAAGGACATCGTGGCCTACTTCAACTCGGACGAGTACCTGTCTAAACCGGCCATCTGGGATGGAACGACGAACACCACGACGACGCTCGATACACCTAGCAAGTCTTTCGTGCACTACTTCAGTACCAAAGGCATCTGTATGTGTTTCTCAACCCTAGAGCCTAGTCTAGCCGTTCTTCAGAAAACCAGAAACTGATTTCCATGTGCTTATAGTGCAGCACAATGATATAGGGCCGCAGTGGCACCCGACAGATGTCGGCGCCATCAAGGTGGCGAGTCATCTAATTCAGTTTATCAAGCTGACTTTCGGTTGGGATTTGGTTTCTACCGGTCCTGAGTAGGTTTCTTCCCCTTCCTTTAACGTCTTATTCATTCTGTTAGCACACAGGTACATAAGGGTGGGAGTTGCCACCCCTTCATTCTCGCGGCAGTGCTCTTGCGATGCTGCTGAAATTGAGTATTAGGCCGGAGACTGACAGCATGACATCTAGGATTTTCCATGATACATTATATTGGAACGACGAACAGAACTACTGACTGGGGATGATGCTGTTGGATGAAATCTATTGACTCTATTGTGATATGTACCTAGGCATCGTGTAATTGATTTGGGCATATGGACTATCATGTGATTATTGACCAGACACATAGCTAGGATAACGCAGAACCGAGTTATAATGTATATCTAGGTAGCTGAACATTATCACCTTGGCTTCGAATCTAATATAACCTACCTGCCCCTAGCTTTGAGGTGGCTATAGTAATCGTCTAGGTCATATAATGGGTCTCGTATCGTTACTTATCGCTAGAAAGAGCATCAAGTCGCGAAGCAGAACGATGGCACGCTATGAACAAGATGCCCTGTATAGGCCACAGCGACATTGTGCGTAAGCTTTCACTTTCTTAGGTACCTTATTCATCCGCCGAATCCGTGGCCAGACAAGCCTACCAAGCAAGTGCCCATGCTTGCCTACCTAAGCGTGATGTACTTGACAAGATGTCCGAAACATCTAAAATCTTGCATGACAACTATCGTCTGCCGGGTTAAGAGTTTCTTCGCAGGTTGTCATCGACGAATTCATGCATAGGCAGTAGCCGAACAAGTTCCATTCCGCCAAACATACTAATCGTCTACTGTCGTACCACCGCAGCAATATTACATCTCGTTGTCTAGGTATATTGCAACCACATCGCTAACTCCGATGAGCTTCACGAATATCAAGTGTGCACGGACAAGACGGATATCGTGTCTGGTGAGCTGACGTCGTTCGGCAGCCGCCCCAGATTTCATGCGGGCTCGAAGGGATCGATTTCTCGTTCGGTTGTCACGGCTCGTGAGGCTCTTTCGTGGTGAAACGACTCTAAAGTTGGGGCACGCGTTTCCGGACGACTGGCGATCCGCGTTATCTGCGACGGCTGGAGTGTGAGGCATCCCTGGGGAAGATCGCAGCAGGGGGACCCCCTCGTCGCCACAAAAGTTTTAATGATCATTAAACGAGAGCCTCATGAATATCGAGGGAGCGGTAAATTCCTTTTCTTCCGCCTCTCGGCACAGCACGTTGTTGTTAGAACCATGGTCCAGTCTTTCATGCGTCGAAGAAGAAAAAAACGGTGTGGCCGGAACCAGCCATTCGAGCTAAGCGAATCCCGCATTGATCTGAGGCAGGGGATATAAGCTTAGGTTAGCAGGGCTGAAACCATCATGGAGAACATGGATTTGTATGCTTTTGAAGAATGAATTTCTGTTATTATTCATCGTTCGAGTATCAAGCTGTCTGACGTTGAGTGATTGAGATGTGTATATCGCATGAAATAGCAGATGGGATCTAAAGAAATGAAAAACAGTGACCTGCTATGCTGAGACTATTTTGCTGGACCATTGTATGAGACCGCAGCGAAGCACTCGCACAACTGCATGACGAGAGTATGTGTGTTCTAGCAGGCAATAGTTGACCCAGATGCACAGTTCGTATATCATTTCGTGGTTTCTGGGGTTGGTTGCTAATGCAGACTTCTTTGACGTGTCGCCGACCAGATTCCTAAAGACTATTGTGTTCGACAATAGACTTGTCTTAGAAGTGCGAGTCAGCAACTCTCACCGTCAATGCAAATAATGGTACGGGTATTAGTAAAGCGGTGGATATTCCCGAAGGCGATCTTGTGCCAGACCGCTTTCCTAGGTACCCAGATGACCAGGTTTAGATAGATAACCCTGGCACGGGTAGATCTCCAGCCGTGGATGACGAAACATAGGGCCACGATACCCCCTTGTCCTTCCTTTCTTGTGCTGGATGAGATTGATCGGTCTTAGTAGTATGTGCTAGGGGAGAAGACGCTCCTGGGTGTTCGTAAAGTCATGGTTATCGCCAGCATCACCGCCGATTAACTAGTTCGGCATCAGATCAAGGTGCTTAGAAGATAGCTGGGGGACCAAATGTCGGGTTAGAAAGAAACCCACAGCGGAGAAGGTCCCCTATTTGCGCGTTCCTGGGGATTCGGACTTCTCCGTGCAAGAAACAGGTATATTACTCTGTTGGCAGTTAGGCAGTCTACGTTTTCGGACGGTGATAGTTGAGTCGGTCCTTCTACGTGTTCGGGTTGCAGGACGGAGCAGCACGCACCAAGTCCTGTGACCTGGGAGATCACGGGCTATTGCTGCTTGTTCCCGCTCGCCACGTTGGCAGGTCCGGGACGAGGCGACACAAACCACTCAGTACCATCGGCTACAACGCTGACTGGACTGCTTGGATTGCATCGTCTGCATCGTCTGCATCGTCGGAACCTGGGCGACCGACCCGTGGGGAGCGGGGAAACTAAGGCGTTGGTTCTCCCCTGTGGGAAGGGACCAAGAGCTCAAAACCAAGATGGTTGCAGATCTCGAGGTTTATAGTGACCGCTCTTTAGCTTTCTGCGCTATAACGTACCTTAGACTGCCTAGATAGGTACCTAGGCTGGCAATAGTGGTAATGCCTAGTGATGATGACCGTCATTATGCTGCTGCTGACCACCTCGACGGCTCGAAGCTAGGTCTGCAGAAAACGTACGATTGTAACGGATTAGATCGAGACTATCTGAAGAAAGACTTGCCGGCCGATATGATGTGTTGTTTTGCAGTTCACGCTAATGTAGTCGATAGATGCCCCGGAATGGAGATCCGTAAGAGCGGCCGCATCTACTACTAGAGCAATCCCCGAACAACGGCGTTGCTGGCTAAACATTATATGATACTGTGCCGAAGTTCACCGGTTTTTCGTGTTAGCATCGGGGACGCCAAGCTCGCGATGCCCTCGTACTTTTGGAATTTTACGAAGATGACCTGATTATGTTCGTGATCCGAGTCAGTTAGTCAGTTAGTTAGTCAGTTATGAATTGTCAGACTAACTCGACTGGACTGAGATCGATTAATTGACTACCTAACTGAGGGATAATAAGATGATAGTCGACCATAATAACTTTAGTTTCCCGTGCTGACCCGGGACCTGCCCGGATAAGTAAGTGCCCGTGGTATCGGCCGAGATGAGCGGACTCCGCGTGGAAGAAGGCTAACGTGTTCGTCGTTGTCGTTGGTGACGTGTGACGCGAGAATGGTGAAGGGATGAAGAAATCTTAGGTGTGCGTACATATAGGTACTTGCCTCGTAGGTAAGATTTCAAAAGACTCAAAAGAGTTAGAGAACGAATAAGGAAGGAGTGGGTCCGAGAGAGAGAGAGCTAGGATCATCGGAAATTCCAGCGCCTGTGTCGGTGGTGTGGGTCTATCTGCAATTGATCCGCGTTCTTGCGTTTGGGGGATGTGTTGCAGGGATTCTTATGAGATGTACGTACATTATTGATTTGATACGTATCGAAGTAGCGAAGTACTGTATGGGGTACGTATACCCATTATTACCGATAATATTGATTCTAAGGTTTGATGCAACCCTTCAGCTTATGTAAGGCCCTCATTGATACCTCCATATAACCATGAACCTACGTAGGTTTATAGCATGAATTATACTCATGGCCAATCAAATTTTATCGATATTTTTATTATAATTATTATGATCATTATCAAGCATGCACCTCAGCATACCACATAGATAAATAAAAATATTCTGAGGCTCAAAGTTTCATACCAAGTACCTACCTACATACTCCCTTCAAGGCAACCTCGAAAACGTGATACTACCCATTACCCATTACTCTTTCACAAGCGCCCGAAACTACCGAGGTCTAGACCATTCAAGACCATCTCTACGCTTAACAAACAAGCGTCTTTCTCGTTTCGACTGATCTTCAGGTGACGTAGTCCAAGGTTGGCTCGTCGAGGGTTTAGGACAAAATCCGTTGTTTCGGGTTTAGCCATGCCAATGAAATGCTACGCCAAACAAGGTCCAAGTCGATTTAATCATACTCGACTAGGACACCTTGAGTAAAGTCCTGACAGCGCTATGCGGCGCTTGGGTAAACGTAGTCTGGCAGTCTGGGTGTCTGCGTGGTTTGACGCTAGCAGCTTAGCAGTTAATAGTGATTGACAATCTTATGCGCTGGTTGGGGACCAGTATCCTACTTAATACTACCATCATGCAAGACATTTCTACATTATGAACTATCTTTGATAAAAGCGGTAGCTAGCAATAGCTAGAGATCCACTCGTGAATTCGACAACCAGACGTTCTTCGTAAGACTGCTGTCTAATAAATTCCCGCTTTCTCTTCGCTTGCGCTAGCATAGCAGCTGCTTAGCTGGTTCTGGCCGGTGAGCATGGGCTGCTGCACATAGCCCTGGGTCATCGGATCTCTACGTGGACTAAGCGACCTTCGAAAATCCCTGGATGGGTTGGAGGATCCTGACGATCATCTCAACCGAAAGTAGTTCCCGATGCAGGGCAGCATTGAGGCGTCGACCTTACAAAACCCCTTGCAGAAAAAGCGGTGGATCACGAGTGCCGGCGAGTTTGCTTGCAAATTGACACCAGTTCCCAAAGCCATCGTCGATGAACGATGATGGAAGGGGGGGCATGGTTCCTAAATAAGGAACTAATCAGACTTGACCCACCGGCATTGAGGTCTTCGGAATATTAATGACATATGCGATGCTCTCATAGATGGACAGGCAATATACACTCATTATTAACAAACCTACAGTTCGCGATCCCAAGAAAAGACGTGCCAAGTAGATATATATTTACTCATATATAGTATATTTACCTATATATGTATAAAGCATCATTAGCAAGGAACTCTGTAATTACGCCAAATGCAACCCAACCTCCAGTTACTCGTTAAAGACCCCTTAGTTGTTTGTAATAAGTCCTTAATAGACAGTAATATCGGTGGGATGTCAGAATGAATGATCGAGAAAACCTACAGAACGCGAAATGCAGTAGGAGGCGGTGTCAGCGGAATAGCCAACCGACCCAATGGAAACCTAGTCAAGGGTGATGCGTCGTAAATGAGTCCATGTTAGGATTACGACATGCTTCGTCCCAGAAGGACGGGAAATGCGGATAATCCAGATGCATGCCATGGAAGATCAGTCGGCGTTGTGTTAATTAATCGAGGGAAAAAAAAGCCAGAAAGCGTACAGGCGTAATACCGCGGATGTACGTCTGTTACCACCCTACAGTCCGGTCGCAGCCCTGGGAACCGACCTAAGCTTAGATCCTTGGGTTATAGATAACCTACCTACGGGACCAATGCAGGAAGATGCGAATTGTTCACATCAGGTGATATGTCGTGCCAGTCGATAATGTAACTCGATGTGTTCGCCGCTGGCTGTGTCCTGCCGGGCACATTTGCCTCTTTGGAGCTACGATGATTTCGACGGGCCCTCCATTGGTCTGCCTCAACTTGGGGAATGCCAGCGAGATCCAATGAATTGGGATCCCAATGAACAGGTGATATGGAAAGCCGAAAATGTAGACGTCCGATAGCTAGGGCAGGTAACCGGCCATCTGTAGGCTGGGGGGACAGAGGACTGCTTCATTGGTGACGGGTTAATGGAGAGACGTTGAGATCGAATAGGATTCAAGGGCCGAGGCTGCGGCAGACAAGGGTGTGATCTGTAGGATCTGATCAACAGAGCTTACTGTGCTCGCCTGCCGCCGCGAAGCCCGACGCTTTGGGAAGTGTGCAACGGTTTCCAGGAATCGAGGGGCACCATGTTTTCTGTAGCTTGATTCATTATAGGAAATCAACTCGTGACTCAACTCATAAATATTTATGATATATGATATTTTTGTTACCGGATTTCTGAGAGCCTCAAAATACATATCACGATGGAAGGAAAAAGGGGGGGCACATTACGTGTTAAAGTACCAAGCATTGCAAAATGTAAAAATACGAACCTTTAAGCGTCTGCCATCCCACCTGCGGGCGCGGTAACGCAGGAAAAGGCAATAAAAATAATAGGATAGGCTGGATAGGTAGGGAATATTTTTTTGTAATTAAAGGTACAAAAATTACGAGGGTAGGTATGGACGTGCCAACAACGCCAGCACCTAATCTCAGCGTGATCAGCATTACTGATGAAAATCATCAACTAGCCCCCCGCCAATTCGGGCCAGTCCTTGTAAGTTTCCGACGGAAGAGGAATTCGCATCTTCCTTATTACAACTGGGCCCCCCACACAAAGCCTCAAAATGCCTGGCATGGCCAAGCCCCATCTCGTCTCCATCTACCACGCGACCGACTAGGGCTAGGTTCGTGATCTACGAAACGCTACTATGGAATAGGCACTCAACTACGTATTGTCTAGCTCTCATAGGCCCGTAGCGCCGCAATTACTATGCAATGGGCAATTTGAAAAGTAGGTAAGCTACGTAGCTGCGTAGAAAATAACGATCATGGTTGGGTTGTATTTTCTTTTCTTTCCCCTTTTCCTCTGTATCGTGACGAGACTAGATACGGCTATGGAGCAAGCTGGATACCCGCTTGTGGTAATCATGGGGTTACATTTAGCGGATTAGTAGGTTACATGCCTATCCTTGGGATCTGTGCTGGCCTGGGTCATAACGCGGTAACAATACGTGTGTAAGGCAAGTAACCCGCGGAACGTGATAGTGTCGTAGCGCCAAGGGGAGAGAGACTGGTGAATTGGAAAGGATTCCTCGCTACGTTGCTTACTTATGTACCTACATATATAGTATTTGGGTGATATCGAGATCAGCAGAATGCCAGATGAAGTGATGTGACTACTACACTCTAAAACATTATGACTGCGCAAAAGAACAACGGATACTACTCAATATACTCATGATACTATGTTTCGTCGTAAATACAACTGCCTCCCAAGTTGAATTCGGCCCTACGATACGCAGTGATGGGAATACCGCCTCGTCTATAGGGAATTTAGTAAGTCTGACCTCTGCTGCCTCATTAGCATACGTAAACTACCTATACCGACTGAGCGTCGAAGGCCCCCATCTGATAATAGGCGCATGCTATAGCGCCAGGGTCCCGTTGTCCAAATCGCCGAATTTCCTTTAGTTTGCAAACGTCGACAACCTCCTTTCAGGGACAACCCCATCTTGTCTCAAATATTCAAGATATTATCTCCGTGTTACTGTAATAATAAAGTTGTTTTCCTACCCTCCAGTTTTTACGTGTTTTGACCCCTGCGTGAATCTCGAAACAAAGCTTAGATAGAACCTAAAGCAAACTCGACCAGAATTCCCCACGCAGGGGCAGATCCTCGACATCAAAACAAGGTTGCCTGCATGCCGCTGTTTCTTCTCCCTGCCCGAGCTGTCGAAAAGAAGCTTGACCTACGTATCGCCTATTAGCTATCCCTGTCTGTTGCTATTGGATCTTCATGCGTCGACATTGCAACAAATCAAGATTGCCATGAAAGAATGAGGCTGTCAAAGTAGCATTTTTGAACGTTTCTTTTATTTTTGATCCGAAGGCTTTGCTTGCTATTGCTAAGCCAATGCTAATTCATCCATATTCATCTTCCGTCATACAGACGCGAGTTTGCTAGTCTCCTCGCAGAAAACAGCGCTGTTTTAACCCTTTCGATCCTTGTTGGTACAGGTTCTCTCATCCCTCCACTTTGCAGTCCCATTCTATACATTAGGACTAGATAGAATATCCAAGACAGGTATCAAAAATACCGTAAACGAGAGAGATAAGATTGCTCTTGTTTTTAAATATTCCAACGTAATGACCCTCCCAAATATGTTTGTTAAACGCCGGTGTAAATGCCCAAAAGTTGGTAGTCCAATGCGCCTCGTCAATGAACAGTCACATCCTACAGTCAAATGCAACCGATCCCTATCCCGTCATCCCGTCCCAGTAAGCAAAGGGCCGACCACCTCCCCCCGAATCGTCCCAAGTGTCGAGATATACCCTAATATAGATTGTGTTCGAGTCGGTAAACAATGGCTCGGAATTAAAAATGAGAACAAAAGCCACAAGTGCTTTTGAGAAATGGCAGCCGTAAAAATTCGTAGCGTAACCCGCGTGTGGGTATCAAATGCATCCTTCATATCCGCGATTTTTTCGGGTCCTTTCAAAAAACCCCCCTCTTCATATATCCACGCGGGATTAAGAGCCGTATTAGGAATAAACAATAAATGACGACAGCATCGAATAGTTGATATTATCGTTTTGTGAGCTGGCCTAACGGTGGTGAGATGCATTGCCATTGTCGTGGCATCCGCGCTCGTGTCTCTTCATGTTGCTCCGGACACTGAAAGCCTTGCCACAGCCCGCGTGAGGACACTTGAAAGGCTTCTCGCCGGTGTGGGAGTGGCTGTGAATTCGTAGCGAGCTCGGTCTGGAAAAAGCCTTGTTGCAGGTTTGGCAGATGTAGCGATCCTGTGACTGCGGGAAAGAAGCCGCCGAAGAAGGTGAGATGTAGTGATGATGTTGCCACGGGTTGGTACCTGGAGCTGCTGCCAAAGACACCGTCACTGGTAGCGGAGGGAACGTCTGCGGCTAAATTAGCATGTTTGATTCTAATATCTGCTGAACCAGACTGGACAAACCTGTGGTAGTGGTCTCTGGTAGTAAAGTCCGGAGATCTGCGGCTGCGCGGCTTGAGCTCCAGCGAGGCCGGCAGAATAGTAAGGCGGTATCGACGCCTGACCCAGGTACGGGGCCGCAAAGGCGGGTTGCGAATATGCTGGGGCTTGAACGGGCATGCGAGGTGCAGCAGCCGCTGCCATCTGGTGGCGGTGAACATCCTCTAAGGGTGGGGTCGTCTCATAATAGTAGTTGGGCGCCGACACAACAGACACCGATCTCGTCGAAGGTGAGTTATAGCCCTCGAAAGAAGCATCTGAACTCATAGGAGGCGTGGGGGGTAGAGCGGCTCGTGCGGGGCCGTTGCTCGCACAATGAGACGAGTTAGGCCGAGTCTCTACCTTCACTGACGGTGCTGCTCTCAGGCTTAGTACATCGTTCGTATTAGGAAGGCGGTGATGAGTATCTTTCATACCTTGTTGAGACTGAGGTGACTGTTCCGTCGTGGGCGATCCAGCGTCTGCCATTACTAATAGGTTGGAAATCGAGGGTAGAGAGCACTTCGAGGTTTCGTCCATTGGAGGCGAAGGGGGTGGTTGCGGATATCCGTACTGAGCACCAGGCTGCGTTGCGTACATGGCGGTGGCCATTTTTATGTATTATGTCGGGATAAAAATAAGTGTATCTTAAGAAGCTATTCTCAAGACGGCGGTATTAGGTTTAAGTTTTCGTCGACGATAGTCGGTAGATATTAAAGCTGGTAAGGACTGCTAGTTGTTTTTGTAGATGAGATATCACTCAGTGTATCCTCAAGTATCGAAGAGGCGATTAATGATCTGGAGGACGACAACTTAAAGGATATATACGGGGAGGGTGGATACTTAAGTATAGGTAGAAAAGGCGGATGGTGGGTGAACGACGAGGGTTGACGATGTATCTATCAGATCTTCCCGGCAAGTATAATATAAACGACGATCAAGCGTCAATCCGTACAGGAATCCCTGGAGAACAACTGTCACAAAATTGGGTGTGGGTCACGGCAGACCTGGGTTGAAATCAACAGTAGATCGCCGGTATCGAAGGGTACTCCTGCATCATCGGCAAGTACATATAGCGCCCCTTATTAATGGGCGAGCGTTGATGTATTTGGAGTCCCATGTGCGGCGATGGGACTCTGGAACTGCTTATGCTCGCCCGCCTCTTTTTAGTGGTCCCAATTCCCCATGTATGGGCTTGTATGGGCTGATGCAGAGGGCGAGTACGTACAGTATGTATTGGTGGGAGAAGCTGTGCATGTGGGTGAGATCGAAGGATGGGCGTAGGAGAACGGCTCCGCTGGGATTCTCGTGGGATCGCTCAAGGTCAAACGGCTACTGGCCACGCCTATGCACCAGCAAGGGTCTAATAAGACGTCCGTGTGCGTGGTCTGTCTGCACTCAGGGCATCCCCGGTGGACCGTTTAAGCTCATCCCTTCTCGTTCTTCGTCTTCTACCAGTCTACATACATAAACCTCCCCCCTCCAAAGTCTTGGCTAGCCAAGGCCAGCAATCCTCGCTGGATGTGTGTGGTCGTGCTGGTCGTGGTATTGCTAGGTGCATGGCATCCCCGGGTCACCATTACCCCTTAAGGGCAAACTGCCGTCCGGATAGTTGGTCTGTGACCCCTGTCTTGGTACACTTCGGACAAGGGACCCGGTTTAGTTCTATGTGGAGTAGGGGACTTGAGACGACAATGGACTCGAGCTTAGTGCCGCAAAAGCTTCGTCGTTATGTCTTTAAGCCCTGCCGAGCCTGTGCTGTGACCGGATTGTCAAGCTGATCTTATGCCGTCCCTCCCCACGAGCCCTGACAACACATGCTGCAATGGGTTCTCTGTGCACCTGTCAATCGTTTTCGGATGACTGCTGGATGTCCCAAAATGTTTTGATCTGTTTAGACCATGCTGCAGATTGTCAGATCTATCCGGCCATCTTCTTTGCCTAATCCGACCTATTCGGGAGCAGCGGCAACTACGACAGCATTGATCAAGACTTGCAACAAGGAGTCATTCGGTCCAGAAGTTGCCGTGCTCGACAGATCAGCTAATCCATGCCGTGCTTACCTGATGTTTTGTTGATGTTTATTTGTTAATTTCCTGATATGCTCATTACTCGTCTTCGCTCTGTCTCTTGTTCCGCCTCTACGGTAGGCGAGCAATCGAGGTGGTGAATTACTCGTGTGTGATTACAAGCCCTAAAATGGCATCTATCTACGGAGCGTTAAGGCAAGCATTGATGCCATTCAGCTTAATCAATATTAATAAAATATATTCCTTGGAAATTAGGGCAAGGGGGGGAAATTGATTGAAAAGTCGCAGGTGCCCGCCGTTTGCCTAGTCGTCATTGTACATTAGAAGTAAAATATTGAGATGAGCCCTACCAGATCATGCAGCGAAGTTGCCTGTGGGAAGAATATCCGAGAATAGGGTCTTTGCATATCAAGCTACAAGAAGGGGTCCATGACCTCGACTAGCCCCAGAGGGGAACCACATTTCCTTGAGATAGACCTATTAAACAAACTTATGCTCTCATACGTAATACGCTTAGATCCATGTCGGTAAGTTCAACTGTCAGGATGACGAACGAGTGAAGTCAACGGAAGAAATATAACAACCACTTGGGCAAAGAGCAGGTATCTTGATAATTCTAACCATTTTCACTTGAATAGATAGTAAGTCACCATACCCAAGAAAGGTGCCGTAGACATTATGGTTGCTGCATCCTCGATAAAATGTTTCCTACAAGAAACATTCGGAGGCTTTTTTTCCTCAGAAACGAATGCTAATCTCATATGATCGTCGGCTTGGCGCCAGGAATCTGCTCGCTTACGCAGGGTGGTCCGTGGCCGGCAAGGGTTTATTTTGCCCTGGGACTTACAGTGTCTTCTTTAGTCTCTATTTAGCGGTCATGTCTCTATTCTCCTCTGCGGGCTCTGCCCCTTAACGTGGTCGATGATCGACAACCTAGAACTTGAACAGGGATGGTGTGCTCTCTTTCGGGATGGCAGCTCTACAAACCCCTGTCTCCCTGACACCTTAGCTTCCAAAGCGAGACACCCCGTGAGGAAAGGCATGAAGGGACAAACAAGTTCCGAGTAATCTGGCACGAGCCAAGTCATCACAGAACTCCGCATGCATCAGTGTATCACTACGTACCCCAGACTGGGGTTGATACCTGATCATATCGAGACTTACACTTGGATTCGATGCTTCGTCTGATACAATGATATTTTGAATCTAACTCTTAGGACGCCAAGGCGTCAACCGGAGTCGTCTGTAGTAGAAGTGAGATGAAAGAAAGACACATCTAGCTTCCACCCCTCAACTCGTAGCCGCGTTATGCACGACACCAACACCTTTAGCGTCTACCTGGCTATACTTGCCACTATTTACGAGGCGGCAATCAGTGAAATTGACAAGTTCAAGTGGCTGAGAAACTAGACAAGCACGTGAAGCCTAGCGTGACTTCATTTTTCTGTTCCAGACACTCTGTAGACGGATCGCTCGAGATCATGGCAATGTGAATTGAGGCTTGCATGACGGCACGCTAGATGGACGCCAGAACAGCGCCAGAACACACTACCTACGTAGTGTCTTAGGCTATGTTGGGTTGAAGATATGATTGGGCTCATTACTTTTAAAGTACATCATCGCCTACCTATTATATCTTCAGGTTTAAGCACACATACACCCAACATGACGAGTTGGTCAGATGAATCGAATCCAATGCTTATTAGAACTTAAAAGGAGCTGTTATCGTGTCGACCTCCCGCCAATCGGCATTTTCCTAGTGCCCGTAAATAATACATGAGTCCTATCTTACTACACGGGGAAGTACTTCAACGAAAAAGATGATATAGAGCACGTACCATATATCTCAGTACTATTAGTGTAGGTTGTATTTCTCATCTTTAGTTTTATTACTCCTTATTCAGCTTTACCTGGCTCAACTTTACCTCGTACGATAGAAGCCGTACTTCTCAGCCTCAGCTACGTACCGAATTATGAGGGAGTATCGTGGAAGATGAGATCAGGCACCTACACCTCACTAACTAGAAATGGAGATGAAAAGACGGGGCTACTTCGGAGGCTCTAGCTTAATCCCAGTCAATAATGATAGATACTGTTGGTTGAAAATTTAGTGACAGAAATAATTTGCACTTCTCCCCAGGAACTGCCTACCAAACAGCGTACAAATATTAATGTCCTTTGTTGGTCTCTCTGCTACTACAGTACCTACCTAGTAGGTAGAATTATTATAGCTCACTCCACCCTCATCTGACATGGAATACCTGGGGATTTCCCTCCAAGCGACGAGCGCTAAAGCGCCACGCTGATCTCATGTCACCGCGGCTCCCGCAGGCGACTCCCCCGACGGTGGCCCTAAATCCACGCCGCCTATGTCGATCATGACCCCTAATCCGAGCTTTTTGATGAGCAGTCACGTTTTCTCGGGTCACCTTCCTTGAATCGATATCATCACCTTCAATAATATCGATATTGCAATATTTATCATCGCGTCTTCTCAACCAGAATAATTTCTCTCAGGACGTCGTGTCTCGCTAACTAACACGCTCACCACCCGTCTTCTAAGAGGTAGAAAATGTCGTCTTCTTGGAATCATTTCACTAGCATTTTCTTCACACCTAAGCGGCGTTTATAGTCTCTAGTCGCCACCACTCCAAGCACATACATACATACACATAGCCTACTAGTTCTGCTTCTTGTAGATAAGACGTTTAGACGCGTCACGCATCCATGATTTTCTCTCCCCATTGTAGAAGCTAGGCCAAATTATGGTATGATTTCCTAACCTCGACTAACATTCTCCCGAATAGTAGGAGGCAAACTTGCGGAGATAAACGGATCACTAGTTCAACTTCTCGGTCGATAATTCCCTCCAATAAAGCGCAAAAAACCAACTCCTACAGCCTATTAAGGTCGAAGAGACGACGTCAAGAGTTGATATACTAGGTTAACTTCAGGCAACACATCGAAAATATTTCCAGTCAGCCCTGTCAATTCCAATTACTTCGTAGAAAGCACAATTTTCTCGGATCACTGGTCCAGGGGAATTGGCTCCATTTTACCATCTGTTTAAAAATCCTTCTACTATGTAGGTACATAAGATGTCATCGCGTTGTAGTGGATTGATACTACTATGATAATTCTTCCAGAATCTAAATACAGTAAACCCCATCGGAGTTGGTAACCGGATTCGTTCGAGACGGGGTAGTGGGATCGACGATCTGAGCAAGGGGCTATTGATCCCGAGCCATGGAAATTTTCCTTATTAATCATCCTTTTTCGTTCTCTCGTTTTTGCAAATATTAGATGTTTTCTAGGTGGAGAGGCGAGAGCGAACGTTCATACGAAGATAGTGGTATGTTGGGACAGCGATTTTTGCAAGACCTACGTAGACCTTACATCTAATTCCACGAAATTAGGTGCATGGCAGAACTACCTTATTCGTATTAACATATTGTTCCTAAAACATATTTTATTAATAATTATTGACAATTATTTTATCATGTTTCTTGTGTAATCGGTTTGTTTACTGGCAATGAAACACTATCGGCCACATGAGGAGCTACAGCTATAAGGGGCTTGACCCCTATGGCGCAACAACTATATCACACTATCTACCTATTCTAAGTACAGTGATTACCTCGCTAAGGCATATACAATCTATTTTCCTTCACGTTGTGCCGCGGCACCCCGCCCCAACGAGGCCCAACCATAAGTCACAAAAGAAAGGCCCTGAACTGATGCCCAACGTGGACTAACATGCTGAATATTCTGCCTAGTTTTCCGTAGTATCAGACACTATGAAAGACTAAGATGGCCTTACTCGATGG